ATGGGGCTGAGGGGATCTCGGGCCAGGGGTGACAGGGAGATTTGGGGGCACGGGGTGGGTTTTGGGGGTCTGGGGGTGCCCCATAGTGACACACACCCCACCCCCCACCCCCCCCCCAAAAAAAGCTGTCATCCGCAACTACGGGAACCTGCTGCTGGAGCTGTCAACCGTGGTCCCCGACGGCATCGTCGCCTTCTTCACCAGTTACCAGTACATGGAGAACATCGTGGCTTCCTGGTACGAGCAGGTACGTCCCCAGGGTGTCCCCAAAGTGTCCCCAAAGTGTCCCCTGGGGTCCCCTGACCCCCACCCCCCCCCCATATCCCACGGCAGGGTATCCTGGAGAACATCCAGCGGAACAAGCTCATCTTCATCGAGACGCAGGACGGGGCCGAGACCAGCGTGGCGCTGGAGAAGTACCAGGAGGTGGGTGGCAGCGTCCCCCGGGGCGTCGCTGTCCCCGGTGTCACCCCCCTCAAACTGTGTCGTGTTGTTCACCCCCCCCCCCCTCTCCCCGGTGACGCGGCGGCTGTTCACAGGCCTGCGAGAACGGCCGGGGTGCCATCCTGCTCTCCGTGGCCCGTGGCAAAGTGTCGGAGGGCATCGATTTCGGTGAGGGGCAGGGCGTGGGGGCGGGGGGACGCGGGGGTGGGGGGACACTGGTGGCACCTTCAGCACCCCCCATTTTGCACCCCCCTCCCCTCAGTGCACCACTACGGCCGGGCCGTCATCATGTTCGGGGTGCCCTACGTCTACACCCAGAGCCGCATCCTGAAGGTGAGTGGGGACCCCAGGGGGGGTGTGGGGGACAGCTGGGCACCCTGGGGACACCGTGGGGTACACTGGGCACCCATGGGACACAGTGGGGCACCCATGGGACGCAGTGGGCCACCTGTGGGACACAGTGGGGCACCCATGGGGTACAGTGGGCACCCTGGAGACGCAGTGGGGCACCCGTGGGGTCCAGTGGGCACCCTGGAGACACAGTGGGGCACCCGTGGGACACATCTGGGCACCCTGGGGACACAGTGGGGCACCCGTGGGATACAGTGGGCACCCTGGGGACAGAGTGGGGCACCCGTGGGGTACAGTGGGCACCCTGGGGACACAGTGGGGCACCTGTGGGGGGTCCAGTGGGCACCCTGAGGACGCAGTGGGGGACCCATGGGGTCCAGTGGGCACCCGTGGGACGCAGTGGGGCACCCGTGGGACACATCTGGGCACCCTGGGGACACAGTAGGGCACATATGGGGTCCAGTGGGCACCCCGGGGACGCAGCGGAGCACCCGTAGGGTACCCTGGGGCTGCATCATGTCACCCCACAACTGCCCTGGAGGCACCCGTGGGGCAGCCAGTGTGTTTTTCTCACCCCCCACCCCCCGTCCCCGCCCCAGGCCCGGCTGGAATACCTCCGGGACCAGTTCCAGATCCGGGAGAACGATTTCCTCACCTTCGACGCCATGCGCCACGCCGCCCAGTGCGTCGGCCGGGCCCTGCGCGGCAAAACCGACTACGGCCTCATGGTCTTCGCTGACAAGGTGGCTACCGGGATGTGGGGAGGGGGGTTGAGAAGCCCCCCTCACCCCCCCCCCCCCCAGTCCTCCACCCCCTGGCTGCTTCCAACCCCCCCCTCCCTGTTTCCCCCCTTCCCCGACTCCCGGCAGCGTTTCGCCCGGGCGGACAAGCGGGGGAAGCTGCCGCGGTGGATCCAGGAGCACATCACCGACACCAACCTCAACCTGACCGTGGACGAGGCCGTGCAGGTGGCCAAATTCTTCCTGCGCCAGATGGCTCAGCCCTTCCACCAGGTAAAGGATGCCCCCCCCCCTCTGCCTGAGGAGAACCACCCCCCCCGGCAGTGCTGGAGGGGCTGGGCGGGGTGGGGGACCCCCGGCTCACCTCCTCCCGGCGCAGGAGGACCAGCTGGGCTTGTCCCTGCTGACGCTGGAGCAGCTGCAGTCGGAGGAGATTCTGCAACGGATCGAGCAGATCGCTCAGCAAGTGTGAGCTGGCCAGGGCGGGTGGGCATGGGGTGACACCCCCCCACCACCACCAAAGTGTGCTTGGGGTGGGACTCTGGAGCCCCCCGCCCCCGATGTGGTCAAGGTGGGACCCGGATCCCTCCAGCTGCTTGAGGGTGGCACCTGCAGCCCCCCCCGCCCCCCGACACGCTCGGAGGGGGACCTGGATCTTTCCGTGCACTCGTGGGATCCGGATCCCAGCCATGTGCCCAGGGTGGGCCCTGGAGCCCCCCCCACCCTCTTCCCAGGGCAGGAACTGGATCCCCCCCTGAGGTGCTCGGAGTGGGAACCAGATCCCCTTCACATGCTCAGAGCAGGACTTGATCCCCCACTACATGTTCGAGCAAGACCTGGATCCCCCCAAATCACTTCGAGCTGGATCTGGATCCCCCTGTACATGGTGGGAGCAGGATCCAGATCCCCCCCAACACACTCGGAGCAGGACCTGGATCCCCCCAACACTCGGAGCAGGTTCCAGATCCCTCTGACACACTCTGAGCAGGACGGAGATCCCCCCAACTCCAAGCAGGACCGGGATCCCTCCAATACTCAGAGCAGGATCCAGATCCCCCCAGCACTCTCGGAGCAGGACCTGGATCCCGCCCCAAACTCCAAGCAGGACTAAGATCCCCCCCAACACTCTGAGCAGGACGGGGATCCCCCCCAACACTCTCGGAGCAGGACCTGGATCCCCCCCCCAAACTCCGAGCATGACCGAGATCCCCCCCAACACTCGGAGCAGGACCTGGATCCCCCCCCCAAACTCCGAGCAGGACTGAGATCCCCCCAACACTCCGAGCAGGACCTGGATCCCCCCACACACCCCGTGGCCCCCCTGCTAGGTGTGACCCCCCCCCCGGCCATGCAGGGACACCTCAATTCACCTTTTTTTATACACCTGAGCCCCCCCAATAAAGCAGGAGCCCCCCTGCATTGCTGCACCTTTTGATTTGCGGCTGCTGTCCCCAGGGACCCCCACATTACCCCCCTCCAGGGACCCCCAACTTACCCTGCCAGGGGGGTCCACAGGCACCAGGGTGGGGCACCTATGTCCTGGGGACCCAGCCCCCCCCCAAGGGCTGGGGGACACCCCGTGGCCAAGGTCACCCCTACCCTGTGTCCACATATTTGGGGTCACCCCATCCTCAGGGTCCCTCACAGACCATGGGCCCCCCCCCCCCAAAGGTGTGGGGTCCCCCTGGAGCTATGGAGCACCCTGTGGGTGTGGGGCACCCTCAGAGATAATGGGGGGCCCCCCAGGCCTCTCCGTGACCTCAAGGTGCCAATGTTGGGGTGCAGCGGGACCCTCTGCTGGGGTCCATCCCCCCCCAGCACCCTGAGGGGTTCAAGGTGCCCCAGACCCCCAGGGGACCGGCCCCCCCCACTCCGTGCCTCAGTTTCCCCACAGGTGCAGGTTGTGGTTTTGGGGAGGGGGGGAAGGGCTTCAGTAGTGGCCCCCACCCCACCCATGGGTGTCACCCCAGCACCCCCGCCGCCCGTCCCGTGCCCCCCACCGGGGTCCCCCAGCGCCGACACCAGATCCGGCCGGGTAACCAGATCCAGCCTAAAAATACCGGGTGTCGGGGCGGGGGGGGGGGGGGGAAGGAGGTGGAGGGGTGGCTTGAATTGCCCTGATCCAGCGGATCCGCCCGGGGTCACCCACCTCTGGGTGCCCCCCCCACACCCTGACACCCCCTCCCCCCCCCCAGCCAGGCCACCACAGAGTGGGGATGGGGGTGCAGGATGGGTGCCCCCCCCACCCCTGCACCCCCCCCAGCTGGGTCCCAGTGGTGATTTGCGGGTGCTGGGTGCCCCTACCCTGGCACAGAGGTGCGCCCCCCCCTCCCCCCAACTGCTCCTGTCCCCCCACCCCTCTGCCTGTCTCTGCCCCCACTCCCAGTTGCTCCCAGCGCTCCCAGTTGCAGCCGGGCCCTGGCTGGGCACCCAGCGGGAGGGTAACCGGAGCCGCGGTGGGTTCTAGAGGTCAAGGTCATCCAAGGCCACGCGCCCGCCACCGCGGTGCCCGCCGCACCCACAGCACCCACCCACCAGCACCCACTGCAGCCCGTGGGGTCGTGCCGGGTGCTGGGTGGGTGCTGCTCTGGGCGCCCCTGGGTGCAGCGTGCACCATGCAGCGTGCAACACGTGGGGTGCAAGACGTGGCGTGCACCGGTGCAGTGTGCGAGGTGCAGCGTGCAACGGGCACCCCCAAGCGTGCAACACGCGAGGCGCGCCGCGCACCAGTACAGCGTGCCAGGCGCGCCGCGGGCGACGTGCAAGCCGCAGCGTGCCACACGCGCTGCAGCGGTGTGCAACAACGGGCACCCTTGCAGCGTGCAACCGCCGAGCGTGCAACACGCAGCGTGCCACACGCGGTGCAACGGTGGGCAACGGGCACCCTTGCAGCGTGCAACCGCCGAGCGTGCAACACGCAGCGTGCAAGGCGTGACGCGCACCCTACGGGCGTGCAGCGGGCAGCGTGCCACACGCAGTGCAACGTGCAACACGGCAGCGTGCGATGTGCGGGGCTGTAACGGGGAGGCGGGGGGGGGTGCACGGGGGGGGGGGGGTGCAGGGGTCCCCTGGCACCGTGCGGGGCTGTGCAGAACCGGGGGTGCCCGGTGCACCCTGAAATGCAAAATGAGGGTGCCTGGAGCGGGTGCCAGGGAACCGGGGGGTACCGGTGTACCAGGGGGGTGCCCGTGTACTGGGGCGAGGGGGATGCCGGTGTTCCAGGGGGTGCCGGTGTACCGGGGGCGGGGGGGGGGGGTGGGGTGCCGGCAGCCCAGCGCACCCCTCTCGGCGGCCGCGGGGACGGCAGGTGCCGGGCCGGGCGCCCACCGGACACCCGACACCGCGGGGGCGGCTCCGAGGGGGGCCGGAGGGTCTCCCCGTCCCCGGGGGCGGCTCCGGCAGGGACCGGCCCCGCCCGGTTCGGAGCCCCCCCCCCCCCGCCTCCTCCGGTGCCCCCGGGGCGATAAAAGCCGGTGGCGGCACCGCTCCCCGCCGCCTGCTCCGCCGGTACCGGCCCGACCCGACCCGCTCCGCCCGCGTCGCTCCAGGTAACCCCGGCCCCGCTGGGGACCCCGCCGACACCCAACGCGGCCGGGACCGACCCCCCACCCCCCCACACCCCCCGGGACCGCCCGAGGGGCCCCTCCCGGTGACACCGGGGTCAAACTGGGACCGCACCCTCCGGTACCACCCGAGCTGGGACCGACCGGATCCTCCGGGACTGCCCCCACCCCCCCCGCCCGGTACCGCCCGAATCAGGACCAGGACCCCCCAGTACCACCACCCCCCCCGCCCCCCAGTGCCCAAGCCCCAGTGCCATGCTGGGTGCCAATGCCCTGTCCCCAGTGCCAAAGTGGGTACCCAGAGCCCAAACCCCAGTCCCAGTGCCATACTGGGTGCCAATGCCCTGCTCCCGGTGCCATACTGGGTGCTCCCGGTGCCATAGTGGGTGCTCCCGGTGCCATACTGGGTGCCCGGTCCCCCTCCACCCCCCGGCCCGGTGCTCGGGTCCCTCCGCGCTATAAATAGTCCCGGCCCGGTCCCGGCCAAACATGGCCCTGCCCGAGCTGGCCCCGCCCCCTCCCCGCCACACCCACCGCGGCCCCACCCACGGGACACACCCACTGTGACCACGCCTCCATGGCCACACCCCGCCCAAGGGGGCGGGGCGGCAGACACACACACACACACACACACACACACACACACACACACACACCCCCCGGGTCCTACTGCCCGCCGTGTCCCCTAACGCCGTGCTATGCTGCAGGGCGTGCCCCATGCCCCACGGCGTGCCCCACGCCCCACGCCACGCCCCACCCCGTACCATATCCATTGCCATGCCATAACCCCAAGCCATACCCCACGCCAATACCGTGCCCCACGCCCTGTGCCATGCCGTGCCTGGTGCAAGGCCGTGCCCCACGCCCATGCCCTGCCCCACGCCCTGTGCCGTGCCACGCCTCCTGTGACAACAGCCCACCCACCCCAGCGCCCACCCGTCTCCCCGCAGCCCCACCATGCCGTTCAGCAACACCCACAACAAGTACAAGCTGAAGTTCTCGGCGGAGGAGGAGTTCCCCGACCTCAGCAAGCACAACAACCACATGGCCAAGGTCCTCACTCCCGCGCTCTACCAGCGCCTGCGGGACAAGGAGACCCCCAGCGGCTTCACCCTCGATGACGTCATCCAGACCGGCGTCGACAACCCCGGTGGGTGACAGCGCAGGGTCCCCAGCCCGCCCAGGGGTTCCTCGGGGCTGCTGCCGGGAGATGCGAGCTCTTCTGGGTCACCCCCAGTGCCAGACTGGGTGCCGATGCCCTGGCCCCAGTACTGTACCGGGCGCCCAGTGCCCCAGCCCCAGTGCCATACCAGGTGCTGTTGCCCTGGCCCCAGTGCCAAAGTTGGTGCCCAGTGCCAGACCCCTGTCCCCGGTGTCACCCCGGGTGTCATCGCCCTGTTCTCAGTGTTATACTGGGTGCCCAGTGCCAGAGCCCTGTCCCCGGTGCCACCCCGGGTGTCATCGCCCTGTTCTCAGTGTTATACTGGGTGCCCAGTCCCCGAGCCCTGTCCCCAGTGCCACCCTGGGTGTCATCGCCCTGTTCTCAGTGTTATACTGGGTGCCCAGTGCCCAAGCCCTGTCCCCAGTGCCACCCTGGGTGTCATCGCCCTGTTCTCAGTACTATACTGGGTGCCCAGTGCCCGAGCCCTGTCCCCAGTGCCATACTGGGTGTCATCGCCCTGTTCTCAGTGTTATACTGGGTGCCCAGACCCCGAGCCCTGTCCCCGGTGCCACACTGGGTGTCATCGCCCTGTTCTCAGTACTATACTGGGTGCCCAGTGCCAGAGCCCTGTCCCCAGTGCCACCCCGGGTGTCATCGCCCTGTTCTCAGTACTATACTGGGTGCCCAGTGCCCTGTCACCCATACCAGTGCCCTGTCCCCAGTGCCAGACTGGGTGCTGATGCCCTGTGCCCTGTTCCTAGTGCCGTGCCCTGCCCCAGTGCCACACCCTTTCCCGGTGCCCTGGTCCCACTGCCACGTGTGGTGCCATGCCTTGTCCCGGTGCTGTGTCCGATGCCCAGTGTGGTGCCAGCTGCCCCCCTGACACCCCCCTTTCCCCCCCCCCCCAGGCCACCCCTTCATCATGACAGTGGGCTGCGTGGCTGGAGACGAGGAATCCTACGAGGTCTTCAAGGATCTCTTCGATCCGGTGATCCAGGACCGCCACGGCGGCTACAAACCCACTGACAAGCACCGCACCGACCTCAACCACGAGAACCTCAAGGTCCCGGGCACCCCCGGGGTGGGGCGGGGGGGGGGGGGACGGGTGAGGGAGCGGGGGGGGATGTAGCCAGACACCTGGGACCCTTTGGGGACATGGGTGCCAACTGGGAGGGTGGTGGGATGGGGGTTTTGGGGTGCTTGGATGAGTGGATCCCTGCTGAGCTGGGAGAGAGGGGTGACTGGGGGGGTGTGTGTGTGTGGGGGTGTGCCTCAGGCTCCTGGACACCTGGGCCGTGGGGACAAAGGGACACGGGTGCCCTCTGGGGTGCTGGGGTGGGTGGTGGTGGGGTTGATGGGGGAAATTGGGGTGCCTGGCAGCCTGGGTCCCTCTTGAGCCGGGAGGGGGTGTGGGGAGAAGGGGGGTGTCCCAGGCTCCTGGCCACACGGGGCCCACTGGTATTTTGGGCAGGGGGGGGACGACCTGGACCCCAAGTACGTGCTGAGCAGCCGGGTGCGCACCGGGCGCAGCATCAAGGGCTACTCCCTGCCCCCCCACTGCAGCCGGGGGGAGCGCCGAGCCATCGAGAAGCTGTCCGTCAACGGTGAGGGGCGGGGCCTATCGGGGCGAGGCCATAGGGTGTGGTCCGGAGTGGAAGGGAGCGTGGCCAGTGCGCACAGGGTGGGGCGGGGCTCGGGTGTGGCTGTTGCGGGGTGTGGGCGTGGCATGGTGGGGCGTGGTTTACGGGCGTGGCTGGGGGGGAATGGGTGGAGATGGGTGTGGCACAATTGCGTGCGAGCGCCGCCATTGGCCGGGCCCACGTGCCCGGTGGTGGGTGTGGCCGATGGGCGAGGCCTGAGCATATGGGTGTGGCCAGCGGGCGGGTGTGGCCTTGGGAGGGTGTGTGGGCGTGTCCGTGCCGTGACCCCGCCCTCTCCCCCAGCCCTGAATAGCTTGGAGGGGGAGTTCAAGGGCCGGTACTACCCGCTGAAGGCCATGACGGAGCAGGAGCAGCAGCAGCTCATCGACGACCACTTCCTCTTCGACAAGCCCGTGTCGCCGCTGCTGCTGGCCTCGGGCATGGCCCGCGACTGGCCCGACGCTCGCGGCATCTGGTGGGGCACCCTGAGAGCAGAGTCCCATCTGCGGGGGCACCCACACGCTGGGGACCCCAACTGGGAGGGGAGCAAGGCACGCCCGGAGAGCAGGGTCCCACCTGGGGGGGCGGAGGGGGCAGGCAGTTAAAGCCCCCCAGGCACCTGAATCCCACCTTGGGGGGGATGCAGGGTGCACCCACATATTGGGGTCACACCTTGGGGTTGGAGGGGAGGGGGGGGGCATGTAGGGGCCACCCAGATGAATCTGGAGGTGCCTGGAGGCCCGCGCCACTGCTGAGGGTGGGGGTGTCGTGTGTGTGTACCCCAACACAGGCACAATGACAACAAGACCTTCCTGGTGTGGGTGAATGAGGAGGACCACCTCCGTGTCATCTCCATGGAGAAGGGGGGGAACATGAAGGAGGTGTTCAGGCGCTTCTGTGTTGGCCTTAAAAAGGTGGGTCAGGGCCCTGGGGTGGGGGAGGAGGGTGGGGTGGCATGGGGGACGGGGGGCATTGGGCCCTTGGAGGACATAGGGGCATGTGGGGGACATGGAGGGGCTTGGGGGACACATGGGGATATGGGGGACACAGGAGGACATGGGGGTGGCACGAGGGACGTGGCGTGTCATGGGTGCACGGGCACAACGGGGACGTTGGGGTCAGGGGTGCGTTGGGGGACATCGAGGGACATAGCGGGGCATGGGAGGGACATGAGGGACATTAGGGCATGGCGGGGCTGAGGGCACGTTTTTGGGCACAGAGGACACTGGGGGGTCTCCTGGGAAGGTGGTGGCAGTGGTGCCCCCCAGGCTGGGGGTCAGGACGGTGGGGAGTGGGGACCCAGTCCCACGTGTGTGGGGTGTGTGTGTGTGTGTGTCCCCCAAGATTGAGGAGATCTTCAAGAAGGCGGGTCACCCCTTCATGTGGACGGAGCACCTGGGCTACATCCTGACCTGTCCCTCCAACCTGGGGACGGGGCTGCGGGGAGGTGTCCACGTCCGCCTGCCCAAGCTCAGCCAGCACGCCAAGTTCGAGGAGATCCTCAAGCGCCTCCGCCTCCAGAAGCGCGGCACAGGTGGGCACGGGGGGGGCGAGGGGGCTGCGGGGTACGAGGTGGGTGCCCTAAGGTGCTGACACCCCAGTCCCCCCCCCCCCTCCCCTCCTCCAGGTGGGGTGGACACGGCGGCCGTGGGCGCCGTCTTCGACATCTCCAACGCTGACCGCCTGGGCTTCTCGGAGGTGGAGCAAGTGCAGATGGTGGTGGACGGGGTGAAGCTGATGGTGGAGATGGAGAAGAAGCTGGAGCAGAACCAGTCCATTGACGACATGATCCCTGCCCAAAAATAGGGGACACCCCCTTTCTTGGGCACCTCACCAGGAACGGCCTCAATAAATGCTGCTGGGCGCCGCTGTGAACCCAGGCGTCCGGGCTGGGGTCAGGGGGGGACACACAGAGGGCGATGCCCACCCAAACACTCAAGCGAGAGGGGTGCTCCTCCACCCTGGAGCACCCCGGGGTGCCTTTGCAGCTCCTCCTTCACCTTAACTCTGCCCCCGCCCCAAGGTCGTGATGGGGGTGTCCCCGGTACTGATGGGTGCTGACGCCAACAGGTTTCCTATCTTTATTGGGGAGTTGGGGTACAGACCGGGGCAGGAATAACTTAAAAATGTGCCAGGGTGGGGTGTGGGGGGGTTTTGACACCAGAGCCCCGGGGCCCAGGGCCATATTTACAGGCTGTACAGGGCTGGGGGACACGAGGACAGCTCCCGGGGAGGGGCTCTGGGGGACCCCAGGATGCAGCCACAGCTCTGGAGACCCAGGGGTGGGGCAGGGGTGACGCAGAGCCCCAAACCTGGGAGCTGGGGGACCCTAAGGTCCCAGAAATGATGTGCCCAAGGTCCCCAAGCCAAGGTCCCCAAACTGGTGGTCTCTGGGGTCCCGGAGCTGGTGAACCCCAAGGTCTTGGCACCAATGTTCCCAAGGTCCCAGAGCTGGGGGCTGCCGGGGTCCTGGATCCGATGGCCCCACAGATAGCCAAGGGGTCCCCGAGCCCCCAGGGTCCTGGGGCCAGCGACACCTGGGGGTCCCCAGGGGCACCCCAGATGCCCGAGCTGCCACAGCACAGGCCCCTGGGTGCTGGTGCCGATATCCCCAAGGGGGGGGGGATGCTGGAGCTGAGGGAGCCCCCCCTGGGAGCCCCCCAGAACAGCTGCAGCCCCTGTGGAGAAGGGGGGGGGGGGGTCTGGCTCCGTTGCAGACCCCCTGCACCAACAGTGCTCCCCGGGGAGGGGGTTGGTCCCAGTGCCAACGCAGCCCTGGGTGCTAGATCTGACGCACCCTTGGAGGGGGGGTGGGGGGGGGTGGTCCCGGCACCAACGCGGCCCTGGGTGCCGGATCCGGTGCGGCCCCCCCGCCCCGAGGAGCTCCCAGTGCCGACGCATCCCTCAGGGGGGGATCCCGGCGCCGATGCCGCCCCAGGTCCCAGCTCCGGCGCATCCCCCCCCTTGGGAGGGATGCAACCCTTGAGGCGGGGGTCCCAGCTCCGGCGGGTCCCTAGAGCTGGAGCTGACCGGCCACGCGCGCCAAGGTGGCGCGGAAAGCGCCAGCGGTGCCGGCCAGGCGCCGGAAGAGCACGCCGTGGAGGCCGAGGCGCTGGAGCCGGCAAACCTCGGCCTCGAAATGGCAGAAGTGCTCGCTGGGGCCCCGGTCGTGGGTGCAGGAGAGCAGGAAGGGCTGGGGCTGGCGGGCGCGGCAGCCGGCCGAGAGGGTGGCCTGCCGCAGCGCTGCCATCACCGCCTCGGCCGGCCGGGCGCTCGTCACCTTCACATGCCAGGGGCATCGGAGCAGCCGGGGTTCGGCTTCCTTTTGATCCCAAGGTAGATGGCAACTGTGGGGAGGGGAGCGGGTGGGGGGGGGTGGGGGCAAGAAGGTGGTGGGCACAGGGCTACAGGGTGGGGTAGGGCATGGGGCTGCATGGGGTGGGTATGGGGGGGGGGCTACAGGGCACGGAGGGCTGTGGGGTGGGTACGGGGGCGACAAGGCACTGAGAGCAGTGGGTAGGGTGAAGGCAGGGGGCTGTGGGGAGGGTTATGGGGGCTACAGGGCACTGAGGATGGGTATGGCAGGGGGCTGTGGGGGTGGGTTTGGGGGGGCCATAGGTATGGTGCAGGCAGAGGGCTGCGGGGAGAGGATGGGGGCTCTGGGGCACAAGAGGCAGAGGGTATGGGGACCCTGGGGCACCATAGGCAGTGGGTATGGGGGCTCTGGGGGGTATGGGGACTCTGGGGCACAGGGGCAGTAGGTATGGGGGCTCTGGGGCACCGGGGCAGTGGGTATGGGGGCTCTGGGGCAGTGGGTGTGGGGGGTATGGGGGCTCTGGGGCAGTGGGTGTGGGGGGTATGGGGGCTCTGGGGCACAGGGGCAGTAGGTATGGGGGTTTGGGGGTTCTGGGGCAGTGGGGATGGGGGGTGTGGGGGCTCTGGGGCACAGGGGCAGGGGGTATGGGGCCTCTGGGGCACCATAGGCAGTGGGTACAAGGGCAGGGGGTACGGGGGCTCTGGGGCACCACAGGCAGTGGGTATGGGGGCTCTGGGGCAGTGGATATGGGGAGTATGGGGGCCAGGGGGTGGGCAGGGGGGCTGTCCCCCCCCCCGGGACACACCCCTGGGCATGAGCACCCACCTTGTGAGCGCAGGTCCCCCGATTCTCTCAGGTTCGTCTGCGACCCTGGGGAGGGGGGGGGCACACGTCAGAGAGGGGGGGACGACACACACATGTCAGGGAAGACCAGGGGCTCTGTCCACCCTGGGAAGCACCAAGCCACCCCCCACCACCATTTTGCACCCACTTTGGGTGACACCTTTCAGGGCCATCACCACAGTTAATGTGGGGGTACAGTCCCCAGCTTGGGGTCACTCTGCCCACACACACACCACCACCACCCCCCCCCCAAAAGCTGTGCTCCCAATTTAGGGGATAGCACCTGGGCAAGGTCATGTCCCCTGGGAGGGGCACTGCCCCAATTTTGGGGGGCACATCGTACCCCATGGGTCATACCTATTTTGGGGGGGGGAACACACAGAGCCCCCCCCCCCCCAAAGTAATGCTGAGTTTGGGGGGCACCAGCCTCAGCTGAAGGCACACCCATTTTCCCCAGGGTGATGCCCCTTGGCAGGGTGGGGGGCATTTCCCCCCCCCACAAAGCTGTGCCCAAATTGGGGCGGGGGAGCACTACCCCCACACTGACAGGCACGAGTGCAACCCCACAGTGGGGAACAACTGTGCCCACACCCCACCCCACCCCCCCACAGCCCCAAACCCCCCCAGCAGGCAAAGGCTAAAAGGCAGAGAGAGAGAGAAGGGACAGGAGCAAAGCGTGGCAGGCGCCGGCAGCACCGTGCCGGGCACTGGGAGCACCGGGACAGGCACTGGGAGCACCGGGACAGGCACTGGGAGCACCGGGAAGGGCACTGGGAGCACCGGGAAGGGCACTGGGAGCACCGGGAAGGGCGCTGGGAGCAGCGCGCCGGGCACCGGGAGCACCGGGACGGGTGCTGGGAGCACTGGGACAAGGTACTGGGAGCACCGGGAAGGGCGCTGGGAGCACCGGGACAAGGTGCTGGGAGCGCCGGGACAAGGCGCTGGGAGCGCCGCGACGGGTGCTGGGAGCACCGGGATGGGCGCTGGGAGCACCGGGACAAGGCACTGGGAGCGCCGGGACGGGCGCTGGGAGCGCCGGGACGGGCGCCGGGAGCACGGGGATGGGCGCTGGGAGCACCGGGACGGGCACCGGGAAGGGCACCGGGAGCGCCAGGACAAGGCACTGGGAACACCGGGACAAGGCACTGGGAGCGCCGGGACGGGCGCCGGGAGCACCGGGACGGGCGCCGGGAAGGGCACTGGGAGCACCGGGAAGGTCACTGGGAACGCCGGGACAGGTGCTGGGAGCACCGGGACAGGCACCGGGAGCACCGGGACAAGGCCCCAGAACACCACTGGGCTGGGGCACTGGGGTAAGTGCTGGCAGCACTAGGATGGCCACCGGGACAAACCACCAGCGCCGCCGGCACAGGCACAGTGGGGAGCGCTGGCGGCGCTGGGACGAGCACCAGTGGCACCGCGACGGGTGCCGGTGACACCGGGCACTTACTGATTTTGGCTCCTGGAGGCGTGGGGGTGCCCGAGACGCACCTATTAGAGCTCTGCCGCTTAGAGGGGTCAAGAGTGACCCTGGAAGAGAGAAGAGGCAGTGAGGAAGGCGAGGGCAGCGCCGGCGGGGCGGGCACAGAGCCCGCGGCCCCCTCACCTGCGGGTCAGCTTGGAGGTCAGCTTGCTGAAGAGGTTGGAGGTGGCCCGCGAGCGGCTCTGGGGCAGCGGCGAAGCCTCAGGCGCCAGTGTGGGGGATGCGGGGGGCCCGTTAGGACCCCCCCCCGTTCGCCGGTCCCGCACTTGCCCGCCGTGGAAGGTGCTGCGGACCGTGGTGCCCCGCGCCAGGCGGGCCCGCTCCGAGGAGGCGGCGGCGATGCTGTGGCTGGAGGGGGACGCCGGAGGCACCCGGCCGGCGACGGAGCTGTGGGCAGGGGAAGGAAGAAGGTGTTGGAGTGTTGCGGGGGGGGGGAAAAGGAGAAAGACAGGAGAGGACCCCAGGGGGGAACAGGAAGACAGGAAAGGACCCTGGGGGGGGGGGACAGGACACTGGCAGGAGAAGGGAGAGAGGACAGGAGCCCAGAGGGGAGCAGGAAGATGGGAGGGGACCCCGGGGGGGGACAGGACGGGAGGGGACCCCGGGGGGGGGGACAGGAGGGGACAGGACACTGGCAGGAGGAGAGGGACAGGGCAGAAGCCCAGGGGGGAGCAGGAAGACGGGAGGGGACCCTGGGAGGGAGGGGACAGGACAGGAGGGGAGAGGACACTGGCAGAAGGGAGAGAGGACAGGACCTCAAGGGGGAGAAGGAAGACGGGGGGGACCCCGGGGGGGACAGGACAGGAAGGGACCCCGGGGGGGAACAGGAGGGAACAGGACACTGGCAGGAGTAGGGAGAGAGGACAGGACCCCAGGGGGGAGCAGAGGAAGACGGGAGAGGACCCTGGCGGGGGACAGCACAGGAGGGGACAGGACATTGGCAGAAGAGAGAGAGGTCAGGACAGGAGCCCAGGGGGGAGCAGGAAGACGGGAGAGGACCCTGGGGGGGGGACAGGACAGGAGGGGAGAGGACACTGGCAGGAGGGAGAGAGGACAGGACCCCAAGGGGGAGAAGGAAGACGGGGGGGGTGACAGGACAGGACCCCAGGGCGGGAGCAGGAAGACAGGAAAGGACCCTGGGAGGGGACAGGACAGGAGGGAACAGGACAGTGGCAGGAGGAGGGGGACAGGACAGGAGGGGACCCCGGGGGGGGACAGGACAGGAGGGGACCCCGAGGGGGGAACAGGACAGGAGGGGACCCCCCCCCCCCACCTGTTCTCCTTGCCATTCTGCAGCAGCGAATGGCGGTCAGTGCCCGGGCGCTCGGTGCAGACGTAGGTGTTCCTGCGCGCCATCACGCTCGAGGGGAGGTTGCTCTGCAAAAGCACCAGGTGCCATCAGCGCCATGGGTGGCCCCCCCTCCCTCCCTGAGTCCTGCCCCACTCCCACCCCCCCCACCCCCCCCCCCCCCGCCACCTCGTTGCCCACCGTGTTGATGGCGCTGTCCTTGTGCCGGTCGGGGATCTCGGCCTTGTTGGGGTTGTTGGCGCTGCTGACCATGGGGCTGGAGGGGGGCATCCCGCGCCCGCTCCCCACCACGCTGCAGCTGGCCTTGCGGGCGGGCATGCGCTCCTCCTTCAGCTCCGCGTCGCCCGCGCTGGTGGGGCTGCGCTTGGGGTGCATGGGCACCGGCGAGGGGCCGCCTGCGGGCAAAGGGGAGGGGGGTGTGTTGCAGGGGGGGGTCAGTTCTATCAACCAGCCACCCTGTAGGATGTAGGAGACGGTGCCCACCCTGCCCTGGACCCCCCCCCAGGCATGAAGACCACCCTAACTCTGCACCCAATGGGGCATAAAGCCCACCCTGCCCTGCATCCAGTAGGCATGGGACTGGGTGCCCACCCTGCCATGGACCCCACAGACACAGAGCCCACCCTACACTGCACCCCACCAGCACGGCACTGGGTGCCCACCCTACACTGCACCCCACAGATATGGCACTGGGTGCCCACCCTGCCTTGAACCCAGTGGGCAAGGGACTGGGTGCCCACCCCACCCCGAACCCCACAGGCATGGAGCCCACCTTACACTGCACCCAGTGGGCATGCGACTGGGTGCTCACCCTGCCTCAAACCCCACAGGCATGAAGCCCACCCGACTCTGCACCCCAGAGGCATGGGACTGGGTGCCCACCCTGCCATGGACCCCACAGACACAGAGCCCACCCTACTCTGCACCCAGTGGCCACACGACTGGGTGCCCACCCTGCCTCAAACCCCACAGGCATGAAGCCCACCCGACTCTGCACCCCACAGGTATGGCACTGGGTGCCCACCCTGCCCTAGACCCCACAGGCATGAAGCCCACCCTACTCTGCACCCAGTGGCCACGCGACTGGGTGCCCACCCTGCCCCAAACCCCACAGGCATGAAGCCCACCCTACTCTGCACCCCACAGGCATGGCACTGGGTGCCCACCCTGCCTTGAACCCAGTGGGCAAGGGACTGGGTGCCCACCCCACCCCAAACCCCACAGGCATGGAGCCCACCTTACACTGCACCCAGTGGACACAGGACTGAGTGCCCACAGGCATGAAGCCCACCCTACTCTGCACCCCACAGGCATGGCACTGGGTGCCCACCCTGCCTTGAACCCAGTGGGCAAGGGACTGGGTGCCCACCCCACCCGGAACCCCACAGGCATGGAGCCCACCTTACACTGCACCCAGTGGACACAGGACTGGGTGCCCACCCTGCTCTGGACCCTGCAGGCATGGGATTGGGTGCCCACCCTGCCCTAGACCCCACAGACACAGAGCCCACCCTACTCTGCACCCAGTGGGCACGCGACTGGGTGCCCACCCTGCCCCGGACCCCACAGGCACGAAGCCCACCCTACTCTGCACCCCACAGGCATGGCACTGAGTGCCCACCCTGTCCTGGATGCCACAGGCACAGAACCCACCCTGCCCTGGGCCCCGCAGGCATGGGACTGGGTGCCCACCCTGCTCTGGACCCCACAGACACAGAGCCCACCCTACTCTGCACCCAGTGGGCACGCGACTGGGTGCCCACCCTGCCCCGGACCCCACAGGAACGGCACTGGGTGCCCACCCTGCCCTGGACCCCGCAGGCATGGGACTGGGTGCCCCCCCTGCCCCAAACCCCACAGGCACGGAACACACCCTGCCCTGGACCCCCCCCGGGGCACAGAGCCCACCCTACCGTGCCCCCCCTGCCCCAAGCACGACGCCCGGCCCTGCAGGCGCAGGACACCGTGCCCACCCCGGGGACGGGGCTGGGGACACTCACAGAAGTCGCTGTGCCGCCGCTGCCGGTGGTAGGTGGTGGCACCGCGCTGGCTCTTGCTGTGCGAGGACGCTTTCCCGGTGCCGTTGGCCGCCTCGCTGGGTGCCCGCACCCGGGCCAGGGAGAGGCTGCTGCCCGTACGCGACTCTCCTGCCTCCACCTGTGAGCGGCAGCGCCCGTCACCAGCCCTGCCCGGCGTCCCCAGGCAGGGACAGCGGCGCCACCGCGCGTCACCTCACCTCGTTCTTCCTGCCCAGCAGGAGGTAGGTGGCCGTAACCTCGTTGTATTTCTGGTTACTCAGGGACTCCTTGATCTCCTCCCGGGTGTAGCCCATGCCCACCATCACCTCTGCGGGGAGCGGGGATAGTGAGGGGGCACCGCCGGTCCCCGGCGGACCCCCACCCCGGGGTGCCAGGGTGGCACTGTGCCCTCACCGATGCGCTTGGCGTCCCCGAAGTCCTCCTCAGGCTCCTTGTAGGGTTTCAGCTCGTCACCCTCGTAGCCGATGTTGATCCACTTGTCCTTCATGATTTGCTGCGGGGTGACATGGGTGACGTTGGGGGTGTCATCAGCACCCACCCCCCCCTGCGATGCCAGCCCAGGGTGCTGGGCCCCAGCCAGGGCACTGGTGGCTGCATCCTGCCCATGCCCACTGGCACTGTAACAACCCGTCATCAGTCCCAGAGCTAATTAAGCTAATTAAGAACACTGGGAAGCGGGAGCCCACGGGGTGGGGAGTGAAGTGGCTAGGGACAGTGCCCCATCAGGGTGGGAGGATGTCCCAGACCTGCCCCCCCCCGCCAGCCCTCCCCTCACCTCGAGGGTGCAGCGCTTGGCCGGGTTCAGCACCAGGAACCGGCGCAGGATGTTCTCGCAGTCAGTCGACATGTAAAAGGGCACCCGGTACTTGCCCCGCAGCACCCGCTCCCGCAGCTCCTGGGGGGGGGCCAGGATGCACCACGTGAGTTGCGGGGCACCCACGTCCTGGCGTGGGGCAGGCACCGACCTCCCATCGGCATGGGGACAAGGGGGGCACTGTCACCCTGGGCATGAGGACAGGACAGGACCAGTGCTGCCCCACATTTGGGGGTTCGGGGTTGGACAGGACAGGGGAACGGGACAGGTGCTGCCCCACATCTGGGGGTTCGGGGTTGGACAGGGAAGGGACAGGTCCTGCCCCACATCTGGGGGTTTGGGGTGGGCACTGTCCCCAGTCAGGCAGGGGAATGGGACAGGTGCTGCACCACATTTTGGGGGTTTGGGGTTGGACAGGACAGGGAAGGGACAGGTGCCGCCTCACATTTGGAGTTGGACAGGGAAGGGGACAGGTGCTGCCCCACATTTGGGGGTTTGGGGTTGGACAGGGAAGGGAAGGGACAGGTGCCGCCCCACATTTGGGGTTGGACAGGGAAGGGGACAGGCGCTGCCCCACATTTGGGGTTGGACAGGGAAGGGGACAGGCGCTGCCCCACATTTGGGGGCTTGGGGTTGGACAGGGAAAGGAAGGGACAGGCGCTGCCCCACATTTGGGGGTTTGGGGTTGGACAGGGAAGGGAAGGGACAGGTGCTGCCCCACATTTGGGGGTTTGGGGTGGGCACTGTTCCACACCAGGCATGTGGCCAGGACAGGACAATCACCATCCTCAGCCAAGAAGGGGACAGGACAGGGCTGGGTGACAGGAGGGGACGTCGCCCCATCCCGCCTGCCCACCTTGAGGTTGTGGCCGTCGAAGGGCAGGGAGCCGCTGACCAGGGTGTAGAGGATGACACCCAGGCTCCAGATGTCAACCTCGGGGCCGTCGTACTTCTTGCCCTGGAAGAGCTCGGGGGCGGCGTAGGGGGGGGATCCACAGAAGGTGTCCAGCTTGGAGCCCAGCGTGAACTCGTTGCTGAAGCCGAAGTCGGCAATCTTGATGTTGGCGTCGGCGTCCAGCAGCAGGTTCTCCGCCTGCAGGCACCAGGACGCAGAACGGGCACCGTGTCCAGCACAGGGCCACCGAGACGGGCACAGGGACGGCGGGATGGGGACACTGGGATGGGCACCGGGATGGCAGGATGGGAACACTGGGATGGGCACCACATTGGGCACCAGGATGGGCACCGTGTTAGGCACTGGGATGGCAGGATGGGGACACTGGGATGGGCACAGAGACGGCGGGATGGGGACACTGGGATGGGCACCGCGTTGGGCACAGGGATGGGGGCACTGGGACGGGCACCACATTGGGCACAGGGAGGGTGGGATGGGGACACTGGGATGGGCACAGCGTTGGGGCCACCAGGATGGGCACCGGGATGGCAGGATGGGGACACTGGGATGAGCACCACATTGGGCACCAGGATGGGGCCACCAGGATGGGCACCGTGTTAGGCACTGGGATGGCAGGATGGGGACACTGGGATGGGCACTGCGTTGGGCACAGGGATGGGGACACTAGGACGGGTACCACATTGGGCACAGGGAGGGTGGGATGGGGACACTGGGATGGGGCCACCAGGATGGGGACACTGGGATGGGCACCGGGATGGCAGGATGGGGACACTGGGATGGGCACAGAGACAGCGGGATGGGGACACTGGGACGGGCACCACGATGGGGCCACCAGGATGGGCACCGTGTTAGGCACTGGGATGGCAGGATGGGGACACTGGGAAGGGCACCGCGTTTGGCACAGGGATGGGGACACTGGGACGGGCACCACATTGGGCACAGGGAGGGTGGGATGGGGACACTGGGATGGGCACCGTGTTGGGCACAGGGATGTCGGGATGGGGACACTGGGATGGGCACCGTGTTGGGCATAGGGATGTCGGGATGGGGACACTGGGATGGGCACCGGGATGGCAGGATGGGGACACTGGGATGGGCACAGAGACGGCAGGATGGGGACACTGGGATGGGCAGTGTCCAGCATGGGGCCACCAGGATGGGCACCGCATCAGGCACAGGGACAGTGGGATGGGGACACTGGGATGGGGACAGTGTCCAGCGTGGGGATGCTGGCATGGGCACATCTGGCACAGGGACAGTAGGATGGGGACACTGGGATGGGGACAGTGTCAGGCACCCCATGTGGCACAGGGACACCGGGAAGGGCACAGTATGGGGTAGTGCCACCACAGGGCACCCCACTGCCCCTGCCCAGTGCCACCCCCGGCAGGGGACACCGCGGGGTCCCACCTTGAGGTCCCGATGGACGATGTTTTTCTGGTGGCAGTAATGCACGGCCGAGACGATCTGGGGACAAGGCCAGTACTCGTGGGGTGTCACCAGTGCCCACTGTCCCCACTGCCACCAGCGTGTCCCTCCATGGCGCCCACCCCGCCTTTCCTTGGCCTCTCCTGTGTGTGTGTCCCCCCCCCCGATCGATGCCACAGCCAGTGGCCCCAGGGAGGATCGATCCTGGCCATGTGTGGCTGCCACGTGCCAGCCCTCCCCCACGGCCACCCCCCCTCGCAATGTCCCCAGCCCAATGCCACCACAGTGCCACAACCCCCCCCACCCTCTGCCAGCCCCCCACCACATCCCCAGCCCCCCCCCCCCCCATCATGCCACATCCCTCCCCACCCTCTGCCAGCCCCCCACCACGGCCACCCCCCCTCGCAATGTCCCCAGCCCAATGCCACCACGGTGCCACATCCCCCCGCCTCCTCTGCCAGCACCCCCCCCCCCCACCTGTCTGAACTTGGCTCGCGCCTCCTTCTCCTTCATCCTCCCATGGGACACGAGGTAGTCGAACACTTCACCTGCAAGGACACCCATGGGTGCCTGTGTGCCCCCCACCCCAGGCACAGCACCCCCAGAAGGAGCCTGCACCACCCCCCCTCACCCCAGGCATGGCACCCCCAGCCCAAACCACCACCCCCCTGCCCCCCCCCCAGCCATGGTGGGCACCGTGCCCCACACTAGACCACTGGGTGCACCCCCTAACCCCAGCACAGCACCCTGCGGTGCACCCAGGCAGAGCAGAGCCCCCCTGGGGGGGGGGGGGGGGGGAGAGTGTTGCAGCACCCTTGGGGAGGGGGGGGCGGGTGTCAGGGTGCCTGGGGAGGGGTCTCACCAGCACTGGCATACTCCATCACCAGGTACAGCGTCTTCTCTGTCTCAATGACCTCGAACAGTTTCACTGCAGGGAGGTGATGGTGGGGAGGGGTTGGGGGGGGGGGGGGGTTTCAGCACAGGCACCCACGGGTGCCCCCCCCCCCCCTCCAAGAGTCAGGGGGCCCACTCACCAATGTTGGGGTGGTTGAGACCCTTCATGATGCGAACTTCCCGGAAGAGCTGCATGGAGCAGGGGGGGGAAGGTGAGGGGGGGCAACGGTGTTAGTTGGGGGGGGGCCAGGCCCGCCCCCCCCTCCCCCCCCCCCAAACCCCATGAAACACCCCCTCGTGTGCCCCCCACCTTCTGGAGACTGGTGGGGTTCAGCTGCGTCTTGTCGATGATTTTTATGGCCACCTAGGAAGGAACCGGGGGGGGGTGGTGAGGGAGGGGGCGGTGCTGTCGGTTACCCCAACCCCCACCCCCCCCCTCAGACACCCAAACTCCCCCCAGCACCGCAATTCTCCTCCCAGTTGCACCCCCCAGCTTCCCTCACACCCTCTCATACCCCCCCCGCCCCCAACTCCACCAGGATCCCCATTTCTCCCCCCATTTCCCTCCCAGGCCCCTTGTCTCTCCCCACAGGGCCCCCCCCACTTCTCCCCCCGGGTCCCCCCCACCCCCCCACCTCACGGCCGGTGAGGATGTGCCGGGCCAGCTTGACCTTGGCGAAGTTGCCCTTGCCGATGGTGCGCAGCAGGCGGTAGTTGCCAATGTGGGGCTGCTCCTCGGGGCAGGAGGCGATGGAGTTGCGGCAGCGGGCACCCAGCGAGCGGCTGGACCAGGCCGAGCCCTTCTCCGAGCGGCTGCCCCCCAGGCCCGCGAGCTGGGGAAGGAAGGGGAGGACACACAGCTGAAACATCCCCCCACCCCCGTACCCCCCCCGCCATCCCAGCTTATTGCACGAGTGACCAGTACTGCTGAGACCCCTCCCAGCTCATCGCAGGAGTGACCAGTACTGCTGAGACCCCCCCAGCTCATTGCACAAGCGACTGGTGCTGCTGAGACCCCTCCCAGCTCATTGCACAACTGACTGGTGCTGCTGAGACCCCTCCCAGCTCATCACAGGGGTGACCAGTACTGCTGAGACCCCCCCAGCTCATTGCACATGTGACTGGTGCTGCTGAGACCCTGCCCAGCTCATCACAGGGGTGACCAGTACTGCTGAGACCCCCCCCAGCTCATTGCACAAGCGACTGGTGCTGCTGAGATCCCTCCCAGCTCATCACAGGGGTGACCAGTACTGCTGAGACCCCCCCAGCTCATTGCACATGTGACTGGTGCTGCTGAGACCCCTCCCAGCTCATCACAGGGGTGACCAGTACTGCTGAGACCCCCCCCCCCAGCTCATTGCACAAGCGACTGGTGCTGCTGAGACCCCTCCCAGCTCATTGCACAACTGACTGGTGCTGCTGAGACCCCTCCCAGCTCATCACAGGGGTGACCAGTACTGCTGAGACCCCCCCAGCTCATTGCACATGTGACTGGTGCTGCTGAGACCCTGCCCAGCTCATCACAGGGGTGACCAGTACTGCTGAGACCCCCCCCAGCTCATTGCACAAGCGACTGGTGCTGCTGAGACCCCTCCCAGCTCATCACAGGGGTGACCAGTACTGCTGAGACCCCCCCAGCTCATTGCACAAGCGACTGGTGCTGCTGAGACCCCCCCCAGCTCATTGCACAAGTGACTGGTGCTGCTGAGACCCTGCCCAGCTCATCACAGGGGTGACCAGTACTGCTGAGACCCCCCCCAGCTCATTGCACAAGCAACTGGTGCTGCTGAGACCCCTCCCCAACTTATCACAGGAGTGACCCCGCCCCCTCCAGCTCACCACAGGAGCGATTGGTGCTGGAGAGACCCCCCCAGCTCATCACAGGGGTGCCCTCTGCCGCACCCCCCCCCCCGCTCACCACAGGGGTGCCCCCCGCCCCCCAGCACCCAAAGGCCCCCGGGGGGGGACGCTGCCCCGGCCGGTGGGGTGGGGCCCGATCCTGCCTGACCGGCTCCAGGGCCGCGTCCCAGCCTCGCCCGTGTGGGGGGGGGGGGGGGGGGGGGGGCTCTGCTGGCCCCAGTGTGCCCCCCCCTTCCCAGCTGTGGGGTCACTGGGGTCCCCCCATCACGCCAGTACCGCCCCCCCCCCCAATCCCCCCACTCCCGCTTAATAGCCCCAGAGCCCCCCTACCCCAGTACAACCGGGCCCCTCCCGGTGCTCCGCCAGTATAAACCAGCCCCGCCCCCGGTGACCCCCTGGTACAAACCGACCCCTCTCGGTGCCCCCCCCGGTAAAAACCGACTTCCCCCCAGTATCCCCAATTCAAACCGACACCCACACGGTGCCCCTTGTACGAACCAGCCCCCCCACATCCCCCTGGTATCCCCAATACAACCCACCCGCTCCCAGTGCCCCTCCGGTACAAACCCGGGGCCCCCCCCGGTACAACCCACCCCCTCCCAGTGCCCCTCCGGTACGAACCATCCCCTCCCGGTGCACCCCCGGTGAAACCCACCCCCCCGGTCCATCCCGCCCCACCCCCGGTGCCCCCGCCGGTACCAGCCGCCCCCCTCCCCCGGTACATCCCCCCCGCTCACCGTGTCCGCGTTCCGCTCGTTCCCCGCCGCCAGAGCCGAGCGCGAAGACATCTTGACCGGCGGGGCCGGGGCCCGGGGGGGCGGGGGGGGGGAAGGGGGGGGGAGGCTCGGGGGTCGGCCCGGGCCGGGCCGGGCGCACCGGGCGCGGCCGCTACCAGCGGCTCATGGCCGGGCCGGAGCGCTCGGAGGCGGAGCCGGGGCCGGGCCGGGCCGGGCCGGGCCCGGGCGGGGGGGGGGCCCTAAGGGCGGGCGGCGGCGGGGGCGGCCATGGGCCGGGCCGGGCCGGAACCGGAAACGGCACCGGGCGGGGCGGGGCTCCGCGGCGGGGCTGGCCACGCCCCTTAAAGGCGCCTCAGCCCCCCCCCGGCGGCCGGGAGGGGGGGGGGGGAGTAGGGGTACCGGGGTTATTTGAGGGCGCGGGGGGCATTCAGGGGGGGCAGGGTCGTTGAGGGGCTGTGGGGGGGCAGGGGTTGTGGGTGTTTTGGGGGGGCAGGGGGCGGTTGGCGTGGAGCCAGCGGGTGGAGGGCGTTCAGGGGTACGGCGGCGCCGAATTGGGACCGTGGGAGCGACCCCCCCCGCCCGGGCTGGGGACACGCCTGGGGCGCGGGGAGGGGCGCTGCCCCGCCCTTTGCCTTTAAGAGGAGCGTCAAGGCGGGGCTGGTCCCGCCCCCACCGGCAGCACGGCGGCCAATCGCAAGCCGCCGGGCGCGGCCGCGGCTCCTTCCCATTGGCTGCGCCGGGGCATGGAGACAGCCCGGCCGGCCCCCCCCGGCGGGGGCGGGGCCCACGCCAGCGCGCCTTTGCGATTGGCTGCTGTGCCGGCCAATCGGCGGCGACAGGAGTGTGCGGGGGGGGGGGCCGGGGGTGAGCGTTAACCCCTAAGTGGCCGGCGGAGGTGTCACATGGAGGAGTTCGACGTCACGCGGGGTGGTGGGGACACGGTGGGACATGAACACGGGTGGAGGGGGGGGGCAGGACGTCACGTGGTGCTGGGCGCTGGGCCGGTGTCCCCGTTTGCCACCCGGGGCCGGGGGGGGCGGGGCGGGTGACAACGATCGGTCCCCCAGTGCCACCCGGGTCCTGTCCCTGTGCCGTGCCAGTGTCCCCCGGTGCCACCCGGGTCCTGTCCCTGTCCCCGTGCCAGTGTCTGTCCCCCAGTGCCACCCGGGTCCTGTCCCTGCACCGTGCCAGTGTCCCCCGGTGCCACCCGGGTCCTGTCCCTGTGCCGTGCCACTGTCCCCCGGTGCCACCCGGGTCCTGTCCCTGTCCCTGTGCCGTGCCAGTGTCCCCCGGTGCCACCCGGGTCCTGTCCCTGTCCCCCAGTGCCACCCGGGTCCTGTCCCTGCACCGTGCCAGTGTCCCCCGGTGCCACCCGGGTCCTGTCCCTGTGCCGTGCCAGTGTCCCCCGGTGCCACCCGGGTCCCGTCCCTGTCCCTGTGCCGTGCCAGTGTCCCCCGGTGCCACCCGGGTCCTGTCCCTGTCCCTGTGCCACGCCAGTGTCCCCCGGTGCCACCCGGGTCCTGTCCCTGTGCCATGCCAGTGTCCCCCGGTGCCACCCGGGTCCTGTCCCTGTCCCTGTGCCATGCCAGTATCCCCCGGTGCCACCCGGGTCCTCTCCCTGCGCCGTGCCAGTGTCCCCCGGTGCCACCCAGGTCCGGTCCCTGTGCCGTGCCAGTGTCTGTCCCCCAGTGCCACCCGGGTCCTGTCCCTGCACCGTGCCAGTGTCCCCCGGTGCCACCCGGGTCCTGTCCCTGTCCCTGTGCCATGCCACTGTCCCCCGGTGCCACCCGGGTCCTGTCCCTGTCCCTGTGCCGTGCCAGTGTCCCCTGGTGCCACCCGGGTCCTGTCCCTGTCCCTGTGCCGTGCCAGTGTCCCCCAGTGCCACCCAGGTCCTGTCCCTGTCCCTGTGCCAGTGTTCCTCAGTGCCACCCGGGTTCTGTCCCTGTGCCATGCCAATGTCTGTCCCCCAGTGCCACCTGGGTCCTGTCCCTGTCCCTGTGCTGTGCCAGTGTCCCCTGGTGCCACCCGGGTCCCGTCCCTGTCCCTGTGCCGTGCCAGTGTCCCCCGGTGCCACCCGGGTCCTGTCCCTGTCCCTGTGCCGTGCCAGTGTCCCCCGGTGCCACCCGGGTCCTGTCCCTGTCCCTGTGCCGTGCCAGTGTCCCCCAGTGCCACCCAGGTCCTGTCCCTGTCCCCGTGCCAGTGTTCCTCAGTTCCACCCGGGTTCTGTCCCTGTGCCATGCCAATGTCTGTCCCCCAGTGCCACCTGGGTCCTGTCCCTGTCCCTGTGCTGTGCCAGTGTCCCCTGGTGCCACCCGGGTCCCGTCCCTGTCCCTGTGCCACGCCAGTGTCCCCCAGTGCCACCCGGGTCCTGTCCCTGCACCGTGCCAGTGTCCCCCGGTGCCACCCGGGTCCTCTCCCTGCGCCGTGCCAGTGTCCCCCGGTGCCACACAGGTCCGGTCCCTGTGCCGTGCCAGTGTCCCCCGGTGCCACCCAGGTCCGGTCCCTGTGCCGTGCCAGTGTCTGTCCCCCAGTGCCACCCGGGTCCTGTCCCTGCACCGTGCCAGTGTCCCCCGGTGCCACCTGGGTCCTGTCCCTGTGCCGTGCCACTGTCCCCCGGTGCCACCCGGGTCCTGTCCCTGTCCCTGTGCCATGCCACTGTCCCCCGGTGCCACCCGGGTCCTGTCCCTGTCCCTGTGCCGTGCCAGTGTCCCCCAGTGCCACCCAGGTCCTGTCCCTGTCCCTGTGCCAGTGTCCCCCAGTGCCACCCGGGTCCGGTCCCTGTGCCGTGCCAGTGTCTGTCCCCCAGTGCCACCCGGGTCCTGTCCCTGCACCATGCCAGTGTCCCCCGGTGCCACCCGGGTCCTGTCCCTGTCCCTGTGCCATGCCACTGTCCCCCGGTGCCACCCGGGTCCTGTCCCTGTCCCTGTGCCGTGCCAGTGTCCCCCAGTGCCACCCAGGTCCTGTCCCTGTCCCCGTGCCAGTGTTCCTCAGTGCCACCCGGGTTCTGTCCCTGTGCCATGCCAATGTCTGTCCCCCAGTGCCACCTGGGTCCTGTCCCTGTCCCTGTGCTGTGCCAGTGTCCCCTGGTGCCACCCGGGTACTGTCCCTGTGCCATGCCAGCATCCCCCGATGCCATCCGAGTCCTGTCCCTGTCCCTGTGCCATGCCAGTGTACCCCGGTGCCACCCGGGTCCTGTCCCTGTGATGTGCCAGTGTCCCCTGGTGCCACCGGGTCCTGCCCTGTGCCATCTAGGTCCTGTCCTGTCCTATGCCCTAGTTCCCCAATGTCACATGGGGTCCTGTCACCCCAGCATGCTGAGGTCGCCTGTGCCATCGCTTCATGTCTGTGTGCCCCTGTGCCACGTGGGGTCCCATCCCTCAGCCACATTGGGGTCCTCCGGTGTCAACCAGGGTCCTGCCCTGTGCCACACCAGTGTCCCCCCTGTGCCAGCAGGATCCTGCCCTTGTGCCATGTGGGGTCCCGTCCCTGTGCCATGTAGGGTCCCCTGTGCCACTGGGATCCTTGTCCTGCCCCATGCCCAGTCCACCCTGTGTCACCAGGGTCCCATCCCTGTGCCATGTAGGGTCCCCTGTGCCATTGGGATCCTGTCCTTGTGCCACGTGGGGTCCTGTCCCTGTGCCGTGTGGGGTCCCCTGTGCCACACCAGTGTCCCCCCTGTGCCAGCAGGATCCTGCCCTCGTACCGTGTGGGGTCCCCCCGTGCCATGTGGGGTCCCATCCTCGTGCCGTGTGGGGTCCCCCCGTGCCATGTGGGGTCCCATCCTCCTGCCGTGTGGGGTCCCCTGTGCCACTGGGGTCCTTGTCCTGCCCCATGCCCAGTCCCCCTGTGTCACCAGGGTCCCACCCCTGTGCCACCGGGATCCCCGGTGCCCCCGTGAAACGTGGGGTCCTCCCTCGCGTGCGTCCCCCCCTCCTCCCTCGTCCCCCGTCCCCCCCCATCCCCGGTGACCCAGCGGAACCGGGGCTGACCCTGCCCCGGCGTGGGAGGCCGCACCGGGGAGGCGCTTCCTCAGGAAACCCCCCAACCGCTGCCACCGCCACAGTGCCCGGTGTCACCGCCGCGGCACCGCCCGCCACCACTGCCGGGGGTACGTGTGCCACGAGGGGGTCCTGCCCACCCACGGGCACCCACCGGCCACGGGCACGCTCCTGGGAGAGGCGGGCGGGCGGGGGGGAAGCGTTGCACAGAGGGGTACGCACGCCCGGCGGTTGTTTGCATGCTTGCGGGGTGCGCACGGAGGGGGTTGGGTTTGCACGCTCGCGGGGTGCGCACGGAGGGGTGGCAGGGCGCACGCGGAGGGGTTGGCACGCTCACGGCGGGGCGTGGGTGCTCACGGAGATGGGGGGGGGGGTGGCTGTGCAAGGAGGGGGCGCAGGGTGTGGGTGCTCCTGCAGCGTGCGCGGAGGGGTTTGCACGCTCACGGGTGCTCAGCGGGTGTGCAGAGGGGCTCGGGGGGGGGGGGGATTGCACGCTCGCGGGGGCACGGGCTCTCACGGGGGGCCGCACGGGGTCATTTGCACACTTGGTGGGATTTGCACGCCGGGTGCCCCGTGCAGGTGCCCGGTGCCACCCCAGCTGGCGGGTGAAGATCCGAGTGCCACCCCGGCTCTCGGGTGGGGGTCAGGGTGCCACCCTGGGGGTCCTGGCTGCCCTTTGGGTGACAGCTTGGGCACCCGGTGCCACCCCGCAGGCCATGCCGCTGCTGAAGAAAACACCCAAGGAGGAGGAGGAGGATGGCGACCCCTTTGCCGCCAACCCCGAGAGCCGCTACCGCCGCCGGGCCACTCTGGAGCGCCTGGTGGGTCTGGCACCCTTCGGCCGTGCCCGCCGCGCCCCCCCCAAAGATGGGGATGGGGACGGTGGCCGGGCGCGGCGGCGGTCAGAGGATTTCGGGCTGTTGCGGCGGCTGCCGGGGCGGCGCAAGGCCAGCGTGGAGGCGCTGGCAGAGAGGACGGTCCCCAAGCGCAGCTCGCTGCTGCGGCTGGCCTTGGGGACACGGGGACGGCGGGGGTCCACGGGCGAGCGCTCACCGACGGTAGAGAGTGACGGGGTGTCCGACGGGGACCAGGACAGCGGGGGACAGCGTCAGGAGGGGCGCGGGAAGGCCAGGGAGCCGCTCTCAGGTAAGAGGGGCTGGGGGGCGTGGGGGTGGGTTGGAGGGGGGGACATGAGGAGATATGGGGTGTATGGAGGTGGGGAGGTAGGTCATGTGGGCATGAGGACATGGGACATGGGTATGAGGAGATGGGACGTGGGGATGGGGACATGGGGATGGGGACATGGGACATGGGGATGGGGACATGGGGATGGGGATATGGGGACATGGGGATGGAGACATGGGGATGGGGACATGGGACATGGGGATGGGGATATGGGGACATGGGGATGGGGACATGGGGATGGAGATGGGGACATGGGGATGGGGATGGGAACATGGGGATGGGGATATGGGGATGGGGATGGGGACATGGGGATGGGGATATGGGGACATGGGCATGGGGACATGGGGATGAGGATGGGGACATGGGGATGGGGACAGGGGGATGGGGACATGGGGATGACGATGGGGACATGGGGATGGGGATGGGGACATGGGGATGGGGATTTGGGGACACAGGAGGACATGAGCGATCACAGAATGTAGGGCATGGCCATGGGGACACTGGAGGACATGGGACATGGAGGAACACTGGCATAGGGATTGTGAGACATGGGGACAGAGGACCATGGGGGACGTGGGGCATTGTGAAATGGGGACATGGTCCATGGGTGGCACCTATGGGTGTTGTTGTCTGTGTGTGTCGTTCCCCGCCCCCCCCCCCACCCCCCCCAAAGTGCTGGAGATCCTGGAGCTGATCCAGCGGCGGGAGCTGGTGGCGGCTGACGAGCAGATCATCGCGCTGGAGGCAGAGTGCGTGGCCTCGTCCCCGTCCCTCTCCGCGTCCCCCGTCCCTGCGGCCGGGCGGCAGGCGCGGGACGTGGCGCTGCTCTACGAGGCTCTGCTGGCACAGCTCTGGGCGGTGGTGGGCGAAGCGGTGCCTGCCGGGCGCCCCTACCCCCCCTTACGCTCGGTGATCCGGGTGCTGGAGCAGGAGGAGGTGGCCGATCGCCAGTACGCGCCGGGCACCCCCGGGCGCCCGCGCACCCTCCGTCGCCGCTGGCAGGAGGCAGTGGGGCGGGCGGCGGGCGAGAGGTTGGCACAGGTAGCCCCTGCCGCTGGGTTGGGCGCCCGATTGGCAGCGCTGGCAGCTCGGTTGGTGGGCGACCTGGGGGCCGTGCGGTGCCACGTGGCCCCCGCTTACCCCCCCGAGTACGGTGCCTTTGGGGTCTACGCCCGCGGGTACCACCGGGCGCTGGCACAGCAGCTGAGCGCGCTGGCACAGAGACCCCTCGCCGTGCCCGACCTCTACTTGCTGCTCGACTGGCACAGCAACACCTACCCCAGGTGAGACACCCCCCCTCTCCCCAGCACCTGCTGGCACCCGTGGGACCCCACCAGCATGCTGGGCACCCTGGGGCACCCAGTGGCACCCGTGGGACCCCACAGCAGCCACATCCCTGGTATGCTGGGCACCCTGGGGCACCCGTGGGACCCCACAGCAACCACGTCCCTGCTATGCTGGGAACCCTGGGGCACCCAGTGTCACCCCACAGCACCCACACTCCTTGTATGCCGGGCACCCTGGGGCACCTGTGGGATCCCACAGCGTCCATGTCCCTGGTATGCTGGGCACCCTGGGGCACCCGTGGGATCCCACAGCATCCATGTCCCTGGTATGCTGGGCACCCTGGGGCACCCGTGGGATCCCACAGCATCCATGTCCCTGGTATGCTGGGCACCCTGGGGCACCCAGTGTCACCCCACAACATCCACACTCCTTGTATGCTGGGCACCCTGGGGCACCCATGGGACCCTTTGGCACACTGGACATCCCTGGGGCTGTTCCCCGGGCAGTGGTGGGTGCTGGGCACCCCCAGTGCCACCTGGAGTGGGCACTGTGAGGTCCCTGTACCCGCAGGGAGGTGCTGGGGCACCCTGAGGTGGGGGCCCTGCTGCAGGCGCAGGCACTGGGGCCCCTCCTGCCCCCCGAGACCCAGCGCAGCCTTGAGAGCTCCTGCATCGCCGCTGTCAAGGTACGGGCACCGGGATGGGCAAGGGATGGCGACTAGGGTGGGAGCATGATGGGCAGTGGGGCGGCACTGGGGTGGGAACACAGTGGGCATTGCGGTGGCACTGGGGTGGGCACATGATGGACACAAGGGTGGCACTGGGATGGGCACACAGTGGGCACTGGGATGGGCACCGGGATGGGCCCAGGGCTGGGGGCTGGCAGGGGACCCTGCGCCCCGCTGTCCTCATACCCGCTGTGCCCGGTGCCAGGCGAAGGTGGAGGTGGCGGTGGCGCAGGAGCTGCAGCTCAGCGAGGACACGTGGGCGGAGGAGGCCTCCAGCCAGGAGCTGCAGGAGGGACTGGCCACCCGCGTCACCGGGGTATGGGCACGCGCGGGACCCCCTGCTCCATCCTCTGCACCCAACCCCTGGGCTCTGTGGGGTGACCCACAGCCCCAAAGGGGTGCCCCGTGGGGACATCAAGGTGCTCGGGCACCCCATAAGGATGGCAAGGGGATGGTGGGGTTGTTGGTACCCCAGGGGACACCTGGGGAATGGTGGGCTGGTGGCTGTGCCCCCCACACCCTGCCGTGCCTGTCGCGCAGCTGCTGCGGGCACATGTGGACCGAGCCCCCCAGATCACCCCCGAGTTCGGCATGGAGATGGCACACAGCCTCCTGGGTGTGCTGGTGGCCTTCCTGCACAGGTGGGCATGGTGACACGGGGGGGGTGGGGACGGGACACAGCAAGGACATGGTGGGGACAGGGGATGGGCATGGGGAGACCGGGGATGGGCATGGGGAAACCAGGCATGGATATGGGGACATGGGGACATCAGGACAAGAGAGGGGATGGCCACACGGACATGGGCACTGTGGGGGGACAGGACGGAGCTGGGATGTCCATGAGGGGCACAGGACGAGCGTGGCACCTGGCTGCCAGGTCCCCTGGGTGCCAGTGCGGGTGACCTGTGTGGGTGCCCTCAGTTTCCAGCGGAAAGTGGAGCGGTTCCTGGAGTCTCCCGGTGAAGCCACTCCACCCGACAGTGCCACCGGCCGGGCCATCGCCCTGGTCAACTGCTGTCCCCCCTTCAGGTAAGGGCACCCCAAGAACCACCCTCCCCTGGTCCCTGGGGTGCTCCGGGTGCCCAGGCTCCCTGGCAGCACCCACTGAGATCCCCACGGCAGGACCTTCGCTGAGCGCCTAGCGCAGTTTGGGCACCCAGAGAGTGAGGAGCCCCGGCGCCAGGCCCACGCTGCCCTGGACAAGGTGACCCGGCTCTGCAACCATGTCCTCACCCAGCGCCTCTTCGAGGACCTCAAGGTGCTCACGCGGGTCAGGACGGCCTGGGGAGGGACGGCCAGCGAGGTGCACCGGGGTGCTGGGCAGGGTGCCCATTGGTTGGGTGCTGAGCCAGGCAGCACCCATGGGAGCAATGCTCATGGTGCCCACCAGTTGGGTGCTGAGCTGGGTGATGCCCACGGATGCAATGCTCTTGGATGGCCTCCCACCACCCTGGGCACCACCACCCTGTGTGCCACCCATGGGTGCCAGGACAGCTGCCCACCCCAGCTGCCCGCCCCCCATGCAGCCCTACTTCAACAAGCTGATGAAGCGCAAGTGGCTGACGAGCTCCGACGCCTTCGACACCATTGTGATGCTCATCACCAGCTTCACCCAGAAGCTGCGCCCGCTGCACCCCGAACCCTACCAGGTGGGTGCTGGGCATGACGCTGTGTGGCCGGTGCCATCACCACTGGCTTCTGGTTGACCTTTTTCCCGCAGGTGCTGGTGAGCGAGGTGCACCGGCGGGTGCTCATTGAGTACGTGCGGCCGCTGCTGCAGGTGCGTTTGGTCTGCACCTCGGCCAAGATGCGCGCCCGGGTGGCCGCCCGCCTCGGGGACGAAGCCCGCCAGCTCCGCGAGCTCTTCAGCCGCTTGGTGAGACGCCACCCCCCCTCCCCGGCACCCCGGGGTGCTCCTCAGGTAGGGGTGACGGTGCTGAGGTCCCCTGTGCTGGCAGGATTCGGCCTCGCCCTGGCTGGATTCGGTGGTGCCGCGGTTGAGAGAGCTGCTGGTGCTGGAGGACACGGCGGCGCTGCAGATGGAGGTGGGCGTCCTGGTGAGGGACTTCCCCGACGTCCGGTGAGTGCTGGCCCCAGGGGGATGGCAGTGGGGTGGCACAGCCAGGCAGGACACCGTGGCCCCATAGGGACAGGAGTGGGGTGGCACATGTCCCCACAGCCACTGCAGCAGGGCGGCAGGGCCAGGCGAGGTGCCACCTCCCTGTAGGGACAGGGGCAGGACACGGTGTCCCCACAGGGACCAAAGCGGGGTGACAGGACGCGGCGTCCGTCCGTCCTTCCCGGCAGCCCCCGCCCCGCTGCCGGTCTCTCCTGGCTGCCCGCCGGGAAGCGGCCACGGCCCTGCGCCAAGTCCCCTCCCCATCCCCGAGTCCCCCGGGGGACCGGTGGCACGCGCGGGCCCGGCAGGATGCCGCCACTTCGAGGGCTTTAAATAGAACCCGTCCCGGCTGCAATTGGTTCCAGTTAAACCTGGGACTGGGATTCACCCCAGAGCTGGGTGTAATGCTGCGCCCCACAGCTGGGTGCAAACCTGCACCCCAAACCTGGGTGCGGTGCTGCACTCCAAAGCTGGGTACATCACTGTACTCCAAAGCTGGGTGCATGCCCCACCCCAAAGCTGGGTGCAAAGTTGTGCCCCAAAGCTGGGTGCAAACCTGCACCCCAAAGCTGGGTGCAATATTGCACCCCAAAGCTGGGTGCAAACCTGCACCTCAAAGCTGGGTGCAGTGCTGCGCCCCAAACCCGGGTGCAGTGCTGTGCCCCAAAGCTGGGTGCAATGTTGCATCCCAAAGCTGGGTGCAATGTTGCGCCCCAAAGCTGGGTGTAAACCTGCACCTCAAAGCTGGGTGCAGTGCTGCGCCCCAAACCCAGGTGCATCGCTGCACCCCAAAGCTAGGTGCATGCCCTACCCCAAAGCCGGGTGCATCACTGTGCCCAAAAGCTGGGTGCAAACCTGCACCCCAAAGCTGGGTGCAATGTTGCACCCCAAAGCTGGGTGCAAAGTTGCACCCCAAAGCTGGGTGTAAACCTGCACCCCAAAGCTGGGTGCAGTGCTGTGCCCCAAACCCAGGTGCATCGCTGCACTCCAAATCTGGGTGCATGCCCTACCCCAAAGCTGGGTGCAGTGTTGCACCCCAAAGCTGGGTGCATGCCCTACCCCAGAGTCGGGTGCATCGCTGCGCCCCAGGGCCGGCGCAACACCACTCCCCAGATTTGGGCACATACCTCTCCCAGGGGAGCGGGCGCACGGCAGCCAGTGTTCCCGTCCCCTGAGGGTCCCCATCCTGCAGGCGGAAGCACGTGGCAGCGGTGCTGGACGTGCGGGGGCTGCGGGGCCAAGCGGCTCGGCAGGAGATCCTGGGAGTGGTGCAGGACCTGGAGCAGAGCGAGGCCGAGCCAGGGCTGCCGCGCCAACGCGCCTTCTTCTCCGAGCTGGCCGTGGCCCGCGAGGTGCGATGCCTGCCCTTCCAGCTGCCGCGCCTGGCGCGCCTCTCCCGCCTGCGCCTGCGCCGCCCGCACGCCCAGCGCCACGGCCAGGCACGGCTCTGAGCGCCTGCGCCCACCCGTGGGTGCAGCGAGGCATCCCGGAGATGGGCACTCCCCTCCCCTGCAGAGCTGGGTGCTCACCTCACTCAAAGATGGGTGCTCAGCTCCCCCAGAGATGGGCGCTCGCCTCCCGCAGAGCTGGGTGCATCGCTGCACCCTGGAGCTGAGTGCTCAGCTCCCCCAGAGATGGGTGCTCACCTCCCTCAAAGGCGGGTGCTCAGCTCCCCCAGAGATGGGTGCTCAGCTCCCGCCGAGCTGGGTGCATCACTACTCCTGAGTTGGGTGCTCAGCTCTGCCAGAGATGGGCGCTCAGCTCCTGCAGAGATGGGCGCTCACCTCCCACAGAGCTGGGTGCATCGCTGCACCCTGGAGCTGAGTGCTCAGCTCCCCCAGAGATGGGTGCTCACCTCCCTCAAAGGCGGGTGCTCAGCTCCCCCAGAGATGGGTGCTCAGCTCCCGCCGAGCTGGGTGCATCACTACTCCTGAGTTGGGTGCTCAGCTCCGCCAGAGATGGGCGCTCAGCTCCTGCAGAGATGGGTGCTCACCTCCCGCAGAGCTGGGTGCATCGCTGCACCCTGGAGCTGGGTGCTCAGCTCCCCCCGAGGTGGACGCTCACCTCCCCCAGAGATGGGTGCTCAGCTCCCCCAGAGTTGGGTGCATCGCTACTCCTGAGTTGGGTGCTCAGCCTCCCCAGAGATGGGTGCTCGCCTCCCCCAGAGCGAGGTGCATTGCTGCATCCCAGAGTCGGGTGCCCACCTCCCCCAGAGCCGGGCGCATCACCCCAAGCCCTGCTTGGACCCCCCCAGACCCAGGTGGGGTTGCACTGCCCCCCTAGACTGTGTATAAAAGGTGTCAATGCTGTAAATTAACGCTGGAGCCAGTCTTCGTCCTTTGCTTTTGCTCCGGGTCCTCTCGTGCGTGGAGACAGGGGACACAGCACCCCCCCCCATGCAGAGGGGATGGGGGGGCGGGGGGCTGTCCCTGGGCAGGAGCTGGCTCCTGGGGCGAGGCTGCGGGGCCCCGTCCTGCGATGGCCGCTACAGGGAGGGGGGAGGAAGGAAAGGGTCACTAGTGACTCGCCGGGAAACCACCGCGGGGTGGGGGGAGAGGGGGGGACGGGGCGGGGGGACGATGGCCCTTCCTGGCATGGGAGGCGGGGGGACAGCTGGCTGGACCCTGAGGGGTAGCAGGGAGCTGGGGACAGCGTGGCTGAGGCCAAGGGCAGGATCAGGCCCTGGAGGAGGTGGGGGGGTGGGGGGGTTGGGGGGAACCACTCTGGCCCCGCTCCATCCCGCCCCACCCCACCACGGCGCCCGGATCCAACGCCTTGTGGGACACCCTGTTCGTGTGTGTGTCCCCCCCCTGCCCCGCCCCGCACTGCAAAACAGAGGGGGGAACACAGGATACGGCCACCCCCCCGTGTCCCCCTTGACACCCGCCACCCACAGAACATCATCACCCGCTGCTGCCATGAGCTTGTCAGGTCTCAGCGCTCCTCGGGGCAGGGGGGGGAGTGTGTGCCCCCCACCCGCCGTGTCAAAAATAGGCGAGTGCTGGATCCGGCCAGGAAGGAGCGAGGGCTAAAAATAAGTGGCCCCGGCGCGGCCGCGGCGGGAGCAGGGCCAGGGTCACTGTCCCCCGTGCCGTGGGAAGGGGACAGCGGCGGCGGGGGCGGAAGCGGCAGCGCCGGGCGGGGGTGGCGGGAAGGGATGGGGAGACCTGGGGGGGGGGGGGGGGGGGGGGGGGGCACAGGGGTGGCCCCTGCGCAGGGATGGGGCATGGGACGGCAATGGGGGGGGGTGGCAGAGGGATGGAGACGTGGGGACAGGGATGTCACCGTGCCCAGACAATTCAGGGACACGTGGGGATGGACCCCACCCCATAGGGACACGTGGGGACAGGGATATCATCATGCAGGGACATAGGGACATGGACCCGCGTTGTCCCCGCAGCCCGTGGGTGCAAACGTGGGCACAGGCGGGGGGGGGGGGATGACCCTGGCCCCAGGATGTGCCTGGCATGTTCTGGTGTGTCCTGGCATGTCCTGGCGTGTCCTGTGTCCCAGCCCCGGCGTGACTCACCGGGCGCCTGACGTCAAGGCCTCGGGGGAAGGAAGGAAACTGCTCCCCACCCCCCCACCCCCCCAACAGGGCCGGGAGGGCCAGGGGGACCCCCCAACCCCGTGTGGTCAGCGTGGCCCCCCACGGCACCTGGCTGGGCAGGGACTCCCTCAGACCCCCCCAGACTGGACAGGGACCCCCTGTCTGGGCATAAACCCCCCTCGGATTGAGCAGCGCACCCCTCAAACTGGGCAGTGCACCCCCAAACTGGGCGAGGAGAGCCCCCCCCCCCCCAGTCCCTGGGTACTGGCTCCTCCTGGCGGCTGTCGGCGGCGCTGCAGGCCAGGGGGCGTGGCTTGGAAAGGTGTGGCCCGCGCAGCTTCACAGTGGATTGGCAGGCTGGTGGGCCAATGGGAAGGCATGGCCCCGGGCTCCATCTCCCCAAGGGTCTCTGACCCACGAGCTCCCGGGTCCCACGGCTCCATCTCCCCAAGGGTCTCTGACCCACCAGCTCCCGGGTCCCACGGCTCCATCTCCCCAAGGGTCTCTGACCCACGAGCTCCCGGGTCCCACGGCTCCATCTCCCCAAGGGTCTCTGACCCACCAGCTCCCGGGTCCCACGGCTCCATCTCCCCAAGGGTCTCTGACCCACCAGCTCCCGGGTCCCACGGCTCCATCTCCCCAAGGGTCTCTGACCCACCAACTCCCGGGTCCCACGGCTCCATCTCCCCAAGGGTCTCTGACCCACGAGCTCCCGGGTCCCACGGCTCCATCTCCCCAAGGGTCTCTGACCCACGAGCTCCCGGGTCCCACGGCTCCATCTCCCCAAGGGTCTCTGACCCACCAGCTCCCGGGTCCCACGGCTCCATCTCCCCAAGGGTCTCTGACCCACCAGCTCCCGGGTCCCACGGCTCCATCTCCCCAAGGGTCTCTGACCCACCAGCTCCCGGGTCCCACGGCTCCATCTCCCCAAGGGTCTCTGACCCACCAGCTCCCGGGTCCCACGGCTCCATCTCCCCAAGGGTCTCTGACCCACCAGCTCCCGGGTCCCACGGCTCCATCTCCCCAAGGGTCTCTGACCCACCAGCTCCCGGGTCCCACGGCTCCATCTCCCCAAGGGTCTCTGACCCACCAGCTCCCGGGTCCCACGGCTCCATCTCCCCAAGGGTCTCTGACCCACCAGCTCCCGGGTCCCACGGCTCCATCTCCCCAAGGGTCTCTGACCCACCAGCTCCCGGGTCCCACGGCTCCATCTCCCCAAGGGTCTCTGACCCACCAGCTCCCGGGTCCCACGGCTCCATCTCCCCAAGGGTCTCTGACCCACCAGCTCCCGGGTCCCACGGCTCCATCGCCCCAAGGGTCTCTGACCCACCAGCTCCCGGGTCCCACGGCTCCATCTCCCCAAGGGTCTCTGACCCACCAGCTCCCGGGTCCCACGGCTCCATCTCCCCAAGGGTCTCTGACCCACCAGCTCCCGGGTCCCACGGCTCCATCTCCCCAAGGGTCTCTGACCCAGGACCACCCTGTCCTTAGGATGTCCTGGTCCCCACAGCTCCCCCTCCTCAGGGACCCCTCACCCCCAGAAGCTCCCACATCTCCATTGCTTCATCACCTTGGTGCTTCCTGTGCTTCTTTGTCCTCAGGGACACATGAGCCACATCCCCAGGGACCCTATGACCTGGAGCGCTCCTCAACCCACAGCCTCCATGTCCCCCAACCCTTTTCCTCCACAACAACGCCAGGTCCCCACCTGGTGCCACCCTTCTGGCAAGAAAGAAGAGACATGGGGCCGATCTGAAGCTGCTTTATTGGCCACGTTGGGATGGGTCAAGCACAGACGCAGGGGCCAAGCTTGCCCCAGAACAGTCACAAATACAGCACAGGCAATAATAATAATAATAATAATAATAATAAAAAATTAAACATCTCCCGGAGGCTGGCAGCCCCACACAACAAAAATATATATATATATAATATATAGAGAGAGGACAGAGTCAACGCTGGCGAAGCTTGGTCACGAGAGAGAGACGGCGCAGGGTTGGGGACGCCGGAGCCACCGGCGGGACCCGTGCAGGGAGGGTGGAGGGGGAAGAGCCATTCACAGTTGGGTGGGGGACAAGCAGGATGGGAGTCCACCCAACATTGTGGGTGCTGGAGGGGTCACCTGGAGGCCCAGCATCAGCAGTGGGGCTGGGACCCCCGAGGGGGATGGGGACATGGAGCATGGACACCATGGGGGGGATGGAGACAACCCATAGACCCCCGCAAGAGTGATAAAGGTTTGGCAGGGACACCTCCAAGGTGGTGGAGATGCTGCAAGGATCCCCATGGGATGGTGGAGATGCAGCACAGGCACCTCCAGGGTGATGAAGGTGCTGCAAAGACACCCACCCACCCCCCCCAGGGAAATGGGGACACAGCAGAGACATCTCCAGGGTGACAGAGATGCTGCATGAACCCCCGGTGGGATGGTGGAACTGTGGCACAGACACCTCTAAGGTGATGAAGGTGCCACAGGGACTCTCCAAGGGAGATGGAGATGTGGCATAAACACCTCTAGGGTGAAGGAGATGCCACATGGACTCCCCTTGGGATGATGGAGATGACATAGACATCTCCAGTGTAGCAGAAATGACACAGGGACCTTCCTGGGGTGAGTGAGATACAGCATGGACATCTCCAAAGTGACGGAGATGGCACAGAGACCCCTCCCAGGACAACAGAAGTCAAGCACAGACACCTCTACGGTGTCCCAGATGCCACAGGGACCTTCCCGCGGTGATTGAGATGGGGCATGAACATCTCCAAAGTGAAAGAGATGCTTCATGAATCCCCAGAGAATGATGGGGATCAGGGACAGACACCTCTAAGGTGGTGGAGATACCACAGGGACATTCCCAGGGTGGTGAAAATCAGTCATGGACATCTCCAAAGGGATGGAGATGCTGCATAAAGCCCCATGGGATGATGGGGATCAGGGACGGACACCTCCAAGGTGATGGAGACACCACAGGGACATTCCCAGGGTGGCAAAAATCAGGCATGGACATCTCCAAAGGCATGGAGATGCTGCATAAAGCCCCATGAGATGGTGTGAGTCAGGCACGGACACCTCTAAGGCAATGAAGATGACAAAGGGACCTTCCCAGGTGGATGGAAGTTGAACAGAAACATCTCCAAAGATATGGAGATGCTGTGTAAAACCCCATGGGACAATGGGGATTGGAGACAGTCACCTCTAAGGTGATGGAGACACCACAGGAACTTTGCCTGGGTGGTAGAAACTGGGCAGAAACATCTCCAAAACAAGGGAGATGCTGCATGAGCCCCCATGAAATGATGGGGATTGGGGACAGACACCTCTAAAGTAGCCAGGATGCCACGGGAATGATGGCAACACATCAAGGACACCTCCAACACACTGGCACCATGGCTGACACCCCACATCCAGGGGCCAAAGCTGCCCTTCAACCTCACCAACACCCCAACCCTTGGGCCAACTGATCCAGAGGAAAAAAAAAAAAAAAAAAATGAAAAAGGGAGGGAGAAAAAGCCAAAACCCACAAAAATCCACCACCCAGGGAGGGAGGAGGTGCCCGTTTTTGGGGGGGGACCCCATTCACAACGCGAGGAGCGAGGGAGAATTCAAGGAGTCCGAGGACTGGTCGCTGCTGCTGCTCCGCTGATGCGAGGCTCCGCAGGTGGCTCCCTCTGGGTGGGTGAACACAAATGAAGACGTATAGGATGGGTTAGGTGGCCCTGAGGGGACCCCGGGCGCGAAGCAGCAGCTGGGGAAGGGGCCCTGGGCGCTCGGCTGGAACGGACCCGGGGGTAGGAAGGCGACGGTCCCCGCCGGCTCTTCCTTGCCCAGGGTGCTCACCTCGGCGGGACCGGCACCCAAGGAGCCGACGTCCTCGAAGGGGAGCTTGCAGGCAGGAGCGTGGGCCACCAGCACGAACTCCAGCCGTTCCTTCTCCTTCTGCAGCTCGGCAATCTCCGACTCCAGTTCGGCTTTCTCCTCCTCCAGCTGGTCTGTCTCCTGGGGTGGCAGCGGGGTGGGGTGAGATGGGCTGCGGGGGACCCCACTGTCCCTATCCCCAGCCCCGGGGACATCACCCTCCCATGGCCTCCAGGATGGGGTCGTTTGTCCCTTCAGCATCCCTGGGGTATCCATACATCCTCCTCTGATGTTCCCTGCTCCTGGGGACAGCGTCATCCCCCTCCAGCATCCCCAAGTCTCCATCTGTCCCGCTCTGATGTCCCTTGTTCACAAGGACATCACTGTCCCCCTCCAGCATCCCCGGGTATCCATCTGTCCCCCTCTGATGCCCCCCCCCCCCACCCCATTCCCAGGAACAGCACTGTCCCCCCTCCAGTGTCCCTGTACCATCTTGCCCTCTGATGTCCCTTGCTCCTGGGGACAGCATTGTCCCCCTCCAGCACCCCAGGGACCTGTCTGTCCCCCTCTGATGTCACCTGCTCCCAAGGATGGCATCCTCTTCCTCCAGCATCCCTGTGTGTCCTCCCAACATGCCCCCTGCTCCTGGGGATGTCATTGTCCCCCTCAGACATCCCTGGGCATCAATCTGTCCCCTCTGCTGTCCCCACCTCCTGAGGACTGTCTCGGTCCTCTGCAGTGTCATCATTCCTAGAGACCAGGCTGCTCCCCCGCAAAGTCCCCAGCTCCTGGGGACATTGTCACATCCCTCCAGTGTCCTTGGGTCCCCTAGATCTGCACCCATAGGCAAACTGGCGTGTTCCCCTCCGATGTCCCCAGTTCCCAGGGACATCATTGTCCCCTTCCAGCATCCCTTGGTCCTGGGGACACTGTTGTCCCCATCCAAGATCCCCAGCTCCCCAGGACATGCACCCATAGACATCTATCTCTCCCCTCCAACACAGCCAGGTCCTGGGGACATCATCCCCTCCAGTGACCCTTGGCTCTAGGGACACCACTGGCCCCTCTAGTGTCCCCAGCTCCCTGGAATCAGGATCTACAGGCATCAGTCTGTCCCCCTGTAACATCCCCAGCTCTGAGGGCGGCGGCGTCATCATCCCCTTCCAGTGTCCCTTGGTCCTGTCCCCATCTAATGACCCCAGCTCTGCAGGATCTGCCTCCAAAATGTCCAAGTCCTTGTGACATCGTCATCCCTTTTGTGTCCCTCAGTCCTGAGGGCATCACTGTCCCCATGGGCATGCTGGAAGGGGACGGGTCGATGCTTAAGTCAGTCATCACCTTCCAATGTCCCCATGGCCCGGGGACACCGCAGTCCGCAAATGTCCCTGGGGTTCTTCCCCTGTAGACACCAACCCACACTCCTGTGACGTCCCCAGCCACTGAGGACACTGCAAACCCTCCACCATCGTCCCCCTCAGACACCTCCAGCTGTGGTGACACCACCGTCCCCAGCACGTCCCCAAGCACTCACCGCCTGCAGTCGATCTGTCAGCTCCCGGCGCCGGTTACGGCACTTGGCTGCCGCCAACTTGTTCCTCTCCCTCCGCACCCGGCGCTTCTCCTCCTCCTCCGGCGTCAGCTGCTGGAAGAACAGGACCATCAGGCAGCTGCCACCCGTGTCCCCAGAGTCCCACCACCCTCCAGGTCCCATCCTCCCCCCCTCCCCCAACCACCACGCAGGGGATGGGGATGCCACTCACCGTTTCCTCACGGCTGCGCCGGGGACGGGCACGGGTGGGACGTGCTGGCGGTGCTGCCGGCCCTGTGGCGAAGGCACCCATGCCCGGTGTGGAGTAGCTGGGTCCCGGGAGGTCATAGGGATCGACGGGTGGGGGGTGTGCCATGGGTGCCCCTGGGGGCTGCGACTGGGCCACGGAGGAGATGAGGGTGGGCTGCACCAGCCACTGCAGGTCCTGACTGGTGGTGATGGCCGTCACCGTGGGCACGAAGGAGCCGGGCATGTCCCCCAGGCCGCTGCACTCCTGCGAGAGGGCGAGGGTGGGGGATTAGACCCTACTCAGCAGCACCCACGGTTGGGGCCGGCACTGCGACCCTGCACCATGGCCTGGTGCCCCCAGCACCGACGTGCAACACCCTCGCGTCCCTGACGCCAATGTGCAAGAGCTCCCTGACACCAGCGTGCCGTGCCCTCGTGCCCCTGGCACCGATGTATAAATACTTCCCAGCAGCAATGTGCAAGAGCTCCCTGGCACTGACACACAACACCCTTGTGCCCCTGGCACCAACGTGCAAGAGCTCCCTGGTGCCCCTGGTACAGATGTGCAAGTCCTTCCAGGCATCAACGCATGATGCCCTCGTCCCCCCAGCACCAATGTGCAAGAGATCTCTGGTGCCACAACCTCATGTCCCTGGCACTGATGTGCAAGAGCCCCCCCAGCACCAATGCACAACACCCTCGTGTAATGACCCCCCCGTCCTCTCACACCAACATGCGAGGGGCCTACCCTGGCACTGTCACACGAGGCCCTGGTGCCACCAGGGCTGCTGTACAAAGCCCCCAGCACTTGTGCACCAATATGCAAACCCCCCTCCCTCCAGCTGGGGCACACGAGGGGCCCCCCCACACACAGCTCAGGGTACAACCCCCCCCCCCCCCCCAAGTTGTTCACAGCTGGCAGCACCCCCACTTGCTGCACCAGGACACCCACACCCCACATACCCCCCCTGCTTTGCACCAGTACCTCCATGGTGTCAGGGCAACCTGAGGGTGTTGGGGGGCACTGAGGGACACCCCCCCCCATCACACCAGGGCTCAAATCTTACAGGGATTTGGGGGGGGGGGGGGGGAGGGGGGGGACACTGAGCACCCCCTTTCCAAGTTGCACCAGAACCCGGGGCAGGGGTGTTGCACTGGGAGGGGGGGATATGCATCGCTCCCCTCTGGCTGCACTGGGACCTGATGGGGAGGCGGGGGGGGGGGATGCATTGGTTCCACACACCCCCCGCCCCCAATTTCCACGGGGGGAGGACCTGAACCGACCGCCCCCCGGTTGCGCCAGGATCGGGGAGTGGGGCGGAGCGGGGGATGCACTGAACCCCCTCCCGGTTCACGCGTGGGGCGAGCCCCGACCACGCTCCCACCAGCCGCAGCAAGGAGCTGGGGGGGGCGTGTCCAACCAGCGCAGTGGGCGTGGCCACACGGTGAGGGGGCGTGTCCCTCCCCCACCCCTCCCGCCTCCCTTAGCAACAGGGGGCGGCCGCCGTGTTCCAAAATAAACCCGCGCGCGCCGTACGTGCGCCGCGTCATCACGGAGGGTTCCAACGCGTCACGCGTTTACGCACGACCCCGCCCCCTCGGCGCCGCTCGCCCGCCTCCCACTGGCGGCCCCGGGACTCACCTGCGCGGCCGCCGCCGCCGCCGGGCTCCCGAAGGAATCGACCGACGAGAGGTACTGGGACTCGGCCGAGGGCGAGGAGCTGCAGCGGGAACCCGAGTCGTAGTCACCGGGGAAGCCCTGGTACATGGCCCCGGGGGCGCGGGGGCCGCCCCGCCACGCCAAGGCTGCGGGTCAGGCTACCGGCATCCCGGTTTACCGAGCGCCACCCCCCCTCTCCTCCTCCTCTCGCTGCCCTTCCGCCGGTTTAACGTGACGGGGGGGAGTCTCTCGGTGCAAGGGTCCCGCTCCGGTGTAGCGTCCCGCGGGAAGCGCGCCCGTCCCGGGCTCCGGTTCGCCGGTGCAAAGTCCCGGTGCGCTGCTGCAAGCTCCGCTCCGCCGTTATAAGCCCCAGTGCGCCCGTGCCCTGGGTCCGCTGCGCCCCTACGAGCCCCGGTTCGCCAGTACAAAGTCCCGGTGCAGCCGTCCCAAGCTCCGGTTCGCTGCTACGAGCCCCGGTGTATCCGTCCCAGGCTCCGGTTCGCCGGTACAAAGCCCCCCGTGCGCCTCTACAAACCCCGGTGCATCCGTTCCCAGGCTCCGATTCGCCGGTACAAAATCCCGGTTCGCCGCTGTAAGCCCCGGTACATCCGTTCCCAGGCTCCGGTTCTCCGGTGCAAAGTCCCGGGTGGCCGCTATAAGATCCGGTAAATCCCTTCCCAGGCTCCGGTTCAGCCGCTACAAGCCCCGGTACATCCGCTCCCCAGCTCCGCCGGTGCAAAGTGCCGGTGACGCTCCCGCCGCTTCCCCCGGTCTCCGCTTTTTATGAATGAACCGCTCACCGCCGCGCCGCCGCTTTATACGGCGGCGCCCCGCCCCCTGCGCTGACGTCACGCCCGCCGCCACCGCCGCTCCAGGACCCCCGGGACCCCCCCGACCCCGCAGCCGCCGTCGCCACCGTTGCCGCTGCCGTTCTGCAGCCCCGGGAGCCGCCGCCGCCGTTAAGAGGCTCCGCGGCGGGCGGGGAACGGGGGGGATCCCTCGCCCCGCCTCTCCGGAGTTCCTGTGACGCAATTAGCCATATATGGGCTTGTCTCGGAGTGTTTGTTTGGTATCCTAGCAATGACGTCACAGGGAATCCCTTCGCCGCCGCCGCCGCCGCCGCCGCCGAAAGGCGTATTAATAGAAACGGGCGCCGCGGTTCTAGAAACGGCCTGAACCGTCCGGGGCGAAGGCCCCGCACTCCCGGTAACACCCCCGGTAACCCCGCCGGGACCCCCCTCGCGACCCCCCCCCACCCCTGTGGCACTCCCCTCCCCAATAACAGCCCCCTCCCCGGAACCCCCTCCCCACCCAATAACCCGCCCCCGGTGCTCCTTCCCCACCCGGTAACCCCTCCGGTAACCTCTCTCTCCCCCCCCGGTGACCCCTCCCCACCCGGTGACCCCCGTCCTGCACGTGGCACCGCGGCCCAAAGGACCGTCCCGGGGTGGAGGGGGGGGTCCCGGTAACGGGGGGAGGATAGGGATTCCAGTATCGGAGCAACGGGAACCTCTCCCCGAGGTGTTACCGGCGCCGGGCAATGAGTCACCGGGGAGGAAGAGGTGTCCCGGTACCGGGGCAGTGGGAACTTTGCCCCGGGGTGTTACCGGTACTAGACTGCAGAGCACCCGGGGGGTCCCGGTACCAGGGCAATGGGACATCACCGTCCCCTCCACCTCCGGTTCGTCGCTGAGGCTGGGCTACGGGGCACCAGGGAATCTCCAGTACCGGATGGTGGCACACAGCGGGGCGTTCCTCGTACCGGGGTGCAGTGGTCACTGTCCCCTGCACTCCCGGGATGGGAACGGGGAGGGGGGGGTGTCCCGGTATGAGGGTGCAAGCAGCCAGATCCCCCGAGAGTGGTTCTGGTGACACCGGAGGCTGATGTCACCGGCGGGAACTGGCGCTGAGTCACGGCGGGGCCACGGCGACCGGGGGGCCAGTTCCCACGCCCATTCATTCATTCATTCATTCATTCCTTCCTTCATTCACCCCCCCCCCCGTCATTCATTCATGCCTCGCCCCCAGCTCGGCGGTGCCGGGGCCTGGGGGGTGGCAGTCCCGGTTGTCCCGGTGCCCCCAGGCCCTGGGTGTCCCCAGCCTGGGGGATCTGGCCCCGGTGCCTCCAGTCCCGGTGTCCCGGCCCGGTGCTCCTGCTGCCGGGTGCCTGCAGCCCCGGGTTCCCGACTGGGCTCGCCCCGGTGTCCCCAGCCCCGGTGTCCCCAGCCCGGGTGACCCGGTCCCGGTGGCCCGGCCAGGCTCTCTCCTGTGTCTGGACCCCGGTGTCCCGATTCCCGGTGTCTGGGCCTCGGTCAAGCTCTCCTCAGTGTCTCGGACCCGGGAGTCCTGGTGTCCCGATCGGGCTCTCCCCGGTGCCCCCAGTCCCGGGGTCCCGTCCGGGTTCTCCCCGGGGTCCCGGGGTCCCCAAGCTCGGGGGTTCCGGTCCCGGCCGGGCTGTCTCCGGGGTCCCGGTGTCCCCAAGCTCGGGGGTCCCGGTCCCGGCCGGGCTGTCCCCGGGGTCCCGGTGTCCCCAAGCTCGGGGGTCCCGGCCCCGGCCGGGCTGTCCCCGGGGTCCCGGTGTCCCCAAGCTCGGGGGTCCCGGCCCCGGCCGGGCTGTCCCTGGGGTCCCGGTGTCCCCAAGCTCGGGGGTCCCGGCCCCGGCCGGGGTCTCCCCGGGGTCCCCGTCCCGCCGTCCCGTCCCCACGTGCCGCCGCCGCCGCGAACCGGAGTAAACACGGCGCGTGTCGCCCCGGCGACGGCGTTCCATGCCCCTGACGTCACCACGTCCGGCGTCCTTTGTTTACGTCGCGCGGCAACCGCCGTGCCCTTGGCAACGGGGAGAGAGGGCGGGGCAAGGCCGGAGGGGGCGGGGCCTGCGCCGCGGGGTTCCCGCGCGTTTAGCGGGACGGGAGGGAGGACACGGGGCGCCCCGGAGGGACACCCAGGCGCCCAGGCCTCCCCATTTCCCGGCTGCTGAGTCAGCACAGGCCAACCTGGCTGCCGGGGGGGGCGGGGGCTAAAAATACCCCAAGTCCCTGTGTCCCCTCCATGTCCCTGCATCCCCCCCACGTGTCCCCCCCAAGTCCCTATGTCCCCCCCAAGTCCCTACATCCCGCCCCCATGTCTCCCCCCATGTCCCTACATCCCCCCCCGTGTCTCCCCCCAAGTCCCTGTCTCCCCCACAAGTCTCTGCATCCCCCCCATTGCCCCCCCCCAAGTCCCTGCATCCTTCCCATGTCACCCCCCAAGTCCCCGCGTCCCCCGCCATGTCCCTGCATCCTCCCCCCACCCCGTACCCACATTCCCTGCACAATCAAGCCCAGCTGTCACAAGAGTTTTTATTAAAGTGTGACCACCCCCCCCACACACATGGAGTGGGGAAAGAACACAGGGGGGACACATGACCCCCGCCTCCCCTGAGTGCCCCCCCCTCCTCTCAGGGTGGGAGGGACGCGGGGGGACCCCAGCCACCAGCCACTCCCTGCTGTCACCTTGGGGGTGGCATGGGGGGGGTCACTGTGGCTTCACTTTGGCACTTGGGAGCTTGGCCTGGATCCTGGGGGCAGAGGGGAGTTGGGGGAAGCTGGGGCACCCCAACCCCCTCGGGGGCACCCCTGGGCTGGGTTCGGAGCCCCCAGGGGCACGTTTGGGGTGCAGGGGGGTGGTTTTGGGGGGGACGGGGGTGTGCCCTCACCTGGCTCGGAGGTGACTCAAGTGGTTCCTCACCAGACTCACATACTGGTCAATCTGGGCCTGGAGACATCAGGGATGTGGGGGGCAACTGGGGGCATGGTGGGCAGAGGGGCACCCCTCAACCCTTACCGTCCCCCATGTCCCCCCATGTCCCCATACCTGGTGGTGCCGGTAAAGCACGGGGAAGGTGAACGCACAGATGACGCCTGGACAGGGAGCGCTGCATCATGCCGAGTCCCCTTCCTGTCCCCAAGTCCCTCATCCCCCCCCCCGTGGTGTCCCCCCATCCCCATGCTGTCCCCATCCTGGTGCTGTCCCCCTGTCCCCAGGCATGACTTGTGTCCCTTAAACCTGTCCCCTTGTCCCCCAGCCATATCCACATCCCTGTCCCTATGCCACTCAGTGTCCCTGTGCCTGGCTCCAGGCCCCAGCCCTTGTCCTCTGTCCCCCGTTCCCTGTCCCTAACCCATGTCCCTGACCCCATCCCCTGTCCTGTCCCCCTGTCCCCTGCCCCTAACCCATGTCCCTGTCCCCGTGTCCCATCCCCTGTCCTCTGTCTCCCCGTCCCCTGCCACTAACCCATGTCCCTGTCCCCATCCCCTGTCCTCTGTCCCCCGTCCCCTGCCCCTAACCCATGTCCCTGTCCCTGTGTCCCATCCCCTGTCCTGTCCCCCCGTCCCCTGCCCCTAACCCATGTCCCTGTCCCCGTGTCCCATCCCCTGTCCTCTGTCCCCCGTCCCCTGTCCCTAACCCATGTCTCTGTCCCCATGTCCCATCCCCTGTCCTGTCCCCCCATCCCCTGCCCCAACCCATGTCCCTGTCCCCGTATCCCATCCCCTGTCCTGTCTCCCCGTCCCCTGCCACTAACCCCTGTCCCTGTCCCCATCCCCTGTCCTCTGTCCCCCGTTCCCTGTCCCTAACCCATGTCCCTGTCCCCGTGTCCCATCCCCTGTCCTCTGTCCCCCGTCCCCTGCCCCTAACCCATGTCCCTGACCCCATCCCCTGTCCTCTGTCCCCCGTCCCCTGCCTCTAACCCATGTCCCTGTCCCCATGTCCTATCCCCTGTCCTGTCCCCCCATCCCCTGCCCCTAACCCATGTCCCTGTCCCTATGTCCTACTCCCATCCACTCTCCCTTGTCTTCCACGCCAATGCCCTGCCCATGTCCCCTCTCTCCATCCCCACCCCGTGTCCCTGCCCTCGCGCCACCCCCCCTCCCCACCCCATCCCTGTCCCTGTCCCCGTGCAGGTGCCGTACCCGCTCCCAGCAGCGTCAGCCCATTGCAGACAGCCCCCACATAGGTCATCAGGTAGAACAGGAAGGCAAACTGTGACCAGAGCCCAGCATCACTGTCACCATCCCCGGTGTCCCCCATGCCACCAGCACCCTCGTACGCCACAGCCCCAGTCCCTCCTGCGCTCTTGTGCCTGTGGCACACCCCATGTTCCCCCGTCCCTCAGTGTCCCCATACCCCCAGTGACCACCATGTCCTCAGTGTCCCCCATGTCCTCAGTGTCTTCCATGTGCCCATACCCCCTGTGTCCCCATACCTCCAGTGCCCTCCATGTTCCCCATGTCACCAGTGCCCTCCATGTCCCCATACCCCCAGTGCCCTCCATGTTCCCCATGTCACCAGTGCCCTCCATGTCCCCATACCCCCAGTGCTCCCCATGCCCCCAGTGTCCTCCATGTCCCCCATGTCCCCAGTGCCCCCACGCCCACAGTGTCCTCCATGTCCCCATACCCCCAGTGCTCCCCATGCCCCCAGTGTCCTCCATGTCCCCCATGTCCCCAGTGCCCCCACACCCACAATGTCCTCCACATCCCCCATGTCCCCAGTGCTCCCTGTGTCCCCACACCCGCAGTACCCCCCATGCCCACAGTGCCCTCCATGTCCCCTATGTCCTCAGTGTCTTCCATGTCCCCATACCCACCATGTCCCCTGTGTCCCCATACTCCCAGTGCCCTCCCACCCCCCCTGCAGGGTGACAGTCACCTTCAGGGACTCAGGGAGGCTGTGGACAAGGAAGAGGCGGGTGAGGGTGCGGGTGGCAGCGGCGAGGTGCCGGGCCAGGCGCCGGGCCCAGCGTTGCTGCTCCTCAGGGCTCAGCCCCACGGACCCCTCTGGTTGCACCCTGCATGGGGACAGGGACAGATGTGGTGTGGGGATGGGGACCACAGGGACAGCTACGGGGATGGGGACAGGGATGGCAGGGATGGCCCGTGGGGCAGGGGTAGCAGAGACACGCCATGGGGTGGGCATGGGAACCGCAGGGATACCCTGTGTTATGGGGTTGGGGACTGCAGGGACACGCTGTGGGATGGGAACAAGGATGGCGTGGACACCTCATGCAGTGGGGACAGGGACGGCAGGGTCACCCCATGTTGTGGGGACAGGGACATCAGGGCCACCCAGGGTGGAGGGACAGGGACAGCAGGGCCATCCCATGGGTACAGGGACATCAGGGCCACCCAGGGCAAGGGGATGGGGATGGCAGGGCCACCCCATGGGTACAGGGACATCAGGGCCACCCAGGGCAAGGGGATGGGGATGGCAGGGCCACCCCATGCCATGGGGACAGGGACATCAGGGACATCCAGGGTGGGGGGACAGGGACAGCAGGGCCATCCCACAGGGACAGGGACATAAGGGCCACCCAGGGCAAGGGGATGGGGATGGCAGGGCCACCCACGGGGACAGGCACTGTGCCATGGTGACAGCAGCACCACCCCACTGGTGACAGGCAGAGGGACAGGCAGAGGGATGCACCAGGAGGGTGACAGTGGTGGCTCCACGAGGGTCCCCGGCGCGGCACTCACCGACAAGGGTGCTCAGGCGGGTGCCGGCGCAGCACCCGCAGGGCGGCACGGTGCAGGCGCAGGGGCAGGGTGACACCCAGCACGGCCAGCGCCCCGTAGGCGCCCACGCTGACGGCGCTGAACCGTGCCAGGCACCCCAGGGTGCCCAGCACCCCCACCAGCGCCAGTGCCGACCGGCCCGGTGCCCGCCAGTACAGCAGCTCCCACACTGCGGGGACAGCATGCTGTGCCCAGGGCTCCCAGTGCCCCTCCAGAGCCCCCCAGTGCCCCTGAAGAGTCTCCTCCAGTGCCCCCAGTGGCCCCCAATACCCCCCAGTGCCTCCTCCAGAGCCCCTCCAGAGCCCCCAGTGACCCCCAAACACCCCCCAGTGCCTCCTCCAGAGCCCCTCCAGTGCCCCCAGTGGCCCCCGACACCCCCCATTGCCTCCTCCAGAGCCCCTTCAGAGCCCCCAGTGGCCCCCAATACCCCCCAGTGCCTCCTCCAGAGCCCCTTCAGAGCCCCCAGTGGCCCCCAATACCCCCCAGTGCCTCCTCCAGAGCCCCTCCAGAGCACCCAGTGACCCCCAAATACTCCCCATTGCCTCCTCCAGAGCCCCTCCAGTGCCCCCAGTGACCCCCAATACCCCCCAGTGCCTCCTCCAGAGCCCCCAGTGACCCCAGTGACCCCCAATACCCCCCAGTGCCTCCTCCAGAGCCCCTCCAGTGCCCCCAGTGGCCCCCAATACCCCCCAGTGCCTCCTCCAGACCCCCTCCAGTGCCCCCAGTTGCCCCCAATACCCCCCAGTGCCTCCTCCAGAGCCCCTCCAGTGCCCCCCAATACCCCCCATTGCCTCCTCCAGAGCCCCTCCAGTGCCCCCAGTGGCCCCCGATACCCCCACTGCCTCCTCCAGAGCCCCTTCAGAGCCCCCAGTGGCCCCCAATACCCCCCAGTGCCTCCTCCAGACCCCCTCCAGTGCCCCCAGTGGCCCCCAATACCCCCCAGTGCCTCCTCCAGAGCCCCTCCAGTGCCCCCAGTGACCCCCAATACCTCCCAGTGCCTCCTCCAGAGCCCCTCCAGTGCCCCCAGTAACCCCCAATACCCCCCAGTGCCTCCTCCAGAGCCCCTCCAGTGCCCCCAGTGGCCCTCAGTACCTCCCAGTGCCTCCTCCAGAGCCCCTCCAGTGCCCCCAGTGGCCCCCAATACCCCCCACTGCCTCCTCCAGAGCCCCTCCAGAGCCCCCAGTACCCCCCAGTGCCTCCTCCAGAGCCCCTTCAGTGCTCCCAGTGGCCCCCCAATACTCCCGAGTGCTCCCCAGTGCCACCCCCAGAGCCCCTCCAGCGCTCCCAGTGGCACCCAGTGCTCCCAGTGCCCCCTGCAGATCTCCTCCAGTACCTCCCAGTATCCCATTCAGAGCCCCCTGGGTGCTCCCAGCGCCCCCATACCCCCCCCGTTCAGTGCCCCTCCGCCCCAGCACCCACTCTGAGTGACAGCCCCAGGTGCGGGGCAGGGGAGAACCCACCTCCCCCCCCCCCCCCGCCATGGGTGCCTCCCCCGCCATGGGTGCCCCCCCCCCGACATGGGTGACCCCCGCACCCACCTTGGCCCTCCATGACTCCCACGGGTGTTGCTGGGTGGGGACACACACACACACGACTTTGGGGGGGGGGGGGTGTCACCTCTATTTTTAGCCGCCAATCCCGCCCGGGCCACCACCTCCACCCCCCCCCCCCCTCCCCGAGTCGTGAACTTCCCTCCCCCGCAGTGCCCCGAGGCGCTGATTGGCCGCTCACCCAGGACGTCGGCTCCCGACGGGCTCTCGGATTGGTCGGGGGGCGCCGGGGGCAGCTCCGGGACTGGGGGGGGGTCCGGGGGGGGCGCGGGGGGGGGCGGTCGTGGGGCGCCCCCTGTGGGCGGGGGGTGGAGCGCGGGCGGGGGGGGGCTCGTGGGCGCTGCTGCTGCGGGAGAGGAGGGGGGTGTCAGGCGGGCTGCGGGGGGGCTCCCCGAAACAGTGTCCCGGCACCTCCATGGCCCCGATCCCCCCTCGAAGACCCCCCCCATTGCCCTGAGATGCTCTCGGTACCCCCCCCAACGGCCCCCAGCCCTCCCTTAGGCACTCCGTGACACCCCCTAAAGCCCCCAGCTGCTCACAAAGGTGCGCCAGGACCCTTCATATCCCCAGACTCCCCCCGGGGCACACCCCATAACCTCCAACCCCGCCCCGGGTACTCCAGAACCCACCCATGACCCCGAGCTGGCCCCCCAGGGACTCCCATCACCCCAAACTTCCCCCCCAGGGACTTCCATCATCCTGATATGCCCCCCTTCTCCCCGACCCTCCATACCCAGGCTTATTGGGGTCTCCTCAGTTTCAGGACCCTCTAGCTCTGGCAGGGCCCCCCCCAATTCCAGCTTCCCCTCAGGAGGGGCCAGGGGCTCCTCAGAACGCTTGAGGGGGGTCCTGGCAGCCAAGGGGGGGTCCGGCCCCCGGGGGGACCCCCCGAGGGGCCCTGAGATCGTGCGTGGGGGGCGTCCCCGACGGGAGTCTCGGCGATACCGGGGTCCCGGCTCGTTGGGGGGACCCCCCCCTCTAAAGGCGATGTAGGAGAAGGTGAGTTCCCGGGGGTGTCCCCAGGGTTCCCCCCTCGCCGCTGTCACCCCGTCTTCATCCTCATCCTCTTCTTCCTCCTCGGGGGGCTCCGGTGATGCCTGCAGCTCAGGGAAGTCCGACTCCTCATTGCCACCTGCAGGGGGGAATTTGGGTTGATCAAGGAGTGGTGGGGGGGCACTCCCATGCTTCCCCCCCACCCTCCCCAAAGCTGCACCCCAAACAAGGGGGCTCGGCCCCGCTCACCCTCCGTGGAGTCTGGCGTGGTGGAGGCCGTGGATGGAGCCTCTTCTGGAGGGAGGCAGAGGGGATGGAGGGTGGCCATGGGAGCTCCCCCCCTGTCCCTGTTACACCCCTTGCAACACTCAGTTACTCCCCCAGTGTACGGTGCCCCCCTAAACCTGATCTGACTTTCCCAGTCCCTATGCTCCCCACTCCCAGTATCCCCCCTGGACACACCCTGCCCCGGTGTTCCTTCCTCAGTGTCCCTGTCCCCCAGTACTCCCAGTGCCTCCATCCCAGACCCCCATCCCGAGTACCCTCTATCTCCAACCACTCCCAGTGTCCCCATCCCCGGTCCCTCCTTGCACCCTGATCCTGTGCCATCCCAGTTTCCCCAGCCACTCCCGATCCCTCCATCCCTGGTCCCTCAATCCTGGATCCATCACCCCCAGTGCCGCCACCCCAGCACCTTCATTCCCAGCCCCTCCCGGTGCCCCATCCCCAGACACTGCCAGTCCCTCCGCTCCCAGTGCCCCATCCCCGGCCCCTCCCAGCGCCCCATCTTCACGTATCCCCATTCCAGTCTCCGTATCCCCATCCACTCCTGGTCCCTCCATCCCGGTACCTCCATCTCCAGTGACTCCATCCCCGGCCACTCCCAGTGCCCCATCCCCGGCCTCGCCGGGTACCCCCAGCCCCCGGATACGCCCATCCTTGGCCACTCCCGGTCCCTCCATCCCCGGTGCCTCCATCCTCCCGGTGCCGCCGCCCCGGATACCTCCATCCCCGGCCCCTCCCGGTTCCCCGGCACCCCCCAGCTCCCCATCTCCAGACCTCTCATCCCGGTTCCCGCATCCCCGGCCCCCGCTGGTTCCCCGGCACCCCCCAGCTCCCCATCCCCGGCCCCCCCATCCCCGTATCCCCGGCACCTCCCAGCGCCCCATCTCCGGACCCCCCATCCCGGTTCCCGCATCCCCGGCCACCCTCGGTGCCTCCATCCCCGGGCCCCTCCCGGTTCCCGGTGCCGGTGCGTACTGCAGTGGGCGAAGCCCAGGACCTGCCCCATGGCGGCGGCCCCCGCATGGGGCTCCCGGTTGCCCTCGGCCCCGTTGTCCCCGGGCCGGCCCCGCCGCACATCACGGCAGCGCCATGGCGGGGCCCGCGGCGGCGGACAAAGGGCGGCGGCGGCGGCGGCGGGGGCGGGGCGGCGGCGGGCGGGGCGCGGGGCGGGGCCGGGCCGCACCGGGAACCGGCAACCGGAGCCCCCCAGTACCCCTCGGAGTCCCCACTGCCCCCCAGAACCTTCAAGACTTCCCCACTATGTCCCAGTGGTGCCCGGTACCTGTCAAAGTCCCCCATTGCCCTTCCAGAGCCCCCCAGTACCAACCAGTGATCCTTAATACCTTCCAGAGCCCCCCAGTACTTCCCTGTGACCCCAGCAGCCTCCCAGAGCCCCCTAACACCTTCTAAATCCCCCCATTACCTCCCAGTGGCCCCAGTAGCCTCACAGAGCCCCCAATAACTTCCAGAGCCCCCCAGTACCTTCAAGACCACCCCAGTATGTCCCAGTGCTGCCCAGTACCTGTCAAAGTCCTGCAATGCCCTCCCAGAGCCCCCTATTGCTCTTCCAGGGCCCCCCAGTACCGTCCAGTGACCCCTAATACCTTCCAGAGCCCCCCAGTACCTCTCAGTGACCTCGGTAGCCTCCCAGAGCCCCCTAATACCCTTCTAGAGCCTCCCCACTACTTTCCAGTGCCCCCAGTACCCTGCCAGAACACCCCCCCCAATACATCCCACAGCCCCCAGTACCCTCCCAGAGCCTCCCCAGTACCTCCCAGTGCCCCCAGTCCCCGTAACTGGAGAGCTTTGGGGAGCACCGGGTGGGCACTAGTAGTGGGAGGGCTGGAATGGTACTGGTTGTACTGGGCAGCCGACGCTCCCCAGTGAAGATCACCGGGAGCCATTGCCCTTTTAAGGAGGTGGTGGCCACTCCGCCGCCGTTACCGGGAGGGGCGGGGCCTTGGCGGGGCGTGGCGGGGCGTGGCCGCGGCCCGGGACCGGCCGGTCCTTCCCGCCCCCCCCCCCCTGCCGCCACAGGAAGGGCCCGGCTCGGTCCCAGCGCTTTGCCACCGCCGCCAGGATGAGGTGAGCGGCCGGGGCGGGGGGGGGGGGCACTGGGAATGGGCACCGGGAATGGCGGGAGCTGGTACTGGGGGCACTGGGAAGCACCAGGAACTGGCACCGGAGGGTACCGGCAGCGCTGGGGTCACCGGAAAGCACGGGGAGCTGACATTGGGAGCACCGGGAACTGGCACCGGAGGGTACTGGGGCTACCGGGAATCACCAGGAACTGGCACTGGGAGTTTGCACTGGGGGCACTGGGAGAACCGGGGAGCACCGGGAACTGGTACCGGGTGCACTGGGATACACTGGGGGGGCACCGGGAACTGGTACCGGAGAATCACAGAGAGTACCGGGGAGCACCGGGAGCTTGCACTGGGGGAACTGGGGAGTACCGGGAGGTGACATTGGGGGCACTGGGGAGTACCGGGAAGCACCGAGAGCTGGCACTGGGGAGTACCGGGAAGCGCCGGGAGCTGGCACTGGGGAGTACCGGGAAGCGCCGGGAGCTGGCACTGGGGGAACCGGGGAGTACCGGGAGGTGACATTGGGGGCACTGGGGAGTACCGGGAAGCACCGGGAGCTGGCACTGGGGAGCACTGGGGAGTACCGGGAAGCACCGAGAGCTGGCACTGGGGAGTACCGGGTGGTACCGGGAACTGGCACTGGGGGAACTGGGGAGTACCGGAAGGTGACATTGGGGGGCACTGGGGAGTACCGGGAAGCACCGGGAACTGGGGAGCACTGGGAGCTGGCGCTGGGGAGCACTGGGGAGTACCGGGAAGTACCGGGAACAGGCACTGGGGGAACTGGGGAGTACCGGGAGCTGACACTGGGGGCACTGGGGAGCACCGGGAACCGGCACTGGGAGCGCCAAGAGCCGCTCCGGTGATGGGTGGGATCCCCGGGGGGGGTGACAGCGGGGACACTCGACCCGTGGGTCCCCCTTCCCACAGGTGCTGCCCCTCCCCCGCCCCCCCCCACCTCAGTTTCCCGGTGGAGGGGGTTCAGGTCGGTCCTACATAAACACGGCCCCGCGTGCCCCCCCCCGGATGTCCCGCTGAGTGTCCCCCCCCCCCCCCCGCACCCTAAGGAAGTGGGGGAAGGGCGGGGCGCCTGTGTCCCCCGTGGAGAAGAGGAAGGAAAAGGGGGGGGCGGGGGGAAGTGTTGGGGTGCGCTTGTGGCTTGGGTGCTTGGGGAAGGAGGGGGGACAGCGCCCATGGGTGCCCCACAGCTGGTTCTGGGGGCATCATAGGTATTGGGGTGTCCCATGCCTGGTCCTGGGGTCCCCATGTGTGGGGGTCCCCAACCCTGGGGGTCCATCCATGTCCCCCCCCGCCCCGGGTTTAGCTATGTGGGGGGGCGCCTGGGGAGGGATCCTTGTACCCAGGGGGTCCCAAAGCTGAGGGATCCCTGTAAAGGGGGGTCCCACACCCAGGGGGTTCCCAAACTCTGGCACCCTGGGGGTCCTCCGATTCCTACAGACAGGGAATGACCGTGCAGGGGGGATCCGGCACTCTGAGGGGTCCCCCGATTCCCACACCCAGGGAGTGACCGTGCTGGGGGGCCCAGCACCCAGAGGGTTGCCCATGCTGGGGGTTCCATGTGTCAGAGTGGTCCTGCACCCAGAGGATCCCACCCCACAGGGGTTGCCTACACCAAGGGGGTCCCACCCCATGGGGAGATGCCCGTGCTGGGGGGTAGCCACCCAGTGTCGCTCCACTCCTGCAGCGAGACGGTGCTGTGCAGTGCCCGGGCAGCAGTACTGCTCTACGATGACACCCACAAGCAGTGGGTGGCGGCGGGAGGGGGTCCCCAGACCCTCAGCTGCGTCCAGCTCTACCACCACCCTGGCACCAACGCCTTCCGCCTGGTAGGGCGCAAGATGCAGCCTGATCAGCAGGTGAGGGTGCCCGGGGGGCACCCTTGGGTGTGTGTGGGGGTACCCCTGGGTGCAGGGTGGGCTATGGGGTAATGCTGAAGATGGGCAGGGGGGCTATGGGGGAATGCTGGGCATGGGTCACCCACGGGGGTAGGGGTTATGGGCGAGGTATGGGGCACCCATGGGTGCGGGAGCAGCTCTAGGGCATCTGTGGGTACTGGAGGAGCTATAGAGCAATGCTGAATGTGTGCGTGGGTTGTCTGTGGGGCACCTGTGGGTGTGGGGTGCTCTAGGGAACACCCATGGGTGTGGGAGGGTCTATGGGTCAGCACTGGGCATAGGGTGGACATGGGGCACCCATGGGTGCTGTAGATACTAGGGGGCAATGCTAGGCATGGAAGTGTTCTGTGTGATGCCCATGGGTGCAGGAGGGGCTATGGGGCACTGTGAAGCATGGGGCCGCTTCATGGGTCACCTGTGGGTATGGGGGGGCTCTGAGGGCCGCCCCTGGGTGCAGGGATGCCTCCCCACGCCTGTGGGTGCCTGCAGGTGGTGCTGAACTGCCCACTGGGGCGGGGGCTGCGCTACAGCCAGGCCACCCCCCAGTTCCACCAGTGGCGGGAGGCCCGCCGGGTCTGGGGGCTCAGCTTTGGGGCCCCCCGCGAGGCTACCCTCTTCGCTGCTGCGGTCCTGCGGGCGCTGCGGGCCCTGGAGGAGGGTGAGTATTTGGGGGGGTGGTGGGGATGTGTGTCTGTGTGTGTCACTGGGGGGCGCTCATGGAAGGGTCTGACCCCACGGCCTTGGCTTGTGTCTCCCCCAAACCATCCAGGCACCCCGCTGTCCTGGCCGGACCCCGATGGTCCAGCTCCGGAGGAGCCTGAGCAGCAAGAGAGGTGGGGGACCCCCAAATTGGGGGTGCTGGGGGTCCCCATGCCATATGGGGGACTGTGGGTGCTGGGGGGCTCTGGGTGCTGACCCTTTCCCCTCCCCAGGCAGGCGCTGGAGGAGCCTGAGCGCCATGTGGCAGCTGCAGGTGGGTGACGGGAGGGTCCAAGGCTGACCCCCCTCCCTCAACACCAGGGGTGGGGTCCATCCCCCCCCCGGATTCCCCTGTAAACCCCTTTCCCCCCTCCCAGGTACCCAGGCTGCACCCACTGGAGGCCCCCCTCAACCCCCTGGCCCCCCCCCGCCCCCAGGGCCCCCTCCACCCCCCGGCCCCCCACCAGCCACGGGGGTCCCGCCAGCCCCCCCCTTGCCAGCGTCAGCAGGTGCTGCCGGGGGGGGGTCTGGGGGGGGCTCCGGCTTTGCCGCTGCCATAGCGGGGGCTAAACTCAGGAAAGTCGGCAAGGTGAGTAGAGGGGCACAGTTGGGGAGGGGCGGCGATCATCTGAGGGGTCACTCTGCATCACCCCTTTTTCTCCTGGCAGGATGATGCACCGGGTCCAGGGGCTCCCCCTGCACCCCCCAAGGGCGAGAGTGCCCGGGGAGGGGCTGGGGGGGGGTTGATGGAGGAGATGAGCGCCATGCTGGCCCGACGGTGAGGGGGGAGGGGGCGGTACCCCACTCTGCCCAGCAGCAACCCCTCCCAAGGTGGGGGCACCCCTGGACCCAAGCTGACCACCCCTCTGTCCCCCCAGGAGGAAAGCCACCCTTCAAGGGGATAAGCCAGTGCCAAAGAGGGATGAGGACACCACCAGCGTGAGTGCCCCCCCCAGCCCCAAAAAACATTTTGGGGGGAGGGGGGGTGCTCCGTGTGCCCTCCCCCCCCCTTTCCCCGTGCCCCACCACAGGGCAGTCAATACCCTTGTCTTTGGATGCTGGTGGACCCCCTCGTGTCCACCCCCCACGTATCCCACTCCCCGCCCGCCCCGACCCCCTCTCTCTGTCCCCGCAGGACGAGGCGGAGCCGGGCACTAGGACCCCGGGGCAGCCCGCGGGTGAGCGCGGGGACTACAACTCCCAGCGTGCCCCGCGGCGAGCCTCTGCGGCCGGGCACGCTGGGAAATGTAGTCCGGCAGACGGGGGGGCGTTGGGGGTCCCTTTTAGAGGGAGGGAAGGGTTTGGGGGACTGGTCCCCGCCTCACCCGCGGCCCTGTCCCCGCAGAGCCCGTGCGGAAGCCCTGGGAGAAGGCCAGCTCCACACTGCCCAGGTGCGTGGGGGGGGTGTGTGTGTCAAGGGGCTGGAGGTTTGAGGGGCTTTGGGGTGCCCATGAGGGGAGGGGGGGTTGGGGTGCTGGGGGGGATCATTAGGATCCCCCAGAGCAGGACTGTGGGGGAAGTTGCTGGGATGGGGATGGCAGGCACCCAAGACACAAGATGGGGGGGGGCATCCAAGCAGGTCTGGGGCGGGTCACCCAGGGAGGTCTTGGAGGGAGGGGTCCCCCCAACTTATTTCTGCGCCCCCTAGGATGAAGTCGGCTATCCCAGCTGCCCCTGCCGACCCCCCTGGCCCCACTGACGAGCCTGACCTGGAGCGAATCAAACAAGTACTGGGGTCTGGGTGTGGGGGGGTGATGGGAGGGGTGTCCCCCAAATCCTCTCACCCTGTGCTTCCCCCCCAGGAGCTGGTGGAGGAGGTGCGGAGGGAGCTGCAGAAGATGAAGGAAGAAATCATCGAAGGTGGGGGGGCCATGGGGAATGGAGGGGGGGGTGTTCATGGGGCAAGAGGGGGCAATAGGGCGTTTGGGGGGGTTGTTGGGGGCAATTGAGGGACACCCTCCACGACCCCCGCCGTGATGCTGTGTTTCTCCACCCAAGCATTCGTGGCGGAGCTGCGGAAGAGGAGCGCACCTTAACACCCCCCCTGCAGCACACCCCCTCCCCCAAGATGAGCCCGGAGGGGGGGGAGGCGGAGTTTCCCCCCTACTTCCCCTCACCCCCTCCAATTCACCTCCCTGCTGCCCTGGGGGGGGGGGCTCCAGGCCGGACCACCCTGGGCTGTGCCTTACTGGCCGGGTAGGGGGCCAAAACAGCCCCCTCCCCCACTGTGCCCCCTCTCACTGCCAGTTTGGGGACCCCTTTTTTTTAATACTTAGTGGAGGGACACAAATGAGGGGTGCCCCTCCTTTCCCCCCCCCCCCCCCCGGGGTCTTTTTTATACCACTTTTGGATTTTTTTTACTTCTTTTTTTTTTTTTTTTTTGGGGGGGGGGGGGGGAGGTTGGGGTGTCCCCCCTCCCCTGCCACGAATAAACGTGGTTGTTTTGTATGTGACACTCGTGTCCTCCGTGTCACCCGTGGGGGGGGGGGGGGGGGGCGTGTCACACCAATCAGAGGGGACAACGAGGGCTTCGCCTTGCTTTAATGCCATGTGTCCCCCATGGGAGAAAAGCCCTGCCCACCCTCCTTAGCCCCGCCCCAACCGCCTCCCCACCAACCCCAGCCTGGCCATGACGGTGCAGGCCCCGCCCACAAATCTAGCCCCACCCCCTCAACCCGGGGTTAGGCCACGCCTCCGACGCGTGTCCCCACCCCCGTGGAGCCACCCTAACAGGCCAGGCCCCGCCCCCAACCCTCAGCACTGCTCCAATCCCCCCTGCAGTGTCACAGGCCCCGCCCCCTCACTACAGCCTGTCGAAAACCACCACGCCCACTCCAGGCCCCGCCCCCACTCACCCGGAGGTCAGGTCTGCCCGCCTCCACCCAAGCCCCACCCCCTCACCTCGTAGCCCCGCCCCTCTACCAGGTCCCGCCCCTGAAGGAAACCGCCGGCGGGAAGAGCACGAGGGCGCTTTTAATGGGCGGGTCCCGCGGGGGCGTGTCCTGAGTCTTCGGCGCCGGGGGCGTGGCTCTTGCCGGCGGGGGCGTTCCCAGAGCCGGCGGGGGCGTGTCCGGGGGCGTGTCCCGGCGGCAGGCGCGCCGCCATGGCGTCCAGCTCCTCCTGCAGCCGCTCCAGCCGCTCCCCGAGCTCCCGCAGCGCCGCCGCCTGCTCGTCCTCCCGCCGCCGCGCCTGCCCCGCCTGCCGGGCGTACTCCAGGTAGAGGCAGAGCCCTCCCACGCCGAACACGATGGCTTCGCCCAGCAGCTCCGCTCCCAGCTCCGCCGCCGCTTCTTCGTTCAGCGGTTTGACGGCGGCGCCGCGGAAGCCCATCAGCCGCATCTTGGCTCGCATCTCCACCCAGTGATACACTGCGGGGGGGGGGGGACACGACACGGACACACACACCGGCAGGGAGCGGCGGGGTACCGGCAGCACCCCACCGCCGCGATACCCCCCCCTCCCCCCCCGGTGCCCCCCCCCCCCCCCCACTCACGCTGCGCGGGAGGCAGGCAGACGTAGGCGCGGAAGAAGGGGCTGGCGCGCGCCCCGGCCTTGATGCGGGCCGCCAGGGGGCGGCTCAGCTGCCGCGCGCCCAGCGTCAGCAGCTTGGCCAGCGGGAACGCGCCCGCCACCATCCCGCCGCCGCAGGCCGCGCGCCGCCCGTGACCTCACCGCCCGCGCGACGCGGGGAGGGGAGGGGAGGGGGGGGCGGAGAGAGCGCGGCGGGGGGGCGTGCCTCCGCCCTCGGCCACGCCCCCCCTCCCCGCCGCTGGGACACGCCCCCTCCCCTGTCGCCGTGGCAGCGTGCCGCCGGCTCCGCCCACTCCGCCTTCGCACGTCGCGGCACCCGTGGGTGACCTTGGACTCTCCTGGGTGACACTGGAGCACACGTGGGTGATGCTGGACCCCTCTGGGGCACCCGTGGGTGGTGACCTTGGACCCTCTTGGGTGACGCTGGGGCACTCGTGGGTGACATTGGAGCACACGTGGGTGATGCTGGACACCCCTGGGGCACTCGTGGGTGACACTGGGGCGCTCGTGGGTGACATTGGAGCACACGTGGGTGATGCTGGACCCCTCTGGGACACCCGTGGGTGACCTTGGACCCTCTTGGGTGATGCTGGGGCACTCGTGGGTGACATTGGAGCACACGTGGGTGATGCTGGACCCCCCTGGGGCACTCGTGGGTGATGCTGGGGCACTTGTGGGTGGTGCTGGACCCCCCTGGGGCACCCGTAAGCGACCTTGGATCCTCTTGGGTGACACTGGGGCACTCGTGGGTGACATTGGAGCACACGTGGGTGATGCTGGACCCCCCTGGGGCACTCGTGGGTGACGCTGGGGCACTTGTGGGTGGTGCTGGACCCCCCTGGGGCACCCGTAAGCGACCTTGGATCCTCTTGGGTGACACTGGGGCACTCGTGGGTGCCATTGGAGCACATGTGCGTGATGCTGGACCCCCCTGGGGCACCCAGGGGTGACCTTGGATCCTATTGGGTGACACTGGGACACTCGCGGGTGGTGCTGGACCCCCCTGGAGCTCTCGGAGGTGACACTGGAGCACTTGTGGGTGGTGCTGGATCCTCCTGGGGCACTCGTGGGTGACATTGGACCCTCCTGGGTGATGCTGGAGCACTGCTGGTGACACTGGGGCACTCGTGGGTGACCGTGGACCTCCCTGAGTCACTCTGAAGCACCCGTGGATGATGCTGGAGACCCCTGGGTAATGGTGGAACAGCTGTGGGAGACACTGAAGCCCCCCTGGCTGTCCCTAGAGCCCCCCTGGGTGACACTGGAGCATCTGTGAGTGATGCTGAACCCCCCCAGGTAATGCTGGAACCACCGTGGGTGATGCTGGAACCCCCTGGGTGACACTGGAACCCCTCGGGTGACAATGAATCTCCCTGCATGATACTGGAGGCCACTTGGGTGACACTGGAGCTCCCATTTGTGACGTTGAAGTCCCTTGGGTGACAGTGGATCCCCCCCCCGGGTATCACTGGAGCCCCCATGGATGATGCTGGACCCTCCCGGCTGACCCTGAAGTCCCCACTGACCCTCTTTTGTGACACCGGGGCACTCGTGGGTGGCACTGGAGCACCCGTGGGTGATGCTGGAACAGCCCAGGTGACTCTGAAGTCCTCATGGGTGACACTGGGCCCCCTTTTGTGACACTGGAGCACTCGTGGGTGACACTGGGGCACCCCTGCGCGATGCTGGTGCCCCCGTGGGTGACCCTGGAACCCCAGGACATGTGGGGCAGCCTCCCGGCTCCCCCCACCTGAGACGTGGGCCAGGCTCCACGCTGCCGCCGGGTCACGTTGCTCTGAGCCCCCAGCCGGGTCCCCCCACCCCCCCCCGCCCCCCCCCGTGCCCACGCCCCTCCCGGGGGCGGTGCTGCCGGAGACGGTGCCGGTGCCCCGAGGGCGGCAGAGCCCCGCGTCGAGCCGGTACCGGGGGTCCCGGGAGCGGGCAGGGGGCACCGGGGGGGTTCACAGGGGTGTCGGGGTGGGGCGTAGGGGACAGGGGAGTGGCGGGGTGACACGCGTGGGGGGACCCGGGACAGCGGGGGAGGCAAGGGACACCGCGAGTGGCACCGGAATCAGCCCGGGGGGGGGGGGGGGGGGGGAAACGGGTCGAGGAGGGTGTCGAGATGAAGCGGAGAGTACATGGGGGCACTTTGAGGGGCAACGGGGGGCACGCGTGGGGGACCCGGGACACTGCAGGGGGACAAGGGGCACCCGGGGAAGGGACAAGGGACACTGGGGGGGGACACAAGGGACACCGAGGTGGCACCGGGAGGAACTGGCATCACTGGAGTGGGGTGACCGCTGCCCACCCAGCGCGACAGCTGCTCCGTTCCCACACGGGTCCGCGGATCTAGGTGGGGGGTGGTATCGTTTTCGGGTGGGGGGTGTCGGTGTGTGTGGGGCGTGTCCCGGTCCCGTCCCCTTCCCCGGAGGGGACCCCGGTGTCTGGACACCACCTGCAGTTCCCTGGTAACCGGTGCGTCAAACTGGGGGGGGGGCGGCGCCGGGACCCCCCCCCCCTCCTCCCGCTGCCCCTCCGTGTGCCCCTCCCAGGAGCCGCCGTCACCGTCATGGGCCACCAGGCAGTGCCCCCCCCGGCTGCTCAGTCGGGCCCTGCGTGAGGCAGAGGTGAGACCCTCCCACAGTTCCCCCAGTGTCACTCCCAGGGTCCCCCCCACACACTGAGACACCCCCACTGCCACTGCTGGGACCCCCCCGCCCTCCACCTCGGACCCTCCCGCTGCCTCACCGGCACCCCCACCCCACCAAGACCCCCCCCACCAGCTGCCACCCCTGGGACCTCCTCACCAGGACCGTGGTGGCTCCATGGTGATGGCCCCAGCCGTGGTGAATCCATGGTGGCGTCCCCACGCCGGTGGCCCCCCCGTGGGGGGTGTGTGTGTGTCCCACGGTGTCCCCACGGTGTCCCCTCGCAGGAGGAGCGTTCGGCCCAGGCAACGCTGGCTGCGTGGCGCGAGTACCGACGTGCCTGCGAGCTGCGCCTGCACCTCGACCCCCCGGCACCGGGTGAGTGGGAATGGGGGGGAAGATGATGGGGGGAGACACCGGGGACACCCTGACCCCCCCATCCACCACCCCCCCAGGACCCGTCTGCAACCGCAGCTTCGACATGTATGCCTGCTGGGGGGACGCGGCCCCCAACAGCACTGTCACTGTCCCCTGCCCCTGGTACCTGCCCTGGCACCACCGAGGTAATGGGGGGCTGGTGGCTCCCACGTCAGGGGGGCCCCGGGGGTGCCCTGGGTGTGCCCCAGGGTGACGGGACGGAGGGCTCAGTGCAGGGTGGGGTGGTGGCTCGGCGCTGTGGACCCGACGGGCGGTGGGTGACCGACGAGACGGGGCGGCCCTGGCGGGACCACTCGCAGTGTGAGGACCTGACGCAGGAGCCGCCGCTTCAGGTGGGTGCCGCGCCGCGCTGTGGGAAACCCCACGCCGGGGTGCGTCACGCTGCCGTGCCACACTGTGCCGTGCCCCGTGCTGTGCCTGGTGCCGTCCCAGTGCCATGCCGTGCTGTGTCGTGTGCTGTGTCACGCTGCGCCGCGTCCCACGCCGTGCTGTGCCATGCTGCGCCGTGTTGGGCCCCATGCCATGCCCTGTGCCGCTCCTCGTGCCATGCTGCGCTGCGCCGTGCCCCGTGCTGTGCCGTGCCTGGTGCCATGCTGACTTTTGCCATACCCCACGTGGTGCTGTGCCACGCACCATCAGGCTGTGCTGCTGCTTGTGCTGAACCAGGAGCTGCTGGGCTGCACCGGGTTGTGCTGTGCCATGCATTTTGCTGTGCCATGCCGTGCTGTGCACCACGCCACACACCGTGCTGTGTCGCGTTGCACCATGCTGTGCCGTGTTGTGCTGCGCCATGCCATGCAGCGCACCACGCCATGCGCCACAGCGTGCCGTGTTTTGCCATGCAGCCCCATGCTATGCACCACACCACGCACCATGTTGCACTATGCCGCACCGTGCTGTGCCCCACGCCATGCACCGTGCTGTGCCGTGTTGCACTGTGCCGCACTGTGCTGCGCCCCACGCCATGCACCGTGCTGTGCCGTGTTGCACTATGCTGCACTGTGCTGCGCCCCACGCCATGCACCGTGCTGTGCCGTGTTGCACCGTGCCGCACCGTGCTGTGCCCCATGCCATGCACCGTGCTGTGCCGTGTTGCACCGTGCCGCACTGTGCTGCGCCCCACGCCATGCACCGTGCTGTGCCGTGTTGCACCGTGCCGCACTGTGCTGCGCCCCACGCCATGCACCGTGCTGTGCCGTGTTGCACCGTGCCGCACTGTGCTGCGCCCCACGCCATGCACCGTGCTGTGCCGTGTTGCACCGTGCCGCACTGTGCTGCGCCCCACGCCATGCACCGTGCTGTGCCGTGTTGCACCATGCTGCACCGTGCTGTGCACTAAGCCATGCACCGTGACATGCTGTGTTGCACCGTGCTGTGCCGTGTTGCGCCACGCCATACCATGCTGCGCCACACCGCGCTGCACCATGCCCCGCGCCATGTCCCGCTGCCCCACGCCGCACCACCGTGCCACCTCCCGGCGTGGTGCCACCTCCTTGTCCCCCGTGTCCCCCGTCCCCTCAGCGGCAGGCCTGGCTGCTGGAGCAGTTCCGCCTCCTCTACACCGTGGGCTACTCCCTCTCCATCGTCGCCCTTCTCCTGGCGCTACTGCTGCTCCTGCTCTTCAGGTACCTCCACCGGGGCACCCCTGGGTGCTAGTGGGGCACCTGTGGGTGCTGCCACCTGCCACCCCTCACCTCCCACAGGCGCCTGCGTTGCACCCGCAATTTCATCCACGCCAACCTCTTCCTCTCCTTCGTGCTGCGGGCCGGCGCCATCCTGACGCGGGACGCACTGCTGCAGCGTCGCCTTCGCCCTGGCCCAGGTCATCCCCTGCAGCTGCTGGCCCAACAGGTGGGCACTCACGGGGGGGGGGGGGGGAGGGCACCCATGGGTGGGTGGGGCACCCATGGAGGGAGGGGCACCCCTGGGTGGGGGATGATGTGCTGCTCTGGGATGGGGGACCTGAAGGTGGGGGCTAGTCCAGCACCGTGCTGGTGCTACCCTGGTGCTGGTCCCTCCCCAACACTGTTGTCCCCGTGGCGGTGTGGGTGTCCCCGTGGCAGGCTGTGACAGGGTGCCGGCTGGCCCAGGCTCTCACCCAGTACTGCGTGGGGGCCAACTACGGGTGGCTGCTGGCTGAGGGACTCTTCCTCCACAAGCTCCTGCTGCTGGCAGCCTTCTCCGGCGAGCGCTGCCTCCCTGCCTTCCTCCTCCTCGGCTGGGGTGAGCCCGCTTCCACGTCCCTCCGTACCCCACCTTTGTCCCCACGTCCCCCTCCCCAACCTTGTCCCCATCCCTCCAGGAGCCCCCGTGCTCTTCGTGGTGCCGTGGGTGGTGGTGAGGTACCTCTACGAGAATGAGGGGTGAGGCCACTAGAAACAGCCCCCTCCCCGTTTTGTCACAGCCATGAGGGGGACACTCTATGATGTCCCCAACAGGGGACCCCAGTATCTGGCTGAGCTCCCCCCACCCCTGGCAGGTGCTGGGAGAGGAACGAGAAGGCGGCGGTGTGGTGGATCATCCGCTGTCCCATCCTGATGGCCGTGGCAGTGGGTGACACAGCAAGGCGGGGATGGGGGGTGTGGGGGGCTGGCCATCCCGGGGCAGTGTCCCCACTGCAAGGGCTGTCACCACTGGTGTCCCCATCCCCAGGTGAACTTCGTGGTGTTCGTGCGCATCGTCCGCATCTTGGTGGCCAAAGTCCGGGCACATCAGGTGTCCCGTGGGGACACCAGAGTCAGGTGGGGGGACACAGGGACACAGGTCGCACCCCCCCACACCCCTGTCCCCGTGTCCTCGTGCTGTTGCTGCAAGCGTCCCCGTGCCCTCCTCAGCCCCCTGCATGTCCTCACGTGTGTCCCCAACCCTGCGGTGTCCCCAGGCACACCCCTGAGTGTGTCCCCATGCACATCCCTGTCCCCGTAACATCCTGAGTGTGTCCCCATGCCTGGAATGTCCCCGACCATGTCCCCATTCCTGTGACACCCCCGAGTGTATCCCCAAGCATGTTACCGTGCACATCCCCATCCCTGTAATGCCACCAAATCTGTCCCCAAGAGTGTCCCTGTCCCCCAAGTGTGTCCTTGATGGGGTCCCCATCCCTGAGGGGGTGTCCCTGTCCCCATCCCTCCCTGAGGGGAGAGTGTCCCTGTCCCCCAAGTGTGTCCCTGATGGGGTCCCCATCCCTGAAGGGGTGTCCCCGGGGGGGGTCTCCCCGTCCCTGGGGATGTCCCTGGTTGTCCTTGAGCATGCCCCCCCCCCCGCAGGCTGGCCAGGTCAACGCTGACGCTGATCCCGCTGCTGGGGGTGCATGAGGTGGCCTTCGCCGTGGTGGGGGAGGGACAGGGAGGGGGCACCCTGCGCCTGGTGCAGCTCTGCCTCCAGCTGCTGCTCTCCTCCTCTCAGGTGTGGGGGGGAGGTGGCAGAGGGGCATGGGGGGAGCGATGGGGGGGGGGCAATGGGGGAGGGAGAGGGATGGAGGCAGCAGGGAGGGAGTGCAATGGGGTGGGTGCTGCTGCAATGGGGGGAGCTGCTGTAGGGTGTGCAATGGGGGGCATAGGGGCTACAGTGGGGATGAGCAATGGGGAGGGCTGCGGTGGGGTGGGGGGCTGTGATGGAGGGTGCAGTGGGGTGGGAGTATAGTGAAGGGGAGCAACTGGGGGAGTGTGTGTGGTGGTGGGGGACACGCAATGGGGAAGCTAAAATAGGGGTTGCAGTGGGGGAGTGAGAAGGGGGGTGTGTGATGGGGGGCTTCCTGGGGGGAGGGGGTCTGCAATGGGGAGGTAGGGGGGTGTGATGGGGTGGGGGTGCAGGGGGTGGGTGCTCAGGGCTGGGGGGGGTCTGTGTGGGGGGGTGCATATGTGTGTGTGTGTATGTGTGACCATGCGCACCCACATGTTGGGGTGCACCCCCCCCCATCCCCAGGGCCTCGTTGTCAGCATCCTCTACTGCTTCGTCAACAAGGAGGTGCGTCATCGTGACACGGAGGGGGGGAGGGGGGGAGCGTGTCGTGACGTGGGGTGGCATGTCGTGACATGTCCCGGTGCCTGCAGGTGCAGGCAGAGGTGCGACGTGGGTGGCAGCGGTGCCGCCTGGGTGCCCCTGGCCCCCCCCATGGCACCCGCCGCTATGTGGCTGTGGGGGGGCAGCGTGTGGCACTCCCCGATTCTGGGAGACACCCGACTGCTGAGAGCTGCTGCTGAGGGGGGGGACAGCACCCTTGGGTGCTGGGGAGGGGGTGTGTCCCAAAAGCCTTTGGGTGTTGGGGGGGAGTCAGGAGGGCTTTGGGGGTCACACCTAAGGGTGCTGGGGGCGGGTCCTAAAAGCCTTTGAGTAATGGGGAAGGGCTGTCTCCCTGTCACCTTTGGGTGCTGGGAGGGGGAATTAGAGGGGCTTGGGTGGGAGGATCTCCCTATCACCTTTGGGGGCTGGGGGGGGCTGGGGGGGGGGGCTTCAGGGGGGTTCCCCTGACACCTTGGGGCGCTGCAGGGTGTCCCCAATGCCTTGGGGTGCTGGGTGGGGAGGGTCTGGGGTTTCCCAACACTTTTGGGTGCAGGGGGGGCATGGGGGTGAAAGGGTGTGTGTGGGTGTGTGTGTCCAAGACTATGACACCTTGGGATGTTGAAAGGGGAGTCAGGGTGTTTTGTGGGTGTCCCTTGACACCTTGGGGTGCTGGGGGGGGGGGCAGGGTGTTTTGGGCGGGGTTCCTTGACACCTTGGGGTGCTGGGGGGTGGGGGTGTTGCAGGGGCATCGGGGCTATGGAGACCCAGCTTTGTAGCCTAAAAAAACACGTGAGGACCATGAGTGGCTCCTGTGAAATGATTTGGGGGGGGCTCTTGGGGGTGTCACTGGGGTGCACTGGTGGCTGGGGTGGGTGGCGCTGGGTGCTACTGGGCTGTCACAGGTGCTCAGGGCTGGGTGTCCCTGAGGGGTGTCATTTAGGGTGTCACTGGTGACTGGCGTGGGGGGGGGGGGTGTGTGTGTTGTCATTGCAGGTGTCAGTGGGTTACCAGGGGTGGGGGGGAGTTACTGGGGGGGCAGCACTGGGAGGGGTCACTGGGTGATGGGACGGTGTCACTGGGAGACCGGGGGCGTGACTGGGGACGGGGAGAGGGATGTCCCCGCCGCCCCCACGACCCCCTCCACACGTGGGCGACACCTCCCGGCACACCGGCTGCGCGTGCGCGGCGTGGCGGAGCGGCACGGCGGCGGACTACAACTCCCAGCATCCCCCTCCGACCAGCCGCGTTCTCCTCCCTCTCCCCTCGAGGCGCATGCGCGGAGGCTCCTGACTACACTTTCCAGCGCCCCCCGCGCGGCGCCTGCGCGGAGACTGGCGGGTGGGCGCATGCGCGGGGGCACCCCGGAAGCGGCGCGGAGAGGCGGAGCGGCCGCGCCCGGCACCTGCCCGGTGAGCGGGGGAGGGGCGGCGGCACCGGGCGGAGCCCCGGACGCGCGTGGGGGGGTGGGGGTGGGGGGAGCGTGGGCGTGGGCGGTGCCCCGGGGCGGGGCGTGGCGGTGGCGGAGCCCCGGGGCTGATGCTCGGTAACGGCCGCGGTGCCGCAGGGCCGGGGCCCGGGGGGGGCGGGGGGTGTCCCCGTGTCACACGGGGGACCGGCGGCTCCCACTCGTGACACACCGCGGGGTGGTGATGGGGGGGGGGATGGGGCCGTGCTCGCGGCACACCGCGGCGGGGGGGGCAGTCGTGTCACACCCGTGACACACCGCGGGGGGCGCGAGGACAACCGGGAACGGGCGGCGTTGCGCGGGGGGGGACCGTGCTGCCCTCGCCTTGCGCGGGGCCGAGGGCGCTTTTCACGCGTGGGGACACGCGTGTCCTAGTGCGGTGGGGGGGCGAGCGTGTCCCCATGTCACACCTGGGGTGGGGACGGGCCCAGCCTCGCGTCACCCACGAGGCTCACCGGCTCTGTCCCCCCCCAACCCCCCATGGGCCACGCGGGACCGTGTCCGTGCCCCTCCCGTCCCCGCGGCACAGGGGTGGGCGGGGCCACACGGCCACGCCCCCTCCCTCGGGCGCGCCCCCCGCCGGCCACGCCTCCGGCCCACCGCGCTGCCCGCCGTCCATATATGGGCATGGCCCGAACGCGGTTCTCTGATTGGCCGCCGCCTGGCGCGCAGGGCCTGTCAACAAACGGCTGCAGTCGTCCGGTCCTTAAAAGGGCGGGGCGGCTCGTAGCGGGGCGGTGTAACCTCCGAGGCCGTCGCGGCCGCTTTAAGGGCCGGAGCCGGTGAGCGGTGGCGAGGGGGCGTGGCTTAGGGGTTTGAGGGCGCGGCCTTGGGGTACGCAAAAGGGAATGGGGGAGGAGCTAGTGCAAGGGGGGCGGAGCCGGGGGAGGGCACAGGCCAGTCACCGCACCAGCTCCCACCGCCGTGACCCCAGTACGGCCCAGTAGTGGTACTGGGAACGGCCCAGGAATGGCCACGTTAACCCTGTCAGCCCCACAGAGTCCTGAAAGCCCCGTGGTGTCCCCGAAAGCCACGTACTGGCCCCATACTGGTCCTGCCAGCCCCATACTGTCCCACCATCCCCATACTGGTCCCTAAAAGCCCCATACTGTCCCCACAGCCCCAGGTTGTCCCCACCAGCCCCATACTGGTCCTGCCAGCCTCATACTGTCCCCATCATCCCCATGTTCTCCCCACCATCCCCATACTGGTCCCTAAAAGCCCCATGCTGTCCCCAACAGCCCCATACTGGTCCTGCCAGCCCCATACTGTCCCCAACAAACAGCCCCAGCTGCCCTGTATCATCCCCACTAACCCCATGTTGTCCCCACTGTCCCCATACTGGTCCCGCCAGCCCCACACTGTCCCCACTATCCCTGCCTCAGCCACATTAACAGCCCTTTCTCTCCCGGCAGGCCCGGGCACGGGTGCCAGCAGCCCCTGGCGTCGGCGGCATCGGCAGTGCCATGCTGCCCTGATGGAGCCCAACGCCTTCCCCCAGCTGCAGCTCTGGTGCCCGCGGCCCTTCGGCACTTACTCCCAGAACAAACCATGTCCTGGCTCCAGCTCCACCAAGAAACCCTTCTCCTGCCGTCCCACCGAAGAGCCCGCTGGAGCCCGGGCCCCCTCCGAAAACACGCCACCGGCTTCTGCCAACGCCGCCGCGGCTCCCCCGGCATCGGCGGAGGAAGGCCGAGTGCTGCTGGACACGTGGTACGTCATCAAACCGGGCAACACCAAGGAGAAGGTGGCTTTCTTTGTGGCACACCAGTGCAGTGGCGGTGGTGGCGGCGGTGGCACCAGCGGCCGTGCCAGCACCATGAAGGTAAAGGGCAACTGGGGCAGCGATAGCTCCAAAGCCAAGCGGCGCCGGCGCTGCCATGACCCCACTAAGAGCAAGCCGAGCCCGGCATGGGCTACCGGCGGCAGGGACCCAACTTGCCAGCACCCCGGCGAACCGTCTGCCGCTGCCAGCGAAGCCCCTGACTTGCTGTCGGTGGCGGAGATGGTGGCGTTGGTGGAGCAGAGGACGGCACTGGCGTTGCAGAGCTTTCCCCGGCCCTGCGGCGCTCCTGCCGCTCCCGTTGTCTTTGTGGAGGCGGCCAGCGGCGAAACCAAAGCGCCGAGCGGCTCCGACTGCAGCCGGGTGGCCGAAGCCGTTGCCCACTTCGAGTCGCGGCAGCGGGAGCACGGTGGCACCCGACCCAATGGGCTGTGCCGCCCGGGCACCGAATGCGCGGCAGCGGCATCATCAGCACCGGGTCCTGGCGAGGTGCGCATCGCCTTCCGCATCTCCAGCGGCCGCGAGCCACGCGCCGGAGCCGCCGCGGCCGAGCCGGGTGCTGTCGGGCGTCCCAACTGCGTCTTTATGAGCTGCGGGACCGGGAGTGGCAGCGGTAATGCTGGTGGCCGTGCCAAGGACAAGATCACCTGCGACCTCTACCAGCTGATCAGCCCGTCCCGGGATGCGCTGCCCAACAACGTGGAGTTCCTCCTGGCCGCTGCCGGTCCCAAGGGGGACGGGGACGGCCCCGACGTGGACATGGGGTGCAGTGAGGGGTCAGCGACCGCCGTCAAGCCAGAGACGGGCGAAGGAACCAGTGAGGGGGCATCGGCATCGGCGCGGGATTGCGCCTCCAGCTTCCACGTGGACGTGGTGGTGACGGGGGTGGTGGACCAGTGTGTCTTCTTCGGCAAGGACAGCGCCAAGAAGATGAAGGAGGAGACGGTGCGGCTGCCAGCAGCGGTGCAGGAGGACCCACCGCCTGGGCAGCTCTTCCTCCTGCCTGTCCCCGAGGAGACGCCGGCGGTGGAGGACACGGAGGCCAGGGAGGAGCCACCCGCCATCCCTGACCCCTCGCTTTGCCGGTTGTACCGTCACGTCTCCCATGACTTTTTGGAGATCCGCTTCAAGATCCAGCGGCTGCTGGAACCCCGGCAGTACATGCTCCTGCTGCCGGAGCATGTCATGGTGAAGATCTTCAGCTACCTGCCCACCCAAGCGCTAGCCGCCCTCAAGTGCTCCTGTCACTACTTCAAGTCCATCATCGAGACCTTTGGAGTGCAGGCTACGGATTCCCGCTGGAACCGCGACCCCCTCTACCGTGACGACCCCTGCAAGCAATGCAAGAAGCATTATGAGAAGGGGGACGTGTCCCTGTGCCGGTGGCACCCCAAGCCCTACCACCATGACCTGCCTTACGGCCGATCCTACTGGATGTGCTGCCGGAGACCCGATAAGGAGGCACCCGGTTGCAGGGTGGGCTTGCACGATAACAACTGGGTACACCCGGCCACCCGGCGCGATGACGGCAGGTGAAGGGACAAGCGCCGGCGGGGACGGTGGTGGCGGATCTTTGGGACACGGAGGGGGGAGGTTGTCTGCTGCAGTTGCTGGAAAGGGCGGAGGAGAAGGTGGAAAAAAGAAAAAATAATCATCAAACCTCAAAACTTGAAGGAAAGAAAAAAAAAAAAAAAAAAAAAGGAATGAAGTGGAAGGGATGGAGAGAGGGTGTGGGGAGTGGCAGTGTGGAGGGTGATGGCCCCATCTGGGGCGATGGCTCTGTCCGGGGTGAAGGCCCCATGGAGGGTGATGGAGGGTGACATCTCTGTCAAGGGTGATGGCTCTGTGGGGGGTGCTGGCCCTCTGGGGATGACCCCAACTGGGCTGATGACCTGCAGAAGGTGAAGGCCTTGTGGCAATGACCCCAGCTGGGCTGATGGCCCTGAGGAGGGTGATGGCACTCTGGAGGGTGACACCCCTATCTGCAGTGATGTCCCCATGGAGGGCGATGGCCCCATGGAGGGCAATGTCCCCATGGAGGGCGATGGCCCCATGGAGGGCAATGGCCCCATGGAGGGCGATGTCCTCATGGGAGCAACACCCTCATCCAGGGTGACAGGGTGTCAGCCGCACTCGCAGTGACGTCCCCATTCTCCACGATTACATCTCTGGGGTGACATCCTGCCCCCACCCCAGGTGGCGGCTGTGGTGACATCACTATTGAGAGTGACATCACTTCTGAGGGGACACCCCACCGGGGTGATGGCCCCGGGCACGATGGCCGGACCGCCCACAGCGCCCCCCCCCCCCGCCATGTCCTTGCAGAGTACTCTGCGCATGCGCCGACGGGTGCCAGGGGGCTACCGCGCTTGCGCTCCCGCCACCAGCGAAAGGGGCGTGGACTGGTGCTCAAACCCCGCCTCCAGCCCCTATCGGCGGCGCCCTTGTCGCTCGGCTACCCGCCACTCGCACCGGAGGCCCCGCCCTCCCCGGAGGCCCCGCCCCCGCGCCATGCGGAAGGGCGCCGGTGGCTCCCGCCGGCCCCGGGCCGTCGGTTCAGGGCCCGCTCCGGGCCCGGTGTCGGTGTCGGTGCCGCTCCCGGTGCCGGTCCTGGGGCTCTTTCCGCGGTCCCGCCGCTGTCTCCGGTCGCTGCTGCCGCTCCTGGCGCTGGCGGCTGCCGCCGCCCTCCTCTACGTCGCCTGGCCCGGCAGGGAACGGGGCACTGGCCCGGTGAGCGGGGGGGGCGGGTCCCGGTGGGTTTCGGGGGGGGGGTGGGGGGTCCTGGGAAGGGGGTTGCTTAGCATTTCCCCGCTGCCCCCGGGAGTCCCCAGACCCCGTGGGGACCCCCTGACCTCTCCGCTCCTCCCAGGACCCCCCAGTCTCCTGGGGTTCCCCAGATTTCATCATGTGGGCACCCAACGGATCCCGGGGCGACCGGACCAACACCCCGCCAGGGCCCTCAGCCCCCCAGGGCCCCCCAGATCCCATCATGGGGCCACCCAAGGCATCCATGGGCCCCTCAGACCCCTCTGGGGACCTCCAACATCCCCAAGGGCCTCCAGAGCCCCTCGGGGAGGTCCAAGACCCCTTCAGGGCCCCCCAACATCCCCCAGGGCCCTCAGCCCCCTCCCTGAGCTCCCCCAAACCCATTCGTGGGGAGCACCCAATGCATCCACAGGCACCCCAGACCCCTCCCCAGGGTACCCAACTTCCTAAGGCCTCCCGCCCCAGACCCCATCATGGGGGCCCTCCAGGGACTCCCAAACCCTCCGAGGGACCTCATCCCACTCCCAACGCTGACACAGCCCCTCCCCCCCCCCAGCCCCTTCCCGGCCCCCCTTTGGAGCAGGATCTACTGGGGCAGCTGGATCCCACCCGCCTGCGGGACACCTTCCTGCGGCCCCTCCTGCGGGAACGGGTGCCGGGGGGGCCCGGGAGCCGTGCTGCCCGCCAGGTAAGCCACCCCTGCACCCTCGGGTGTTGCTGCACCCACCCTTGGGTGCTGCCACATCACTTTGCCGGGGTCCTCATTCCCCCCCAGCACATTGTGGGACGCCTGGGTGCGCTGGGAGCTGCTTGGCACCTGGAGCTTGATGCCTTCGAAGCGGTGACTCCCCGGGGACTGGTGACCTTCACCAACGTGGTGGCCACGGTGGCCCCTGCCGCCCCCCGCCGCCTGGTCCTCGCCTGTCACTACGACACCAAGGTCTTGCCCCCCAGTCCCGGCCAGCGGTTCTTCTTGGGGGCCACTGATTCGGCTGTGCCCTGCGCCATCCTCCTGGAGCTGGCAGCTGCCCTCGACCGGCCCCTGCGGCGCGCCAAGGACAGGGTGGGTGAGAGGTGGCTCCAGGGCCTGGCTTCTTGCCGGACGCCTGGGTTCCCCCCATGTACCCCCCAGGACACCTGGGTTCTCCCCACATCCCCCCCAAAGATGCCTGGGTTCCCCCCACATCCCCCCCAGGACGCCTGGGTCCCTCCTGACTGCTCGCAGACCCTCTCCTCCAGGACACCATTGTCCATACCCTCCTCCTCAGGATGCCTGGGTCCCTCCTGACACCCCCACCCCTTCCCAAGACACCTGAATCCCCAACCCGGGCCACCCGGGTCTATCCTGGATGTTGGGGTCCCCTCCCCGCTGCTGGACCGCAGTGTCCCGGCAGGGTGCGGAGGTGACGCTGCAGCTGCTGTTCCTGGATGGGGAGGAGGCCTTCGGGGACTGGAGTGTCACCGACTCCCTCTATGGCGCCCGGCACCTGGCAGCACGTATGGCCACCACCCCCCATGGGCTCCACGGCACCCAGATCACTGCCATGGTGAGTGGCACCCAGCCCCGTGGTGGCGGGGGGAGTCTGGTGGCACCCAAGGGTGGTGGCACAGAGGTGGTGGGGATTTGGTGGCACCCAAAGCTGGGGGGGCGGGGGGGGGGGGGGGGGAGGAGGGACAGCAGTGAGGTGGTCTGGTTGTCGTGACCAAGCTGGGATGGCCGCACGGCACCCAAGGGTGATGGCCAAGTGTGGTGGGCTGATCTGAGGGCACCCAAGCATGGTGACGTGGCATTGGCCCAGCTGGGACAGTCCCACCGCATTCTGAGTGGTGGCACTGTGGTGTCCCCATGCCTGTGCTGGTGTCCCCATGGCCATGCTGGTGTCCCCAGAGCCTGCTGGTGTTGCTGGACCTGCTGGGCGCCCGCCACCCCGCCATCCACAGCCACTTCCCTCGCACCCATCACTGGTTCCTGCGCCTCGTCGCCATCGGTGGGACACGGGGATGGGGACAGGGACAAGGGGATGAGGTGGGGACAGCTGGGGATGGGATGGGGGGGGTCACAGGTGGGATGCGGGGATGGGATCAGGTGGGGACACAGGGTTGGGACAGGGGTGGAACTGGGACAGGCTGGGAATGAAGGGCTGGGATGGGGACAGAGGAGGCTGGGGGTGTCACAGATGTCCCCTGCCACCTCCCCTCCATCTGGCACAGAGCAGCGGCTGCGGCAGCTGGGGCTGCTGCACGCCCTCCCCCAGGACCAGCCCTTCTTTCACCTCAGCCCAGCCCCAGGACCTGTTGAGGATGACCACGTCCCCTTCCTCCAGCGAGGTGCAACACCTTCCCTGTCCCCTGGGACGTGCTGTCCCTATATCCCCACACCGTGGGGTCCCTGCGGACTGATGGCTCGAGGGACACATTTCTGCCCATGTCCCCACAGGTGTCCCTGTGCTGCACCTCATCCCCCTGCCCTTCCCACCCGTGTGGCACACCCTCGAGGACACCGAGGACAACCTGCACTCCCCCACCGTGGAGGACCTGTGCAAGATCCTGATCACCTTTGTGGCCGAGTTCCTGCAGCTCTGAGCCTCGCTGTCACCCCCAGTCTGAGCCCCCCAGGGAGGCCAGGCAGCCCTGGGCTATGCTGGGAGCCACCAGTAAAGTGCTCAGTGACCAATACCGTGTCCTGTGCTGTCGCCTGCCACAGGAACACCCCTGGAAACGCACAGGGACACGTAATTGAGATCCCAGAGAAGAGTATTTGGGTCCTCAGGGACCCTGGGGAACACTATTCGGGCTCCAGGGGACCAGCTGGAGCAGTGCCTGTGCCCCTCCGCAGGGCACCCCTCAGCCTCCCCTTCCCCTGCTATAAAGGAGCCCAAGATCCCCGATTCCTTCCAAAAAGAAGAAAAAAAAAAAAAAAAAAGAACAAAAACCCCCCCATTTTATTGCTTGTACCGTACAAACACAAGGGCAGCCAAGAGCTGCCGGCCAGCTGCTGCGCTGGGGATGCCGGGCCACCATGCCCACCGCATCGAGGGGTCTTGGCTCCCCACCCTGCTCTGGTATTTTGAAGTTAATTCGACTCAATTTGGGCAACTAGGAACTAGGTAAGAAAAAGCGAGTTTTCTCAGTTCCTCTCCGCAGGGGGGGAAGCAGCACCAGGCACCAAATTCCTACCTCCAAACCGCAGCCCCTGCCGTTGGCTGCACCAAGAGATGCCGGGCAGCAAGTCCAGCTTGTCACTGGCCCGGCTTGTTGGTGCCGGTGCCGCAAAGGCAATGGTCCCCGAGCACCAGGTCCCACCAACGCTGTGCCAGGAGCCCACAGCCCCGGTGACTGGTCTCTACCAAAAGATGTCCAGAGAGCATCCATCGGGTGCGGATCCACCGTCGGCAGTGGCGTGTGCTAGAAGAAACCCAGTCCTGATGCCGGCAGCGCGGCAGCCAAAGCCCCGTCCCTCTGGAACACCGCACCGAGACCGGAGGCGAGCTGGTTCTGGTGACACCGTCGCCCACCGAGGATGTGGCCGCTGTCACTGAGCCCAGGACCGCTGCAGCTCCTGGCTTTAAGGCACCGGAGAAGCCAAACTATTGCTTTTTCGATCGTGTTTTCTGTAGGACTACGCTGGCACGGTGGAGGTGCTCCGCTCTGCTGAGGCACCAGTTCAGGGGTACGGTTGGTTTTCGGTCGCTGCTGGTTCAGTTCCAAGCAGAGCCAGATCCGAGAGGCTGAGATGTGGCCCCCCCCAGTCTCAGCGGGGGTCCTGCCCTGTTGTCCCCTCCCTTGGGGCAGCCAGCATTGGGTCCTGGCCTCAGAGGTTTTTTTCCCCCCTCCCTTCTGCTGTGAAAACAGCTTCTCCCCAACTGGGAACAGTGGGTTTTACTGGGCAGAGGGCTGGCTGAGCTTCCGGGGGAGGGGGTGGGGAGGGTCAAGGCCACAGTTGTGGAGAAAGAGGGGTTGGCTTAAAAAGCTGCGAGCACTTCTAGAAGTTTAAAAAATAAAAATAATTAAAAATCAAAGCAGTCCTAGGCTAGGGGCAGGAGGCACGTCTCAGTGCCGGTGGGAGCTGCAGAGAAAGAGCACTTGGTAGGCGTATGGCTTCCGAAAGGCGCCGCGGCGCAGCACCGGCGAGCCGCAGCATCCCGCCCCCCATCTGCTGGGCACGGAAGAGAAATCCCTCCTGCCATGAGTGAGCCCCCAAACCCCCCTCCTCCTCCTCACGAGGCCGAATGCCGCTGCTGCTGGTTACTCCCGTATGCTGGCGGAGTAGGAGAACTGGGGGAAGTGCGTCCGCTGGTCGTTCTCCAGGGAGCCCATGTTGTCGTCTGTAAAGCCAGGGACAGGGAAGGGTTTGAGAGTGAGGGAGGTGGTGATGAAGCCTCCCTGGTTCATTCACAAGATCTCCCGCTTCCTCCCACAGTGGAGACGTTACCAAAGGTGCCCAAGACCTCTCCAGGGCAGCGAGAGGGACCCTGAGCTGTTCTAGAGGTGTGACAGCAATGCCACCAGCCCCTCAGGTGACACCTGCCACCAGGATGGTCAGAGGAAAATGCAGTTGCATGAGAGGAAGGGGTAGAGGTGACAAAGGGGGGGTTCCCATTTCTGGGCAGCGCTGGCACTCACAGCGATCTGGCGGGGTGATGGTGATGGATTGGGCGGTGAACTCGTCATCGAAATACCGTGTGTCGATCTCGGACGTCACTTGGGGCTTGAACGGTGGGACCAGCTGATGGAGACCAGGAGAAATTTGTTCACCGTCAGCGTGCCGAGCACCCGCCCGCTCCTTCACCCCCCTCAAAGCACTCCCTTCCCTTCCTACCTTCTTCTGAACCACGTCCTGCCAGTTGATGGGGGCGAAGAAGCGATGCTCCATCACCTCCTTGGCATCGTTTTGACCTCCACCAAGCCTGCAGGCACACAGGCACGTCTGGAAGTGCCGGCAGTGCCGCCGTCTCCCCCCTGCTGTCCCCGGCAGATCCTCACCTCTGTTTGGGATCCTTCTTGAGCAGCCCGGCCAGCAAGGATTTGGCCTCGGGGCTGAGGGTACGAGGGAACCGGATCTCCTCCATGAGGATCAGCTCGAAGAGGCGTTCGTGGTCCTGGTTGTAGAAGGGGAGGCGACCACACATCATCTCATACATGACGACCCCCAGGCCCCACCAGTCCACGGCGCGGCCGTAGTCGTTGTCCTCCAGGACCTGTGTGGGGGAAAATAGAGAGCATGGTGCTGATGAGGCTGAGGAGCCCAGTGGCAACACGAGGAGGGAGAAGGGAAACCCATTCTGAGATACCACCACGCTTGCAACCTAAGTATTTGGAAAAGCCCCCGCTGAACCACTGCCATTTTGGACTCTGGGAATAACCGCCACAGAAAAACCTTTCTGGCATGAGTTTCGAGGAAAGCTTGGCTGCAGGAATGCTTTAAGTACCTCTGGAGCCAGGTACTCGGGAGTGCCGCAGAAGGTCTTCATGGTGGCTCCATCTGTGATGCCTTCCTTGCAGAGCCCAAAGTCGGTGATTTTGATGTGGCCATCTTTATCAAGCATGAGGTTTTCCAGCTGAAAAAGAAGCAGACAGGCGGGAGAAAAGATTTGGAGTTGTGTGAAGACAAGAGCATGGGAGGGGGATGCTGCTCCCCCAAAAGGCTCCGCCGGATGGTTGGGGTGTTGATCCATTGCCGTGTGATGGGGACAAGGCTGACACCTCCCTGCAGGGCAGGTTCAGGCTCTCTCTGCTGAAGCCCGGCTCCCACTCTCCCTCCTGCAACAACGTGTGCTAAAACATCCCCAGCCCCAGGTGGAGAGCAGCTCTTCACTGCCCACAGCGAGCGGGAGTGGAGAAAAGTGACACTCTGCTTGTGCTGAAACCCTTCGAGGCCCCTCAGGGTCATTTTTAGGGGAGCTGGGAGCAACCCCACAGCCCCAACCACCAGCCCAGGAAGGTTAAAATTGCACCAGCACTGAGACAGGAGGAAGGCACTGCTCACAGACACCACTGCTGCTGGGCTGGTACCTTAATGTCCCTGTACACCACATCCCGGGAGTGCAGGTACTCCAGCGCAGAGACTATTTCTGCACCATAGAAACGAGCTCGATCCTCCGTGAAGACGCGTTCTCTCGAGAGGTGGAAAAACAGCTTGAGGAAAAGAAAAGGAAAAAAAAACAAAACAAAAGAGAACAGCTGATCAACCAGCACTTTAAACACACAGTGAAACTCCCGTTAATCGCTCTCAGCATGCAGCTAATGCGGTCATATGTGTCCTAAGCTCCTTGCTTTGAGCAGTTAAAATATTAACAGCTCCCTCTCTGCTCTGCTAGTGGGAGCTCGGAGGAAAACACCACTGTACGTTGCCTGCAAGAGGGGTTACACCATCAGCTGTGCTCCCCCTCGCAAAGAAAGCGTGTCAGGGTGGTGAAACAAAGCTGGACAGGAGTGCGGGGTGGGAGGTAAGAGAGCCAGTGGTGGCTGGGGGTGCTGCAGAGTCCGCAGCTCCCCAGATGATAAGGAGGCCCCCCGGGTGCCCTGGAGGGTTGCTTCATGCATACAACTGTCTCACTGGGATATCGAGCATGAGGAAGGCAAGCACAGAGCCAGGAAAACTCGGGCAAGAGGAGAGCTGCATGCTCCACCTCCTGACACATGGGTGAGGGGAGACTGTGGAATAAATTATCTGCTAATGAGATGAAAATAGCAATTTAATATGCAGACAAGATGCTTCCAAGCCCTGGGGGGAGCGCTGGGTCTTAAACTCCCACCTCTCCACCATTGGCGTACTCCATGACAAAGCACAGCCTGTCATTTGTCTGAAAGGCATATTTCAGCGCCTGCAAGAGGAGGAAAAAAATATCCTGGAGAAGCTGCGGGTCTCTGTGCTTCCAGAGAAGGTGGTGAGGGGATGAGGAGGGTCATTCTGGGGTGCACGGGACATCCCAGTGCACTGCCCCTTTACTCCCTTGCTGCCACCACCAGCTGTACTTACAGTGAGGAAGGGGTGTCTGGTGTTCTGCAGCACCCGGCTCTCCGTAACAGTGTGCGCCACCTCATCCTGCAAAGGGAGGAGAAATGAAGCACCGTTTATCCCCCATTGTTTCTGGAAAATCAAGAGATTTTTCACCACTGCCAACTATTCCCTGAAAAAAAAAAAAAAAAAACAGGGACAGGAGCTTAAAGTGTCAACCTCTACCCTGGTTTTGTCCCCATGGGATGAAGGGTTCACTGGCCAGATCACCTGGAGGAGGATGTGGCTACACTGTGTCTCCTAAGAGAGGCGAGTGAGCGGATCCCACAGTGTCACCCCACTATGCCTTAAAACACATGCCCAGGGGCTTGAAATTCCTAGAATCCCCCAGCATTTAGAGCACAGCAGGAGCCAGCTATCACTCGGCAGCTTTGGAGGTGCATTTTGAAAGCCATTCCAACATTCAGGGGTTTGGGCGAGATGACCTTTAAAGGTCCCTTCCAACCCAAACTATTCTATGATCCCCTAAGCCCTGCTGGCTCTCAGCTCTTCCCCTCACCCTCTGATGGGGCTCAGCACGTACTTTTGCAATGATGACCTCTTTCCGTAGGATTTTCATGGCATAATAGCGGCCGGTGGCTTTTTCCCGCACCAAGATGACTTTGCCAAAAGTGCCCTTTCCCAGCAGCTTCAGGTAATCGAAATCATTCATGGTCTGGGGAGAAACAGGGAGATGGAAGTGAGAGTTTGCAGCATGGGCAAGCAGGATCCAGGATGGGAAATGGTTTTCTGAGCTACTTCACCCACAGTTACTCCAGTGACAGTGGACACCACAGAGATGAGGTTTAACCCATATACCTCCCTCATCGCTTGGCGGTCCCAATCCGCCGGAATCCCACTTGTGGGAAGAGATGGTGCTGTGCCGGGGGGCAACTTACAGCCTTGGCACGGGTTTTGCTGACAGCCACCTCCATCTCCTCGGCGCTGGTGCTGTCGTTAGGAGATCCGCACTTGTAATCCATTGTGTCCACCTCCGATTCTTGGTTCTTCAGGCTGTTTGCTACCGTCTGGATGGCTCGCATCCACTCCTCGCTACAGAGAAAAAGGGGATTGGCAGCACAGGGAGGTGGTGAAGATCACCGAGGGGGGCTGCGCCTGCCTCTCCAGCCTTTGCAGGCAGATGGGTCGCAGCCGAGAGATTTTGGAGCTCTCCTCCAGCTAGGATCAACACAACGTGCTATTTGTCCCAGATTCCCAAAGGAAGGGGCCATCCCGTGTGCCTACCGCTCTTCGGGAGAGTCTACGTGGAAGGTCCTCTCAATGACCGTTGTCCACTGCAAGCATCGGATGACGAAGGTGTTGGGCCGAGGCCGCTCAGTCTTCATCAGCTGGCACTCTGCAAAGTTTCAAAAATAAATTAAAAGGGAAGAGGATTATTTGGAATCAAACGTCCTCATCCCAAAACCTTCCCTAACAGCATCAGGGATGAAGACACCCTACCCGATGCTGGCTCCTAACCGTGGACAGACCTGAAGCTGCCCGTGCCGACATACCCGCTACCGAGAAGTTATTCAGAGGTGGCAAGCTGTGATCGGACGTCTCCGGCCGTTCCTTGTAGCCAATGAAGGATCCGTCATTTTTCAGCAGGAAATACCGGGGGCGCCATGTTTTGATGTATTCCCCTGCAACAGACAGGGGGACAGGGGCATGGCACAAGGGTTTTTGGAGAAGGACCCCTCGTAGCGGGGTCCTGGTGACAAGATGGAAAATTAAACAGCGGAAGGACCCCTCGTAGATGGTAAATAAAAGCGGGTGTTTGTCTTCAGGCTGTTTCTACGAGTTGCTTCAGAGGAGCTCCTGCAAAAAGCAGACGGCTGCTGTAATTTAGGAGAGGTGTGAGCAGAGGGTTAGCCTGAAACATGCTCGCTCTGGAGGAACACAGCACAAAAAAGCTTCATGTTTCCCCTGGCAGCTCCAAAATTGACCTGGAGCAGCCTCAGCAACTCTGGATAAATAAATAGCATCGTCAGGAAGCCCTGGCTTCCCCCTCTCCAGCTGTATTTCCCATGAAGAAGGAGGAACCCATGAACCTGCCAGCCACAGGGATCCAGTTGGGCTGCCAGTGGGAGAAAGGTGGCTGGAGGCCGATGGCTTTTATGCCTGCTCCTCTTGCAAATCACCCTCAGCAAGGGAAGGAAAAATAAGAGCCACCTTCAATGGATCTAAAAATAAAACCCCACGTGTGCAGCTGCTACTATGCTGCGACATTCCCCATGTACTGCTAAAAATAAAAGGGCTGGCTTCAGGGCCACCGCAGCAGATGGCTTGGCAAAGCAGGTTAGAAGGTCTGCAGGGAGATGTTAGGATTGTCCTCCAGCTTCCCAATGCAACAAGCAATTAAAACCAATGCTGCCGGGGGATTTGCTTGTGGCAAAGACCGAACTCCAGTGAAGTGGCGTTGCTGATCGCCTGGAGAGCTGCCAACCTGAGCCGGGAGCAGGAGGAAGCCAAAGGGGGAAGGTGCCAGCCAGTTTTGCAGTGCCAAGATGTCTCACCCCCTGTTTTGGGGAGAGGGGAAGCGGAGATCCCCCCCGCCTTTGCGCCGGGGAAAGGTTAAAATCGTTGGTAACTGGAAACCAGGGCACTCCTTTCCCTGCAGCAGCTGCAGTGCCAGACTCCCCGTGGTGACCTGGCCTTGGAGGGATGCCACCGCTGCTGGGCCGGCTCCCCTCCCTCACCTCTCTTGTGCAGCCAGCCCTCCTTCACGACTGACACTTCGTTCATGGTGGTGCCGCGGGCTCTAACCCCCTCTCTGCCGCAGGACCGGGGAAGTGGCTAACGCTGGCGGCAGCGGCTGCAGGAGGAGCAGCGAGAACGGAGATGACCTGCGAGAGAAGAGAAAGATGCTCAAAGAAAGCCAGCAAAGTTCTTGATGCTTTTCCTTCCCCTCCCTTGAGGGGAGGCAGCTGGTTTCAGCATGAAGCCACCCCCATGCATCGATTAAAAACTCCTCCACTGCACCAGTTTCCACCCCCGCCCCCCTCCAAAACCAACCTCAAAATTAAAAATCAACGTGGTGGCCTTGCAAACCTGGAGATGCCAGGATGGAGCAGGTTTGTCAGCATTGTCCCTTTACCTGTCTGCCACGCAACAAGGGATTAAAAAGCCTTTGGAGGGTTGGACAAGCTCAGGGGGGGCATGGTCCCTTGCAAAACAAACAGCTAGAGAAAAATTAATCGGAGTCACCTGACAGGATTAACTCCCTGGGCTCCCCAATCCCACTGCACTAGGCAATGGGAGGTGGCGGGACGAAGGGACATGCCATATTCTGGTGGTGGCTGAAGGGGACTGTCCCCACCTTGGGTCTTCCCAAAGTCACCCTGGGCTCACTGCCCCCCACATCCTCCAGCTTTAGTCAGGGTAAAATAAAACCCAAGCCCATAAACTTACGGCCTGGCACAAGGGAAGGAAGGCAGGAGCTGGAGCAGCCCAAGACAAATTCCCCGGACACTGTGCTATCCTGATGGAGCTCCCACTCCAATCCTCCAATCCTCCCAGATTAATCCTTAGGCAGCGCCTGCCTGATTTCCAATCCCACCTTGAGAGCTCCCTCCGCCACAGGAATGAGGGGGTTTCCAAAGGGAAGCCTGGTGGGCAGGCAGGAAATAATTTCCTCACTCTCATAAATCTGCTCATGCCTTCCCAATGGGAACCTCCGTCCCCACCCTCCCACTGCAAGCATCCCAGGATGATCCTGGGATCCCAGATGGGAAAGAGGATTTTGGGGACTCCACTTGCCCCCAAGGGTTCTCTGCTCACCCAACAGTGGGCAAGGATGCGGGGCTGGCAGCCAGGCAGTTTGGGCAGGACAAATACAGGCAGGACCTGGCAGTGCAAAGAGCTAACATTTTTCCAGGTGCTAAAGGGTCAATCTCTGGACAGATTTGTTCCTGGACAGCCTCTAGCAAAGACCTCATCGATGTTAATTAAAAAGGAAATAAAAAACTTGCCGCAGAAACGGGCTCTAAATAATTTTGGAGCTGTCCCAGAGAGGCTGAGCCTGCTGCAAGTGTCCCACAAGCGATCTGGACCACAAATGTAAATGAGATCAGAAGAGGCTTTAATAAAAAAAAAATAATCCCCAAAATTATGAAAACCAGCCCCTGAACAAACAATTCGACAGGGATGGAGGTTGCAGGATTGATCTGGCACATCCATGGCACTGGAGGCAGGTGAAACATGGTCAGGATGTGACGAGCCTTCAAACCCAGACGTGGAGTGAAGAAGTTTTCGATGAGGTCTGGGCATTGCTTGTTCGCATTCAGGGCTTGTTGCTAATTAGATGCACTAATTAGCCTGGCTGCAATTAAAAGCTTTCAACTGGTTGCACCTGACCTTTGATTATATTTTTGTGCAAAGCATGGGACAATGAGGCTCTCGAACCCAGAGCCTGCAGACTTCTCCAAGCTGACACTGGGTTGTCCATCGACAGCAATATGACAACAAAAAAGATGTTGGTTTAAAAAAAAAAAAACAAACCAAACAAACAACCAAATCGTTGCTTTTGGGGTGTGTTTAAGGATAATTACAGCAGTGGGAGAAATGCAATTCAGGAACCACCAGCAGCTTGAAGTATCAGACCCCACCATGGTCCCCTCTTTGTCCTTGCAGGCAATGGAGCATTTTTAATATGATCCAGATAGTTAAGGAAGCATGGGAATGAGCAGTGGTCGCTAAACACCTTCTCCGAGCCCTGATTGTTATTGTTATTTCCAATGAATGATGGGGATTGTGTCCACCACCAAGGGATCCTGACAGCCTCAGATGTTGTGTGTGCAGTTTCCAGGCATGTAGCAAAAAGTGGTGATTAAAAACGCACCAAAAAAGCCCCATTTCAGGCACCTCCAAGAGACTTAAAACTAGCTGTGAAGCAGTGCCTGAAAAGATTTGCATCCTGTAGCGTGGCAGCGCACATCCTGTCCTGGGAATGAGCGGTGAGGAGCTTTCAGAGAAGATCTGAAAGGTATTGGTGCTGAAAGCCATGGGGACAGTGTGGCCTGAGCCCTCTCCTCCCATGCTGGGTCCCTCCCCACTGCAGGAGCGGGCAGGGGGCTGCAGTTTTTACTCTTGTGAAGACAGAGCCTGTAGCTGGGGAAGGAGATGGGTCCCCCAGTGCTGCTGCTCCTCTCTAGAGGAGGGATACTGGTGGGGCAACAGCACAGCCCCCACCACCCAGGAGCCCCCAGATCCTATTCTCTCATGGCAGAGCACTCCCTGGTTAGGGACCACCCCCAAATCCCAGAGACCTACAAGGAGTGGCCCAAGCTCCCCCACCTCAGCTTGCTGGGACAGGGCCTCCCCGAGCCTGCCATGGCCCCTCACATCAGACCCCCCAGATAGCCCATCCTCACACCCCAAGCCTGCCTGAGCCCCTTCGGATAGGCTCCCCCTAAAGGACTGCCAGCCCCCCCACCTGAAGCCTGCCACAGTCCTAGGAGAGGCTCCCCACGTCATCCCCCCGGATAAGGCCCCCCAGCCCCAATTCTTCCTAGGCCCCCCCAAGCCTACCAGGGCCCTCCATCTCAGGTCCCTGGGACAGCCCTCCCCCTCCAGTCCCCCCCATCTCAGGCTCCTAGGACAGGCCCCCCCAAGCCTGCCATGGTCCCCCAGCCTGCACACACTCCCCCAACCCAGTCACCGCTAAGACAGGGTCCCCCCCAGCTCAGCCCCTCACTGACCCCCCGTCCCCCCAAGTGGGTGGTTCGCTCTCCGCAGCATTCCACCACCCCACCCCCACCCCCCCGCGGGTGGTGCGGTCCCCGCAGCGCCCCTCAGGAGGCGGGCGGGTCCATTCTGCGCCGCGAAGGGGGGACACCGCTGCGCACCCCTGGAGGAGGGGCGCGGGTGGTGCGTTCTGCGCGGCGCCCAGCGGGGGGCAGGCGAGCCCATTGCGCGGCGCTGGGGGGGTGAAGGCGAGGGGTGAGAGAAACAGGGCCGGCTCCTCACCTGTCATGGACGCCGCACGCCCGACCGGCTGCCGTCGCTCATCCCGGTAGCGGTGGGGCTCCTTCTCCTTGTTCAGCCTTATCAGCCCCGACGACGCCCGCGCTCCCGGAAACCCCTCCCGCTCCGGGCCCACGCACGCAGGAAGCGGAGACGGACGGGGAGGAGGTTTGGAGGGGAGGGGGGGGGAAAAGCGGGAGGGGGGGGGGTCGAGGGGGTGACGGAGAGGGAAAGACCCCACTCGCCTCCCCGGAGCCGGACTGCGCAGGCGCGGCTCCTCCACCCCCGATTGCGCATGCGCCTTGGCAGCAGCGCGCCTGCGCGGAGGGTGTAAGCGGGCGAGAGGCGGGGGCCCACCGCTCGCCAGCGCGCATGCGCCTCCCGATTGGCGGTGCCCACTCCGCCCACAGTGGGGGGGGAAACGGAGCACCTCCTGCTTCCGCTCATTTGCATATATTTAAATATTTACTTCCGTTCATGTTCCCGGCCACCCGCTCGTGTCCGAGGGCTAGATGCTTGATTGATGCCCCCCAAGGCACGGGGACAATCCCTCGCCCCCGGGGGGCACCCCCCTCCCTGGGATGCACCGGGCTGCTCCAGTTGCGGCCCTCTGAGGTGGTTTTGGGGGGTCCGGGTCACAAAATGGGCGCACAGAGGGGCTTGATCAACACCAAACAAAGCTGCTTCCACGCTTTATTGCTAAAAGCTCCCCCGCGAGCTGGCGGGTGATGTAGAAAGCCAAAAACTGGGAGAAACCACTCATTTTCACACGCCAAACAATGTCCGAATCGCAAAGAAAACCTTCCAAAATAGGGTAAAATAGTGTTTTTTCTTATTAAAAAGACTCACCGTTATGGCCCTGACTTACCACATGGCTGTGCCTGCCCACCCTGTCTTCAGTTTGGGGAGAAAAAAATGTCTTTTCAGGGTTTACAGCAACGCTGCACAGGTGCAGGGTGAAGACACCCCTGGTGACATCGTTGGAAATAAATTTTGGGGAAAAACAAATTTTTGGGGAAATAAATAGTTTTGGCAAAACCCCACGGTGGCCATTTCAGGTTCTATGGGGGGCTGAGCTCGAGCCTAAAACTGCAAGTGGTGGACTGAAGGCGTTGCTTAAATTAAGGCAATTTTTGGATATTTTTTTTTTTTGAGCCCCTGATGAGTGTTTTTGGAAGCTTTTGGGGGTTTTTTTGGAGGTTGACCTGAAAGTCTTAAAAATTAAGAATCCCCACAGCAAGCTAGCATTCTGTAGTGATTATTTACAGAGTCGTTTTGGTGCAAATTCCTAAATGCAGGAAAAAAGCCCTGCAGAGGAAAACAGAAAAAATAGGGAAACCCCCCCTCTCTGTATGGAGTTATCCAGGTACAAATTCCTAAATACAGGAAAGAACCTGCAGAGTAGGGAAATATGGGGGGGGGGAGTTTTGGTGCTGGTGGTGCTGGTAGATCAAGAGCAACAATTTGGCCTCGCAGCTGCCAGCTTGGCAGGCAGGAGCAGGCAGGGATGCCTGGCAGGCAGGAAATCTGTCAGGAAGGGCTTTTCCCCTCTTCCCTCCGCTGTTTTCCCACAGGTTTAGTGTCTCCCCGTGAGATTAAGCCTTTCCCCGGGGGATCAGCGTTGTTCACCCGTGGGATCAGCAAGGAGGAAGGCAGGATGAGACTCTGCCCATTCTTGAGGGTGAATAAATGGGATGGCAGACAGCAGGCGACCATCAGGAGGGGACGGAACAAGCGGAAAACCGTGAAGGGAAAAGCGCTGCAGGATCAATCCGGTTTCTTCCCCAGCCGTTTAAAGACACTAATGGTGCCAGCGCTGTCCATCTGAGCTCCAGGGGTCTCACTAGTGCTGCTCACCTTCCCGCACCCCCAGGTCCTTTTGATCGTCACCCGAAATTCGGGTTCGTTTTTATCCTTCGTGCTGGTGACATCACCATCCTGGGCTTCAACTGGCACCGTGGCGATGCTGATGAGGCCGATTTTGGATGCAGCTGGTTGCGGTTTCGCTGCCATACGGATACTGGTGGCATTCCTGTGACCACGCTGCTGGATGGCTGTGGTGACAGTGACCGGTTTGGCTTCCGAACTGGTGGCTTTCGCCTTGACGGTCCCTCCCAGCTCAGTGCTTTCCTTACGGGGAGGTTTGGCAAGTTTTTTTAGGACGCCAGCGTACTGGAGCACAGAGCAGTCATCGTCACTCTCGGTGGCTTTGTCCCCATCAGTCCCCAAAGCGTCACCCAGTCTGCTGAAGACCCCTGTGGGCTGGGAGACAAGGCGGGGGGAGCCCGTTAGCACCTGCATGCTCACTTCAGATGCCTGATTTACCCTCTCCTTCGCCCCCCAAATTCTGCCACCGTGACAGAGACAAGATAGATATGGACCATCTTGGGATGGAATGATGCAAAACACTGCCTGCAGCAATTAAATTAACAATTAGGCTATAAAACAGGTCTATAGATCACCCATAGAATTGTATTCCCTCTTATTTTTCTTGAGGGGCTGAGCCTGCAACTTGTTTTACACCCCCAACACTTTCAAAGAGAGAAAAAACCTCCTGTATCTTCCATTAAAGGGATCAAAACAGAACTGCAGATGGGGATCACCCAGGGATTGGGGATCCACTTGCCTTTGGTGGCTCAATCCTGCTTTTCGCAGGTGTTTCCCCACTATTTTGGGGTTATTTTAAGGTTCCTTCAGCCCTTCTGCAGCAAGCGCGGGCAGCTGCAAATCCCAAAATAATCTTTGGGGAGAGGACCCTTATGCTGGGATCTCAGTGGAGTTTGGCACAGCTGCCGAGACTGACAACTAATAGAGCCGCAGCTGAAAATTCACATCCTCTCACCTTCCCTCCTGTGGTTGTGTCTGCTTTTGCCTCAGCTCCCAGCCGGTCGAACACAGATGTCCTCTGCAGACCTGCAGTTTTCAAGAAAACGTGGTTTTTTTGAGGTTTCCCTGGAAAATTAAGCTATGCTGGGTCAGTGCTGATGGCTTGTGGCATTTTGGCCCCATCCTACTGTTGGGGCACCCAGCAAAATAAAATCCACTTGATAAAAGCATGCAAACAGCCACCCATTCCCTTCTTCCTAAGGCTTAAATGGACATGAGTGGAACCTTTACGGCTTGTGGTAAGTTAAAACATCTATGGAATAACACAACTTCTACCCAGTAACTCTCTGGATACGAAAATCCCCATGGGATTTGTAACAACAGACTAGCAGGGGACTAAACTGGGCTTCTGCAAGAGAAAATGAAGATCAACCCCCCCCCACTGGTACCTTTGGCCGCTTGCTGCTCCAGGATTTTCTTTGTCCTCGGTGTGGTGCCCTTGGGCATGTTGATGATGTATTTCCCTTCCATTTCTGCTGTCACCCGGCGGCGTTTCACCGGGATGGCTGGGTTTTCGTCTGCTGCATCACATAATCCTGGTGGGATGAAGGAAGAGTGAACAGAGAGCTCTCGTTGCAACAAAACTTAGGGGTGGAAGGGTTTTATGCGTGCTTGGGCACAATCCCGGCATCACGCGAGCTCTGAGACTGGCTGCTTCAGCACTGGCATATCTCCCACAGCGCTGGGGCTCTGAAAACACCCTCCCGCTGTCTCTAGCTGCTCCCAGCCACAAAAAAATCACAGAATTGTTTGGGCTGGAAGGGACCTTAAAGACCATCCAGCCTGTGCTGTGGGTAGGGACATCTCCCTTTAGCCCAGCTTGCTCCCAGCACCGTCCAACCTGGCCTTGCACGGTCCTAGGGTGGGAACATCCACTGCTTCTCTGGTCAGTCTGTCCTGCACCCCGCCACCCTCGCAGTCAGTAATTTCTAATTTTCAATTTCCCCTCTTCCAGTTTAACACTGTTCTCCCTCATTCTGCCTCTACACCCTCTGATAAAGAGCCCTCCTCCCTTTTCTGTAGCCCCCTATAAGCACTGAGAGGCTGCTCTTGCCAGAGCCTTCTCCTCTCCAGGCTGGACACCCCAACCCTCTCAGCCTGTCCTCGTACGGGAGGTGCTCCAGCCCCTCCCCAGCCACCGTCACAGTCTCCTCTGGACCCGCTTGCAAGGGACCTTGCACTTGGCTTTGCTGAACTTCACAAGGTTGGCAGAGGCTCCCGCTCTCCAGCCTGTCACAGTTCTCCCGGATGGATCCCTTCCCTCTGGAGCACCAACCTGCCCACTCAGTTTGGGGTCACCCCCAAACTGGCTGCAGGGGCACTCGATCTCACTGTCTGTGTCCCCAGCAAAGACATTAAAAGCATACTGGTCCCAGTACGGGGGACCTGAAGGACCCTGCTTATCACTGGTCTCCACCCAGACATTGAGCTGGAGTGCAACCGGCCAGCTGATCCCTTATCCACTGAGGGGACCACCCCTCAAATCCGTGTCTCTCCATTTCAGAGAGAAGGATGTTGTGTGATTAGCTCAAAAATCCCATAGCTGGATCCGATGAGGCTGTTAAAATTTGACTGGGGGGTGTTTAATGGCAAACAGAAAGTGGAAAGCAACTTCTGGCATTGTTTCTGCCGGGATCCATCGCCCGCCCTACCTGCCTTTGCAGTGGCCAGTTTGTTGGACACAGTGACGGAGATTTTGGAGGCATGGGGCTGCTGTCGGAGCGGGGTGGCAGGAGGCGAGTCTCTGCTCAAGCTGTTGGCGATCATCCGGCTGGCAGCTGGAAGGGGAGGACAGGGCAGTTAGGGAGAGCTTTGAAACCCTGAGGGGCTTCGGTGAGTGTGACAAGCATCCATCTTGCCAGCTAAATTAAAGAGCAATCCTTCCCTGGGATGGTGGGGAAGGCAACCATTGTTTGAGCCCTTCATTTTCAAGATAATTAATGCACCTCGTTAATCAGGCAAGGAGATTTAATCTCCCACCCGTGCTCACCGCTATTGGCGTTGCGGCGCAGCTCAGCTTGGACGTTGGGGGAACTGGGGCAGAGCAGTTCGGTGGCTGCCTTGCACATCTCCTGAAGGAAAAAAACACAGAGAAGGGTTTTCCTTTAGGCTCTTCGGAGGTGAACGAGAAGGCTTGAGGCAAAAGTCTGCTGCTAAAAGAGCCGACAAGGCTTCACCATACCTGCCTGTACACGATTTTGGCATGTTTGAGGATGGCAATGATGTCTCCTACCACTGTGATGCCCAGCTCGTTCATGATCTCCTTGTTCAGATCCATTAACATGTTCTTCTGGATTCTGCAGTGAAGAAAGACTTAGTGAGGTGTCCCCTCATGGTTAGCTCTGGTTAATTAAGCCTTGAGCAAGGTGCACCATGATATACCCAAGATGGGTTCCGAGACTGCTGCCCTCATAGAAACAGCACTGATAATGAAAAAGCAGCTCAGCGCAGATGAAAAACTAACAAAACTAATTAAGGAGCATGACGAAGAGTTAATTCCTTCCTTCCCCCTCTCACCAGGGGAATCTTTTGGTGCTATTTTCCACCCCTGATGAAACAAAAAGGCACTGACTAATCGCTAGCCTCACCTGTTATCCACAAACATAACTGCATAGTTGACAGCGGGGCCTGGGGGGATCCCAGCCTCCTTGAAAAACTGAATCCATTCAGATGTCGCTGAAAAAAAGCCGCGGAAAAGGAAAAAATTAGGTGGATATGGCAAAGGGGGTAGGGTGGCCGCCTGGGTTTTGGCAGGCGCTGGCCGAGAGGCTCATTCCAGGCATTCGCAGCTGTTGTTGCACGATTAATGGGATCGGGAGGGAAATGGCTGCTGGGATGGCAGGGGTGGGATGGTCTCCCGGATGGAAATACGCAATTTGAGAGGTTTTAGGGCAATTCAGGGTGGTTTAGGGTAGCAGGGCGCGCTCGGAGGAGGGGAAGTGTCCCTTACCCATCGTGACGGACACCATGGTGGTGCAGCCGGGGTAGCGGGCACAGAGCTAGGCGACAGCACCGGGAGCAGCCTGCGAGGTGAGAGACTGGCCGGGCAGCCCCTCTGACGGCCCGCAGAGAGGCACGGGATGCTGCCCCCCTGCCCGCAGCCCTGCTCCCCCTTTCCTCCTGCCCCACACCCCTCCCCTTCCCCTGTCCGCAGCTCTGACCCTCCTCCTGCCCCCCCTTCTCTCCTGCACCACACCCCCTTCCTTGCCCTCTCCCTGTCCCCTCCCTGCCCCCTCCTCTTGCCCCACAACCCCTCCCCTTCCCTCCTGTCCCTCCTCCTGCCCCACACCCCCTCTCTGCCCACCCTCCCCCCCCCCGCCCCACACCCTCTTCCTGACCCCTCCTGCCCCACGCCTTGCCTTCCTTCCCCTCCCACACCCTCTCCCCTTCCCCCCTGTCCCCTCCTCCTCCTCCCCACCCCTCTCCCTGTCCCCTCACCTCTCCGCTCCCGCCGCGCCCCATCCCTCCGCCGGGCCAGGCCCCACCGGAAATACCGGCCACGGAGCGCCGGAAGTGACCTCGCCGGCCGACCCCGCGCGCCGCCAGCCGCACGCGCCGCAGCGGGTGGGAGGGGAGAAGGGGAGGGGCGACCATAGAGCGCTGGAGGACCGAGGGCGCCCCCCCGCGGGCGGCTCCGGCAGCAGCGGCCCCTGCGGACGCCGGTGTCTCCGGTACGGGGCGGGCGGGGGGCGCCGGGCACCAGCGGGATCCGAAGCCTTGAGCGGGGCCCTGGCCCCGAACCCGGCCCTAAATATATCCCTGGCCCCAAACCCGGCCCTAAATATATCCCTGGCCCCAAACCCGGCCCTAAGCATGGCCCTGGCCCCGAACCCGGCCCTAAATATATCCCTGGCTCCAAACCCGGCCCTAAGCATGGCCCTGACCCTAAACCCGGCCTTAAATATGGCCCTCACCCTAAACCCAGCCCTAAGCTGAGCCCTGACCCTAAACCTGGCCCTAAATATGCCCCTGGCCCTAAACCCGGCCCTAAATATGTCCCTGGCCCTAAACCAGGCCCTAAATATATCCCTGACCCTAAACCCGGCCCTAAACATGTCCCTGGCCCTAAACTGGGCCCTAAACATGTCCCTGACCCTAAATCCAGCCCTAAATATATCCCTGGCCCCAAATCCATCCCTAAACATGGCCCTGGCCCCAAACCTGGCCCTAAACATGGCCCTGACCCTAAATCCAGCCCTAAATATATCCCTGGCCCCAAATCCATCCCTAAACATGGCTCTGGCCCCAAACCTGGCCCTAAACATGGCCCTGGTCCTAAACCGAGCCCTAAGCTGAGCCCTGACCCTAAACCCATCCCTAAAATTTCCCTGGCCCTAAATCCAGTCCTAAATATATCTCTGGTCCTAAACCCCTAAGCATCACTCTGACCCTGGCTCTAAACCTGTTCCTAAACATCAACACAGCCCTGACCTCCCCCAGATTGAGCTGAGCCAGACTGAGTTTATTACCCCCGCAACCCAAACCCCCACAGCCCTAACCCCCTCCCCCAAAACAGGGCAGGGTTTGGGAGGCGAGCCGAACCCTGGGGCTGGGAACCCCCCTTTTCTGTGGAGTCCCTGAGACACAAGGGAGAGGTCCCAGTAGGGTGTGTGGGGGGGTCCGCACCTTAAAATTGGGATGCCCCACCCTGTTCCTAGGGGGGGTCAGCCCAAATGGCGGCAGGGAGGGAAGGACACGGCACTTCCCCTCCCCGCCCCAAACGGGCCAGGGCACGTGAGCACCCCGATCCCGTGAGTCAGGCAGGAAAGCCTCTGCCCCACCCGGGTTTTGTTCCCCTTGTCTGTTCCCCAAAAGTCCCGGCTGTGCTGCACCCCGGGGCGGGGGTTTACCTGTCTGGGAATGTCAGGAGAAGTCCGGTTTGTTCTCTTCCAGTGTCACGCCGGGATGAAGCCCGACTGCACCTACAAGCAGGTATGGTGCTGGCGGTACCCCAAGACCCCGAACTGGGGGTCACAGAGCTCCCTGCCTCATCCTGGCACCCTACAACCCCAAACAGGGGCACCCCCCATAGCTCCCTGCTCCATCCTGGCACCCTAAAATCCCAAATTGGGGTACCCCATAGGCCTCTATCCTGCCCCAGCACCCTACAACCCCAGAGTGGGGCACCCTATAGCTCCCTGCCCGGCACCATGCAACCCCAAACAGGGGCACCCCGTGATTCCCATTTCTGCTCAGACCTTGCGCCCAGTGGGGACCTTTGGCAATATTGGGGGAAGGGCACTTTTACCTGGGGACTCTGGGCATTTTAGGGTGGGTTTTACACCCAAACCAGCCCCCACCCTGGTTTGGAATCCTCTGCACCCCATTTTTCTGCTTCCACCACAGCTGGACCCACTGGGGGACCGTGGGGCACAGCCCACCTGCTTCCCACCAAAGGTAACTCCCCTGATCTACTGGGACCGGCTTCGGGGCTGGCTGGATCCGGTGCTACTCCTTGCTGGATGCCACCAGCGTTGGGGGTGGCTTTAAACTCCATAAATTAATTTATTCCTTAATTTTGGGGCACCACCATCCCCTCTCCATTGCAGTGCTCCCGCAGTGCGTTGCTTTCCACCTTCCTCCTCACCCTCTTCGTCCTCATCTTCCTCCTCTTCCTCAATCTCCGGCTGGGCTCAGCCCTCCGTGGTGATGCCAGCGGTGATGCTGGTGACGATGCTGGATCTTGTGGTGACGCGTGCCGGTGAGATGAGCTTCTGGGGGGGTGACGCTCCCCCGAGACCCTTGGCATCCCGGCACTCCACTCACTGGTGCCGGCGCTGCTGAATTTCCACCGTAGGATTGTCCTGGTGGAGAGCATCCCGGAGGGCATGACCTTCGGTGACGGCTCCGTGCCAAATCCGTCCACCTTCTCCACGTGGATGAACCTCTTGGGGACCGTCACCCGCAGCCTGGACATCGCCTCCTTCTACTGGACCATGACCAACGAGGACACACGGACACACGAACCCTCCGCCGCCCAGGTCTGCACCGCCAGCATCTGGCACGTGGGGCACAGCTCTGATTCCGGCTCTTGAACCCGGCGCTGGCTGCTATTTTCTTGCCTTCCCCTAATTTTTAATAATTTCTGCTTTTTTCGGCCTCAAACTGCGTGCTGATTCAGGGTGAACAAATCCTGGAGGAACTCCTCCAGTTACCCCAGCGCGGCATCACCGTCCGAATCGCTGTCAGCCACCCATCGGCAAAAACACCCCTGAATGATCTCCAAGCCCTGGAGAGGAGTGGTGAGTGACGGAAAAACCCCCAAATTGGGCTTTTGGAGGGATTTTGAGTGGGAGATGCCCAACTCGTGGTCGTGCAGGTGCTGTGGTGCGCACTGTCGATATGCCGCGGCTCACTGGCGGCGTGCTGCACACCAAGTTTTGGCTTGTTGATGGCACCCACCTCTACATTGGGAGCGCCAACATGGACTGGAGGTCTTTGACCCAGGTGAGCAACACCATTATACCACTGGATGGTGCCGAACCTGTGCTGGATGGCTCCGGGGCTATCCCAAAACCAACCCCCCATTCCTGTCAAGGGATGCCTAATGCCGTAAGATAGGACTTAGGGCGTTGGAGAGGGATGGCAGAGGCGTCCAGTGATGTGACGGTGCCACTGTGCTGCTCACCGCAGGTGAAGGAGCTCGGTGCCGCCGTCTACAACTGCAGCTGCTTGGCCAAAGATTTAGGTAAAATTTTTGAAGCTTACTGGGCTCTTGGCATTCCCGGTGCTTCCATCCCGGTACCGTGGCCGGCAAATTATTCCACCACCTTCAACTCGGAGACGCCACTGGAGTTGAAGCTCAACGACACCGATGCCGCTGTCTACTTCTCGGTAGGTCCCCAATCCACCGTGGTTTTCCCAGTGCCGGTGGATTTGCTGTGCCGGTGCTTGATCCATCTCTGATGATTTTGGCAGAGCTCCCCGCCAGCTCTCTGTGCCGCTGGTCGGACCCAGGATCTTCACGCCCTCCTCAGCGTCATCGACGCTGCCGAGGACTTTGTGGACATCGCCGTTATGAGCTACCTACCCACCACTGAATTCTCCCACCCCCAAAGGTTCGTGCGGTCCCATGTCAACCCCGGTTTGCTGGCCCTGGTGATGCTTAACTGCTTTCCCTCCCCAGATTTTGGCCGGCAATCGACAACAGGCTGCGGAAAGCCGTCTTTGAACGCCGGGTCAAGGTCCGTTTGTTGGCGGGTTGCTGGCCCCACAGCCAAGCGACCATGTTTCCCTTCCTCAAATCCCTTGCGGCCATCGCCGACAATCAGACCCGCTACAGCGTGGAGGTGGTGGGTATCGTGGCGTGGGCGCGGCGTGCCGGCGGGCGATGTTTCGGTGGGTGACGGTCTCCCTGCTCCCCACAGCGGCTTTTCATGGTGCCGGCAAGCGCAGCACAAGCCCGGATCCCCTACGCCCGGGTGAACCACAACAAGTACATGGTGACGGAGAAGGTGGCATATATCGGTGAGCGCGACACGAGCGGCAGTGCAACCGTGCACGTTGCCACCAGGTGATGGTGACAGTGGCTTGGAGGTGGTTTGGGGATTCTCCCCTCCCGAATCTCCTTGCAGGGACGTCCAACTGGTCCGGTGACTACTTCATGCGGACGGCAGGATCGGCGCTGGTGGTGAACCGGACGGTAAGCCAAACCGGTGCCGGCACCACCGCCAGCACTGCTGCCAGCACCATCCGGGAGCAGCTGCAGGGGGTTTTTGAGCGGGATTGGAGCTCCCAGTACAGCGCTGACATCAGTGATACTGAGCAGTGGGAGGGCCTCTGCGGCTCCCGTTAGGCGCCGCGGAATGGATCACTGGTGACCCACGGGTTCTGGCTGTGCTGAATTTGGCCACCCTGCTCCAATTTGGGGGGGGGGGAAAAAAAAAAAAAAAAAAAAAAAAAAGCAAAGTTATTCTGGACTTTGCATTGCTGTTATGGAGTTGGGGGGTTCTCTGCGCTGCAGTGATGGAGCGTGCCGGGCCTTTGATGGATGCCAAGCCGGCACCGGGAGGGAAAACCAGGACGCCCCTCAAGTCTCAGCAGTGCCAAACCCATCCCGGCAAAGAGTCAGATGAAATGCTTGGCTGTCAGCAAACCATTTATTGGGGGATCATGGCAAGAAACCAGTGCTGATAGCATCCGGCACGGCACATCCTGGTGCATCCCTGGCTACGCTCTCCTCTGCAGGCATGGAGCTGGGTTTTGCCGGTTGGGGCGACCATGGGTGAGGAAGAGGAAGGTCTTTGGTGAGCTCTCGGCTGCCAGGGTGTTGGCCAGGGTTGCCACGGCGGCTCAGCGGTGCTGTGGGTGTTGCCGGCTCCGTGCCAGGAGGAGCATGCCGGGGACAGCGGAGGGGTCCCGCACTGGCCCCTGGAGCCCATCTTCGGGGACGGGGACGGGACGTGGGGGCGTGGGGTCACACCACATGACTGGAGCTCTCTGCCGGGGGTGGGGAGAAGCATGGGGAGGGGGTGAGCGGCACCCATGGGTGGGGTCCGCACCCCTTTGTGAGCACCCAGGGACCCTGAGCACCCATGATGGGGGGCACCAGGGGACATGGGACACAGGACACCAGGTATCCCCAAGCACTCATGATATGGGGGCACCAGGGACCCCGAGCACCCGTGATGAGGGGCACCAGGGGACATAGGGCATCCAGGGACCCCCAAGCACCCATGATATGGGGGCACCAGGGACCCTGAGCACCCATGATGAGGGACACTAGGGGACATGGCACATCCAGGGACCCCCAAGCACCCATGATATGGGGGCACCAGGGACCCCGAGCACCCATGATGAGGGGCACCAGGTGACATAGGGCATCCAGGGACCCAAAGCACCTGGGGGACACAAAGCACCCAAGGGACCCCAAGCACCCACTGTGTTCCAGAGCACCCATGGCCAGGAGCCCCCAGTCGCCACATGACCCCCCACCCTGTGGCCATACCTTGGTGTGGGACGAGGTGTTGGGTCTTCCAGGCAGGTTCTGCTTCATGATGCCACCAAAGACCACACTGCCACTGCAGTGGCCATGCTGTTCCTGCCTGCTGGGGGACCCCAGCGTGATCAGGTTACCAGCAGTGGGCTTCGTCTTGGGACGCTGGTGATGCTGGCGGTGCCGGGTGCTGTAATGGGTGGGGATAGGGCCTTGGCAGACCTCCTGCTGGCTTTTGTCACTCGTGTACCCAACCGGCTCAGCTAAACTGAGCCTATCCATCTGTGTGATGGCCTTCTGGATGCTGTACCAGCCGGCCGGGATGAAGGCACCTCCCTCCATGCCAGGGAAGATCTGCGCCACGCTGGCATCCTTACAGGATGCCCTCAAGTCCTCTTGGCAGAGCTGGTAGTACTGGGTGGCCTCAAAGCTGGACTTCACCTGCTGCAAGGAGATGAAGGGATGCCTAAGGGCGGCGCTGGGCACGATCCTCTTATGTGAGTCCCAGGTGAGCATCCTTTTGACCAGCTCCACCATCCCGCACAGGTCACAGTGCTCAGCCAGTGCCTCCTGGCTGGGATAAGATGTCAGGCGGACGTTCACTGCCGCCAACTGATCCAGTGAGGAGAAGACATACTTCCTCCTCTCTGTTGGCTTCACCATCTCCTTGCCTGGTGGTTTGAGCTGCCAGGAACCGGTGGGATGCGGCACCCATCGGAAGAAGGACCACGTCTTCCGGGCAGTGCAGAGCAACTCACCCCGTGGTAGCCCCAAAGTGGAGCAGATGTAGCGGACCTGGTCATACTCATTGATGCCGGGGTAGAGGGGCCAACCCAAGTGAAGCTCAGCCATCACACAACCCAAAGACCAGATATCTACCTTCTCACAGAAGGGCAACCCCAACAAGATCTCTGGTGCCCGGTAGAAGCGGGATTGGATATAGGGTTCCTTGATGTGGCAGACCTCAGTGAAGATGCTGGCTGAGCCGAAGTCAATGAGCTTGACGCGGAAAGGATAGCGTGCGTGGTCCACCAGCATGATGTTCTCTGGCTTGAGGTCTGCGTGGATGATGGAGAGCTCCTTCAGCTTGACCAGTGCAGCCAGCACTTGCGCCGTGATGGTACGGATGTGCCGGACGGGCAATGGCAAGAAGTTGTTCTGCTTTTGGAATTCGAGGAGGTTTTGCTCCAGCAGCTCGAAGACCAGGTAGGTACAGGCACCATCACCGAAGGACTCGAGGAAACGGACAACGTGTGACTCCTCTGCGTCCACTGCTCGCAAGGCCTGCAGAAGCCTCAGCTCGTTCATCACCACCTGGCCACGGTGGCCTTCGTTCTTCAGGATCTTGATAGCCACCATCTCCCCTGTGCTCCTCCGCCAGCCCTGGGTCACCTCCCCGAAGGTCCCCTTCCCCACCGTGGCCACCACGTCATAGCGCTCAGCACCCACCACCAGCGTCCCCATGGTGAGTTGGCTCCTCGTCAGGGGCTTGGGCCCCCCACCCCCACTCAGCACCCAACAGGGGCTTGCGGCACCCAAGCGCCTCAACCTGGCCCCCAACAGCACTGCTGGTTCTGGCATTGCCATGGTGACACCTTCTGTTGCTGACATTGTCCCCAGGAGCAACCGCTCCCCTGTGCAGAGGACAGCAGCTGGGGTGGAGGAACCCCCTGAAACCCAGCCCCGGTCTCCCAGAACACATCCCAGCCCCCCAAAACTCATCCCCGATCCTCTAAAACCCAGCCCCAGCTCCCCAAAACGCATCCCCCATCCCACTGAAACCCAACCCTCGTCCCCTAAAACCCACCCTAGCCCTGCAAAACCCGCTTTCAGCCCCAGAAAACCCATCCCCATCCCCACAAAACCTATCCCCAGCCCCCAAAAAACTCATCCCTGATCCCCCCAAACCCATCCCCATCTTCCAAAACCCATCCTCAGACCCCATTGACATGCTCAGCATCTTTTTGGGGTTAACATTTATTCCGGTCAAGGCGAGAGCAAGGGGCTGGGGGGGGCGATGCTGCTGTCCCCCCCCACTCCCTGGTTAATATTAACACCTGAAAATGGGCAAAAGCTTCAAACACCCTCCTTTTCCCCCCCAAAAGCTGAATTAGGACTTTTTTTGGGGGTAAGGGGATTAAAGAGAATCTGGGGGAGCAAGTGATGCTCCACTACCTCATCACTGTTTCAGGGGGTCCCTGAAGACCCCCCCCATGCTCAGGGGAGGTGTTTACCGCTCACCACATGGTTGGGGGCTCAGCGCCAGCTTAGGCAACTGAAATTTATGAGTCCCCTCACCCCTGGACCCCCCTAAATTGAAGCGTGGGGTGACTTCCGTCACCACTGGCCGCTGGTTGAATTTGGGGTCCCCAGGAGAGAGCTCAACGCTGGGTAACCGCATCTTCCCCCCCTTGGGTTGGGTGATGGGGGGCTCTGGTGGGGACACCCCGGGGGAGAAACCCACCCTGGGCACCCACCGCCGTCGCCGGGCCTTGCCTTCCGCTTCCCCATTGACGTGGGGATGGGTATCCACCACCCGGCTGTCTTCTCCTTTCTCCTTTGGCTTCACCAACACCAACACTGCCTTCTTCATGCCACCCATCCTCATCCTCCCCTCGCCTTCCAACCCGCTCCCAGCAAAACCTGTGGTGAATTTTGGCAATTTGACCCTAGACCAGTGTCCCGGTGCCGTATCCTTCCTGGTGGTCTCCTCCATCCCATCCACCCCCGGCGGTGCCAACTCCAACACCGGTACCTTCAATGCTGGCACGCCGCTGGGTTTTGGTATCTTCCAGCTTACTGGACCCTCTGGTTGTTTTACTGGCATGGTGAAACCCACGGCAGGGATGGTGAACCGGGAGGTCAGTGGTTGCCCACCTCCATCATCCATTGTCCCCCTGGTTTTCAGCTTCAACTGCATCATGCTGGGAGATTCCAGCATCTTCCTTCCTCCCATGCCAATGCTCAAGCTCTCAGCACTTCCCCCACGTCTCATCATTTTGGGGACACCCCCGATGCGGATATCGGGGCTGGATCCCCCAAATTTTGGCAACTTCACCCACCCGCCCAGCTCTGGCCCGGAGGGGAGTTTAGGCAGTGATGGCACACGTTGGCTGCCTGCTGCTGGCAGGGCAATGCCCACCCGTGGTACTTGAAACCGGGGGGTCCCAGGGGACCCTGGTTCTGCCGACCTCCCGCCGTCCCCTCCCAACCCCCCGATTCCCAACCGTGGCAGCTTCATCACTGTGCTAGCATCCTGGGAACCCTCCTCACCACCAGCACCCTTGTCCCCATCCTTGACACCAAAAGGCGCCAGGGATAATTTGGGGACCTTCAGCTTGACCCCGGCACCAGCGGCACCAGCTGTTCCCAAAGCCAGGTCTAAGGCCCCCACGGGACCGGAGACGGCGATGCCGGGTGGTGCTGGTGCAGCTGTGCTGTGGGGTGCTGGGGGATACCCATTGCCTTCGCCGCCTGTTTTGAGCTTCACAAGGGACAACCCAAACCGTGGCAGGGTGAATTTGGAGGGTTTGGGTTTGGCGCCGGTTGCTGGCACGTCCCCGGTGAGCCGTGCCGGGGAGGTGAGCTCCACCGCCGGCAGAGGTGCTGTGGGCTCCAGCTCCAGGCTAAGCTTTCGGAGCCCTTTGGCGAACCTGGCCACCACGTCTGGTGTCACCGTGGCACCCCCCTCACCCGGCACTTCTGTGGTGCCAGCATCTGCTGGCAACGCCAAACCCACACCAACGTGTGGCATGGCGATATCAATGGATGGCACCATCATTGCCGGGAAGGTCAACTGAGATGGCGCTGCAGGCGCTGATTCCAACTGCCGCGCTGGCAGCTTCACCTCCAGCTGCGGTTGCCTACCGATGGTGACTGGCTCTGGTTTGGGCACACTGAGCTCGGGGACCAGCTCCACGGCGGCTCTGGGGACTGCGATGGCGATGGAGGGGACACGGATGCTGGTAAATCCCCCTCGCATGCCGGTGTCCCCCTCCTCATCCTCTACTGGGGCCGTGCTGAAATTCAGCATCTTGGTTTTTGGCACCGGGCTGCCTCCACCCTTACGGCTACTGCTGGGGGTGTCTCCCTCCCCCAGCTTGATTTGAGGTTGATTTATGGTTGTGCTGGGCTCTGGCATCGCTGCTGGCAGCGGCAACGCTGGCACGGCCACCTCCAACCTCGGCAGCCGTAATGTTGGCTCCTTGGCTTGAGGGGTGGTTTGTAGTGCCGTGCCGGCGAGGCTCAGCCCCACAGTGACTTTTGGCACTGCCACCTCCACGGCCGGTAACCGTGTGCCGGTACCTGCTGGCACCTCAGCAGCAACGCCAGCGACCTCCGTTTTCACTGGCAGCTCCTCCATCGCTGGTGTTTTGCTGGCTGCCGCTTCCTTCACCGTTAACCGGGATGACGTCACACGTGGCCGCGTGGGCTCCGCCGCCGGCAGCGCTGCGGTGGATGTGGCAGTTGGTGCGGGTTCGACACCGCTTCGGCTCTTCACCAGCTTGGGGAGCTTGGGAAGGGCAAACTCCACGGCCACAGAGTTGGCGGCTGCCGCGCTCACTGTGTTGGGTGCTGGTGGCAGCTTCTTGGAGGGCGTCAGGATCGGGATGCTCTGGGTGAGGGTGGGGGAGATGGGACCTGGCACCCACCGCACTCACGTGCACACCCATAGGGACTCCCAAGCATCCGGCATCACCGGTTCCGCATCCATAGGGAATCCCCGAGCATCCCGCATCCCCGTCCTGCATCCATAGGGACCGCCCAAGCACCCTGCATCCCTGGTCCTGCATCCATAGCGACCTCCTGAACATCCTGCATCCCTGCCCTGCATCCATAGGGACCTCCTCAGCATCCTGCATCCCTGTTCTGCATCAACAGGGACCCCTTGAGCATCCTGCATCCCCGTCCTGCATCCATAGGGACCCTCTGAGCATCCCACATCCCCATCCTGCATCCATAGGGACCCCCTGAGCATCCTGCATCCCCATTCTGCATTCACAGGGACCCCTTGAGCATCCCACATCCCCGTCCTGCATCCATAGGGACCCCTTGAGCATCCCACATCCCTGTCCTGCATCCATAGGGACCCCCTGAGCATCCTGCCTCCCCATTCTGCATTCACAGGGACCCCTTGAGCATCCCACATCCCCGTCCTGCATCCATAGGGACCCCTTGAGCATCCCACATCCCCGTCCTGCATCCATAGGGACCCCTTGAGCATCCCACATCCCCATCCTGCATCCATAGGCACCCCCTGAGCATCCCACATCCCCATCCTGCATCCATAGGGACCCCTTGAGCATCCCGCATCCCCATCCTGCATCCATAGGAACCCTCCGAGCATCCTGCATCCTTGAGTCTGCATCCATAAGGACCCCTTGAGTATCCCGCATCCCCGTCCTGCATTGATAGGGACCCCCCAAGCATCCTGCATCCATAAGGACCTACCAGCCTGGCCACCTTCCCCTGGTGTCCCTCGCCGACTGTGCCGATGCTGCCAAGGGGAACGCGGGTGCCAGTTGTCCGACGCCGGAGGAAGAGCGAGACCTTGCAAGACCTGGCACCCTCCAGCACCCGTGCGACGTCCTCCGGGGGGACCCCCTCAAAGAACACCCTGGCGCCGAGAAGCTGGTCACCTATAGGAGCCACAGGGGCTGTTACCCTGAGTGCCATCCCCCCTTCAACCCGGGTGGGTTTTAGGGACCCCCCCCACCTTGGTGGATGCGCAAGGATTTGGGTGCCTTGGCGATGTAGAGGCCGTAGCGGTCACGGGCCACAGTGATGCCTGTCACCCCAGTCTCGGGCGCCGTCTCTAGCTCCACCAGTGCTGCGTCCTCCTATGGGTCAGAAGGGGGGTGGGGGGGTGGGATCTGGCCCTTCCCTCCTGCCCCACGCCGTGCTCGCCGCCCACCGTGGCACTCACCTCCATGGCGGGGGTCCCCTCCTCCAGAGGGGTCACTAGGTTTTGGGGGGACACGCACACACACACACAGAGGTGGTGGCAGGGGCTGGGAGTGCTCCGGCACCGCAGGCTCCTGTAAATGGGACACAGACCCCCAACCCCTCCCTGTTGCAGACCCCCACCTCCCCCCCCATTGCAGATCCCCAACATTTCCACTGCAGCCCCCACCCTACCCGCTGCAGCCCCCCAGCCCGCCCCTCCCCTCACTGCAGTCCCCAGCCCCCCCCTCCTGCCCCACACACCCAGGCAGAGTGCAGGCAGTCCCTTGGGCAGGGGGCTTCCCTTTTCCCACCCTGCACCCCAAAACCTGCCTGCTGGTATCTGCCAAGACCCCCCTCACCTCCCAGCTCCTTCCTGCTCTGGCGCTCTACTAGGGAGTGGCTGTGTGTCCCCCCCGACGACCAGGATGGGGGGACCCAGGCGTCCGGGCCCCCCCTAAAAGAGAACCCAGGCGTCCGGGCTCTCCATCCTACGCTGGCTCAGCAAAGGTCACCAGCTCTGCACCGGAGACACCCCCTTTGGCACCGCACCCTGAACTTTCCACTGGCACCCACCCACATACAGGCGGGACAAGGGGGTCCCTTGTCCTGGATCCCCTCCACTGTCACCCCAAGGGAATTCCAGGAATCTGGGAGACTCAGCACAAAATCCCGTGGGATGGAGGGTGGCGAGAGACTGGATTCAGCGGGCCGGGCCTGCGACTGCGGTGATGGACGCCCGGGTTGGCAGCCAGAGAAGTGGGAGAGGAGCTGGGGGGACACATCCTGCAAACTGTGCTCCCCATGGCCCAGGTCTGCCCTCGCTGCGGGCATCAGCACCTGCCTGCGTGATCCGCAGGCTGCATGGCTCCGCAGGTGCGTGGGTGCAGGTGTGCATGGGTACACAGGTACCTGCGTACCAGCCTTCTGGGGTGCAGGGCTTCTGGGGGAATCCCTGGGCTGGGGAAGAGGGGAGAGCACCCCCACGACCCTTCATAACACCCTTGGGACCCTCCCGTGGAACCCTCAAAGCACCTCTGGGACCCCCATAACAACCTTAGGACACCCATAGCAGTCCCATGACCACCAAAACATCCCTGAGATGCCTCATCAGATCCTCAAAGCACCCACAGGACCCCGAAGTACCATTGGGACCCCCCACAGAGTACCTAAAACACCCCTGGGACTCCCATAGCACTCCCAGGACCCCAAAGCACCCTTGAGCCCCCCCACAGAGTACCTAAAACACCCCTGGGACTCCCAAAGCACCCCCAGGACCCCAAAGCACCCTTGAGACCCCCCATAACACCCTTGAGACACCCATCACACCCCCAGGATCCCCGTAGCACTCCTAGGACACTCTAACACCTCTGGGACCCCCAAAGGACCCCTGGGACACCCATAGCACCCCAGGAACTCCCACAGCACTGTTGGACCCTCAAAGCACCCTTGGGATCCCCATAGCACCCCAAGGGGAGCCCAGATGTCTGGGTCGCCCCCTAAGCAGCCGAGCAATGTGCTGATTTAGCAGTCCCTGCCAGCAGCACCCATGGGCGCGGGTGGACACATGAATGGGATGATTGACGGCAGGGCAGTGCGGGGGCCCTGGGGAATTCGCTAGCACCCGCTGCACCCACCCCAAGCCTTGGTGAGGTGGATGCTGGCACCCTGAGCTCTCCCCAGCACCCAGGGGTGCTGCGGGGCTTCCTAGCACCCAGGGGTGACTCACTGACACCCCATCCCCACACAAACAGCTGGTGCCACTTGACACAAGGTGGGGGCTGGATTCAGCAACTGGAGGGGGGCACGTGAATTATCCCTCTTTCCAAGCACTGCACAACACTGGGGACCCCCAAAACTCCCCTGCGGGTCCTGGAACCCCCCAAACTCCCTTAGAGGTCCCAGCCCCCACAAAACCCTTTGTGGGAAACCTCAGAATTCCTTTAGGGGTCCCAGTCAAGCTCAGGAGCTCCAACGAACTCCCAAACTAATGTGGTGCGAGGCAAGAGCCCCAGTGCGCTCCGGAACGCAGCAGGGCCCCTTGCAGGCTTTTTTTTTTTTTCTTTTTTTGCAGGCCCTGCAAAAGCCCCAGGGCCAAACCGTGTAACTAAGCGTGGTACAGAGCAAAGATGGAACCCCCAGGGCTTTTCCATCATCTGCTGAGGGCGTCTAATATACCAACATGCGTCTTTGCTTTCCCTGCTCCACGTCCAATTTGGTAGTGACTTGGTGCAGCATCTCTTACTGAAAGTCACGGGTCCTGCACGAAAAGCCTCGTGCAGGCGCAGGATTAGGAGAGCTGGCAGCACAGAGGTGAGGAAAGATGCAAACACCACAGCACAGCCCAAGGGTCACCCAGCGTATCACTCATTTGTAGACCAGCCACTTGCATCTGGGCTGCTCGAACACGCTGCTTCCTTGCTAAGCTTCACTGCTTCTCTCACACAAAGCAGCTTTCACTCTCTCCTGCCTGCAGGATGTCAGCTGTGCGGCCTTATTTTTTAAAAATCTCGCCCCAGTATCAGTTGGCTCGCTGCTGTCATTCCCGGGGCAGAGAAGCGTGAGCCCCGTACCCCCCCAGTACGCAGACGGGGTAAACCGGGCTGAGCTGCCGGTCACCTCCCGCCGTGTTCCAGGCTCGGGAAAAAAAAAAAAAAAAACAAAAAACCAAACAAAACTGAAACGCTGCTGCCGCCCGGTGACCACAAACCGGTGCTACAGCCCGGTGGGAACGGGGATGGCGGAGCGGGAGAGCCGGCCCCGCACACGGCGCTTTACGGGGCGGGAGCCCCCGGGGGACCCCCGGTGAGGCGAGCGAGCCCCTGGACGGGGCTGGGGGGGGGGGGGGGTGGGGGGGAAGAGGAAGCTGCAAATGCATTGAAGGGCACTAGGAAGAACTGGAGAGCCCGGGGGGTTACTGGGGATTCTGTAGGGAGAACACAGAGGATGGACTCGGAGCCACTGGGAGGGCTGTAGGGCATTGGGCTGATTGGGGGGGGTGGGTCTGACAGTGGGCGGGGGCGGCGAGATGCAGGTTGCAGGGTGTCTGGTTGGGGTGCAGGGGGTCTGGTTGGGGTGCAGGGGGTCTGGTTGGCGTGTAGGGGGTCTGCTGGGGGTCCAGGAGACCCAGACAGGGTGCAGAGGGTCTTGTTGGGGTGCAGGGGGTTCAGACAGGGTGCAGGGGGGCCAGGCAGTTTGCAGCGGGTCTGGTTGGGGTTCGTGGGGTCTGCTTGGGATGCAGGGGGGCCAGCTGGGCTGCTGGGGGTTCAGAAAGGGTGCAGGGGAGTCCAGTTGGGGTTTATGGGGCCCAGGGAGGCTACAGGAGGTCCAGGCAAGGTGCAGAGGTTCTGGTTGGGATGCAGGGGGTCTGGTTGGGGTTCTGGGGGCCCAGACAGGGTACGTGGGGTCTTCTTGGGGTGCACGGGATCTTGCTGGGGTGCAGGGGGTTCAGACAAGGTGGAAGGGGGCCACGCAGATTACAGCGGGACTGGTTGGGGTTCAGGACATCTGACTGAGGTTAAGGGGGATCAGACAGGGTACAGGGGGTCTTGTTGGGGTGCAGGCAAGGTGCAGGGGCTGTGGTTAGTGTTCAGGGACTCTTCTTGGGGTGCAGGGGTTCCTGTTGGGGTGTACAGGCCCCAGACAGGGTTCAGATACCCTAGACAGGTTACAGTGGGTCTGGTTGGGGTGCAGGGGGTTCAGACAGTGTTCAGAGGGTCCAGGCAAAGTGCAGGGGTTCTGGTGGGGGTGCAGGTGAAGTGGTTGGGATGTGGGAGTCCCAGACAGGGTGCAAGGGTGCTTACTGGGGTGCAGGGTGTTCAGACAGAGTTCAGAGGGTCCAGGTTTCAGGTGGTCTTGCTGAGGTGAAAGGGGTCTGTCCGTCTGGGGTTCATGAGGCCCAGACAGGTTGCAGGGGGTCTTGCTGGTCTGCAGGGGATCTGGTTAGGTTTCGGTGGGGGGGCAGGCAAGGTACAGGGGGTCTGGCTGGGATTCAGGGGGCCCAGAAATGGTGCCGGGGTCCAGGCGGGTTGCAGTGGGTCTGGTTGGGGTTCATGCTGCAAAGACTGGGTACAGGGGGGCCGAGCAAGGTGCAAGGAGTCTGGTTTGGGTGTAGGGTCCCCAGAGAGTGTGCAAGGGGTCCAGTCAGGTTATAGCTGATCTTACTGGAATGCTGAAGGCCCGGGCAAAGTGCAGGGGGTCTTGATGGTGTCATGGGGGTCTGGGGAAGGTGCAGGTCAACTGACTAGGGTGCAGGAGGTCTGAGTGTTTTGCAAGGGGTCCAGACAGGGTGCGTGGGGGCCAGGCGAGTTGCTGGTGATCTGGTTGCAGTACAGGGGGTCTTGTTGTTCTACAAGAGGGCCAAGACAGGGTTCAGTGGGTCCAGGCACCGTGCAGGGGGCCAGGCAAGTTGTAGGGGATCTGGTTGGGGTTCAGGTGGCACTGACAGGGTGCAGGGTGTCTGGTTGGCATGCGGGGGGCTCAGAGTTAGCACAGCAGGGCCAAGCAGACTACGGGGGTCTCGGTGTGTAGAGGGTAAGTTTGGTGTGCCGGGCGTCTTGTTGGGCTGCAGGGGGGCTGGTTGAGGTGCACGGGGTCCAGGCAAGGTGTAGGGGTTCTTGGGGAGGTTTGGGGGGTATAGTTGGCCGACTGGGGACCCCGAGGTGGTCCAGAGGGGCCAAGTAGTGAGCATGGGGTCTGGTGGGGTGCGGGGTCACCAGGCAAATGTAGGTGTGGTTGTGCCCTAGAGGGCCTCGTCGGTGTGCGTCGTGGCCCAGCAAGGTGCACGGGGTCTGGTTGGCGTGCGGGGGCCCAGACATCTATGCGGCGAACAGCACGTCTTTGACTCCTTTCCCTGATCCTTCTCTAAAGATAAAACCGTAGGGTCGCTTGGAATCATACCACCATCCTTTTGCCATTCCGGATGATGTAGCCACAAAAAGAAAAATCAACGTAAGGCACTTCCTCCCGTTTCCCTTCCCTCCAACGAAACAAAATCGATTATAGCATAAGCATAGTGTTATACTTTAAGATCTGTTCTTTGGCCACTTCTCTCAATCTTCTAAAATGTGCAATGGCCACCAACGATTACAATAATCAATTGTTTCCCGGTAAGGGGTTCGCTTCCCACATCCCTCCAATATTTTAATATACATTCCAGAGGTGACTTCTTGAAAAGACCCCTCTCAGACCCCTTAGACCAATCGGAACCCACACTAAACAGAATAAACAATTATGTACACGAAACTGTGACGCCGCCTAACAGAATAAACAAGGGTGTCCTACAAGATAATAATTAGAAATGTACATTGGCCAATACCCTGTGATACCCTGGCCCACAGCTTATGTGCGATCGAGGCTTTCTTCCGACCCCAGGCGACACCATAATGATGTGTAATCTCACCTTCCTTCCTGGGTTTCCCTTAATAGCAGAGTCCTGTGGGAATTTCTTGTGTCCAGTCTTACAGACAGGCTTTTCCAGTCTGCGCTACATTTTGTAATGCTTTTAAACAAACAAACAAACAAAACCAAATTCCAAACAAAAAAACAACCAACCAAACAAAAAAACCATAAACCACCAGGGCTCTAACTCCAAACTCACGAGATCAGGGGATCGGAGGATCTCCCTGAAAAACACTTAAGCGGCGCTGGAGTCCTCACAATACCGTGGGTCCGTCGAGCTTCAGAGGCAGCATCATCCCATCCGGGTCGCCAAAATTCTCTACTGAAATCGGGAACGAAACCTCCTTAACGCCGGGTTTAGCGTTAACTTTATCCGGCCGGGGACGCAAGGGAATCGTTCCGCCTAACACGCCTGTTGTACGTTACCATAGCCAAAGCTCATATCGTCTCGTTAAGTGCCTGTTCATTAACTCATTGTCATAGCTATGTAATTATTACCTGTGCAGTTTAGGTCCCCAAGGGGCTTCCACGGAGGTCCTCGGTGGTCTGTAGCAGTTTCTGGAGAGGATCCTTTCTCAAGCTTTGTCTGCGTTTCAGAATCGGCCTTTCTTGGGTTTACGTCTGCGCTTTCTTACATCCCGCCCACCTTCAGCTGGTTTCCTCTTTTTCAAAGGGCCTTGACATTGAAGGACAAGGGCTTCCGATTAGGACTCTCTCAATTTCACACGGAGCCCCTCCACATACGTGTTTCCGGGGAGGCGTTTATCACGCTCACCTAGTTGAAGGACCTCCGCGCGACGGACGACGCGTTGTAGGTGTTTGACTGATCGTTTAAGTTTTTACGCTATGCTAAGCAGTTTTTTTTCTTTGGCCATTTTGCAACAGCGGTGTTTCGGTTTGCCATTGCTCTTTTTCAGTCCTTTCACCTCTTCATCCCTGGGCTTTTACAATTGGCTTGTATCTCGGTCACATTTGTTTTTAAATTATTTCGTCTCTGTTTTCCTCAGTGCTGACACTTAAAGTTTTATTTCTACATCTCCGCTACAATTTGCCATCAATATTTCTTATTTCCTTATTAGCCATCGCTTTTAACACGTCCAGGCTTCCTGTATTCCGTTTGCATTTTTTTTTTTTTCAAATTATTTTTTGTCCTTTGTTTGTCTCCACGCCCACGTTCCCTCTGCTCCCCGGAGCCCTCTCGTTCTCGTCACGACACCTCCCAAGACTGTCCTCGTGCCCCACGGCACCGTTTGAGCCCCACAGTTATCCGCATATGTCTCTTACGCAGACAGATCCCTTCCTCAGGCTTTATCCGCACCCCAGAGCTCTCTCACCTTAATCACTGCTATCATCCGGCCTTCTCGAGTTAAGTGTCCCCTCCCAGAGCCATCTCTTGTCTTTTGCTCTTCTCCCGATGCCAGCGTGCCTCCCGAGGCCATCCTCGTGCCCCGCAGCCCTTTTTCAGCTCTGCTGTCAAAGTACTGAGGCCTGAATGAGGCCTCGAGCCAAAGTCACCCTCTAGACGAACCTCATGACCAAACGTTGTATAATGACTGTATCTGGTCATTAGTGAAATATGTAGCTTGGATAGAACATCTCATTAGCGAGATAAGTAACTTAGATCAAATGATATGTGAATATATCGACGTTTTCTAGTTTAGAAACACATTATCGAGGTCGAATACGCAAACTCCCTCTGTTTCTCCTATATCAACATTTCCTAGATTAGAAGCACATTATTGAGGTCAAGTACGCAAACTCCCTGTTTCTCCTATATTGGCATTTCCTAGTTTAGAAGCACATTATCGAGGTCAAATACGCAAACTCCCTCGGTTCCTCCTCAAGCCTCTGCCATGCGCAGCCCCCCGCCCTCCACAGCGCAGCTCCGGCCAGCCGGCCCCCCAGCGACCCTGGCTGCGACCCAGAGCGGCGCTCGACCCCCCCCGGCACCGCCGCTCTCCTCAGGCCTCTCCCCGGGAGCCGCCGCTCCGCTCCGGTCGCTCGCGTGTTCCCACCCACCGTCGCCCCTGCTCCGGAACGCGCAGCCACCGCTCCGCTCCCCGCCCGCCTCGGCTCACACGGGCCCCTCCGCGGCCACCCGCGCCCTCCACAGCAGCCCCACCGCCTCCACCCCTTCACCGAGGGGGCTGCTGCCACCCGCCTCCCTTCCCGCACCGGGGCCTTCTCCAGCCCCGGCCCGCAGCTGGAGCCGGGCAGGAACGGGGGGCCAGTGCCTGACCCCCACAGTGCATCACCTCCTGCCCCCCCGCGGGGTTCCCTCGCAGCCCCTCACCTTGTGCAAAGGAAGGACAAAACGGAGCCAGGAAGCGGCAAGCATTTATTCAGTCACGGACGTACCAAGTCCCAGCAGCGAGGCTGCTCTGGGGCCTGCAGCCCCCGACGCTCCCCCTGCCCCTGGGACGCCGCAGCAGTTGTTCCCGCAGCCATGCTCAGCGTCCCCGGAGCAATGGGCTGCTGGGCTGAGGTAGAGACTGACAAAATGAGCAGCAGGGTGCAGGACACTAGAAAAAAGGAGAAAAGTAGAAGCCAGCTGGACAGTGGGGGTGTAGTGAGAAAGCACGAGGCAGGGACCGGGATGGCGAGAGGACAGGGACTGGGAGCCTGACGTGTATAAGGAGAAAGAAGCAGCAGGAAGAGAAGCAGCAGAAAAAGGGTGAAGGAGCAGGGCAAAACAACAAAGAAGAACAGGGAGCAGGATGGAAACGCAGAAAAAAGCTGGGATGGGCAGAATAAAAGAGAGAGACAAAAAGAGAACAGAGGCGTGGAGCCAGGACACCAAACAACGGAGGGAAGGGGCAAGGAGCAGGAACAGTACAAAACAAACAACATAACCACATGCTACAGGGTAGAGAGGGAAGAATTAAGAAACGGAGAGAGGGAACCAGAAAAAGAGCTGAAGAGGAGAAAATATCAGTGTGTACACAAAGAAGAGAGGGGGAATTCTAAAACAGGGTTGTCAAGGAGCCAGAGACAGCGAGATTGAGAAAGGACAAAAGTGACAGGCTACAGGGTGGAGAGGGTGGAATTAAAAAACAGGGATGGGAAGCAAGAAAGAGGCAGATGGAAAAAGTGGGGGCACATGACCCAAGGGGCAACAGGGCAGAGAGGGAGGAATGAAAAGTGAGGGATGGGGAGCTGAGAAAGGAGAGGCAGAAGGACAGAAGAATAGTGAGGAGAGGTAAAGGGAAAACAAAATCACAGCAGCGGGGGAAAGAGAGGAGGCCAGGGGAGAGCCCAGGACACACAAGAGGGGCAACAGGGTCCCGCAGGCCAGGGACTCACCACAGTTCTCGCTCTCGGCGCTGCCAGGAGAATTTGCCGGTTCAGACACTTTTTTTCTCCTTCTCTCCTCCCTTCCTCTTCTCTAGCTCCAGTCACTTGGCTGTCCTCCACCTAAGAGCATCAGTGGGTGTCTCAGCTCTTACGAGACGAGGCCTCCTACGCACACAGCCCGGCTCGCTCGTGCACTACGTGGCCGTACCGCGCTTTCAGTGAGACACACAGACCCTGCGGCGCACGTTGGTGGTCTGAGCTGCAGACTGCGAAGCGGGATCCTTCCTCACCCGGAGAGGCTGGTTCTCTCTTCCTGCAGTGGGAGGCAGCTGCTGGCTGGCTGGCCATCGATTTATTCTTCGTTATCTTTCTCCGGCCTCTCCAGCTTCAGCCAGGGTGTGATAAATAACAGAAGAATTTTGCTTTTGCTAAAAGTAATTAAACAATTACTTCTTAGGCTAAAGCTATTATTAGTACAATGATCCAAATTTTAAGAAAAGTAAAAGACTTTACTACTGGGAAAAAAAAAGGGGGGAATTGATCTGAGGAAACACCAACCCAATAGCCCCCCCTCCTTGGGATGCTCACCAGATGATCCGTATCAAAGGGTGGTAACTCCTTTGCAATGGAATGAGAAAGAACAGAATGGGCCATCTCTGGTATCCCTTGTCCTTGAGATAAGAGAGGAACTGAAACCACTGAGCCAGAAAGACAAAGGAGCTGCAAATTGGCCCAGACTTGAAGGACGAGGTGTATGTGACCACAGGACTGAAGAAAGAAGATAAGATTGTAGAAGAAGCCAGGAGGCGCACCGAAGGTGAAGGTGTTGAAACCGGCAGCTGTGTGGATAAAAGGGGGTTTGAAACTCAAACAATTTGGTGAGCCTGGATGGAGCTGCGACTCCTCGGCCACCCCAGCGCTGCCTTTGCTCTCTTACCTTAATAAAGATTCATTAACCCATATCTGGATGTGATTTGCCTTAATCGACCTATAACAAGGGCAACTCCTGCCCATAGCCAGTAAACGATCCGCCTGTTCCTTTTTGCTCCCACGCCGCAAGGTGCACGAGGCCAGAGAGAGCCCCACGCGAGCCTGAGGCGGGGGCAGTCAGCAGCATCCCCGGGGGGGGCACGGACAACCGCATCCTCAGCGCAGCCTCCGCAAGGGGGAAAGAAGAAACGGAGATTGTCAGCTGGGAGCCCACCCCGGGCCACGGCCCCTCCATCCGCAGGGGCTGCTGGAGGTGCAGTTGCGGGCCAGCTCGCTGCCCTCACGACAGGGCCTGGGGGGGGCCTGGGGCTACGGGACAGGCTCCAGGGGCGGGGCTGGAGCTGAGGGCAGCGGCCCGGGGCGAGCGCGGCTCAAGGGGATCTCCGGCGAGTCGGGGACGCCCGCCTCCTTTCCCCCTTTCCCGCTCTCAGGGAACTCCCCGGGGGCTGCGCTGGCGAGGCTCGCCTGCCGCAGCGGAGGGGGTGCAGCTCCCCGTGTCCCCCACCCGCCCACGGGAGACACCCCCACACCCGCCCGAGGGGCTCGCTCGCCTCACCCCCCGCCGCCGCCGCCGCCGCCGCCGCGCCCCTCTCTCTCCCGCGCACCGCGCCTGCGCCGGAGGGGCCAGAGCCGGCGCGCGAACGCCGGGCTGCAGGACCGCGCTTCGCCCACTAGGTGGCGGCAGCAGCGGCGAGCGCCCGGCGCGTGCCCAGGGCCGGCACCGGCGCTGCGGGAGGCGGCGGCGGTTCCTTCCCGGGAGGGGGGGGGGGACGGGGGACACGGGGGACACGGGGGACACGGGCGACACGGGCGCAGCGGCAGTATCGCATCGCCGTTACCGGCGGGCGGCAGCGTGGAGCGCGGGGGCTCCACCGGGCGCGCCCGAGCTGCAGTCCCGGGACACCGTTCGCTGGCGGGAGCCAGTGCGGCGAAGCGCGACGCCGCGCACCCGCGGTTCCCGACCTGCAGGACCCCGACTCCGTTTCGTACCCCTAAAGCCTACCCCAACCCGGTACCGATAGACTCCCATCGTGCCTTCCGATCAGAAGCCCGGTTACCGAAGACTACCGCTCCCGCCATCCAGCGCAGACGGGGCCAAGCAGCAGCCTGGGTCGGGCGCGTACGGCTCCTGGCACGCCTCGGGACAGAAAGGCGTTTTATTCTTGCCGGTGTTACATACGGACGCGCATAGTTCCCCCCGGAGCCGCCCAGTCCAGCCGTGAGCTGATCCCGAATTAGTCGGTGCTTCGGCTCCGTTTCTCGCGGTCCGCCCCCCCCCCCCCCCCCCCCCCCCCCCCCAGCCCTTCCCGTACCTCCAGCTCACCTCCTCCGTAGTCCCGATAAATAGGGCTCGGCAGGAGCTCCGTGGTCGGTGGCTGACCTCAGCTCGCAGTAGCTGCAGGTGGCACGATGTTTTTAACCGACCCTAAAGTGGACTAATACTGCGGCCCCTTAGAGAAAAAGGGGCCGTTAAGTGCTAATGGGGCACCTGTGCTTGGCTACACCCAGGCATCGTCAGCCGCGTTACCCACGGACGCGGTCCGTCCGTCCGTCCGTCCGGGAGGGAGGGGAGGGGCGCGGGCGCGGCCGTCAGACCTTAAGAGGACAAGGAGCAATGGGTGTAAAGTGCAACCCGAGAGGTTCCGATCTGATATAGGAAGAAACTTTTTCGTGGCGAGGAAAGCTAAGCATTCATCGGAGCGGGGGAAGCAGAGGAGTCACGCAGTCTTCATCCTCGGAGGTTTTCCAGACCAGACTGGATAAAACCCGGAGATATCTAGTCTGACCTCACAGCTAACCCTGCTTTGAGGAGGAGGTTGAACAACCTGAAGTCTCTTCTGACCTGAATTATTCTATGATCCTATACCTTATACTCCATTTTTTTTCTGAAGTTGGGCCCGTTGCTGCCATTACACATCCTTTTCTTTATCTGGATACCTTTCTGATAAACAGTATGTCCCTAACTGGTTTTTGACCCCTGGTCCCAGTTTTGCCACATCTATGCCAAAATCATAGGCCACTGCAGCCCTACATGATACCACTGATACTGTCATCTAGGTCTAAATAGCCTTGCTTCCCAAAACCCCCCTGTCAGTATTGTGGGCTCTGTCCTTGATTCTTCTACCCAGCTATAATTAAGGAGGTTCTTATCTTATGCACTGATATTTTACATACCAGGTCAGTGGAGTATGCCTTGCATTCTCTCAGTATCCCTGAAAACTCTCCATCATAAAGTTCCTGTTCTGGTATTGGAACAGGTAGTTACACTGTAGGTGTTAACAAATCGGCTCTCTCCTACTGCCTTGGCCAGAATATCCTTGTGCCTCTGTCTGAAGGCTTCTGTAGTCTATTTCATTGCTCTAACAACATGCCACCCTTTTCATTTATACCTTCATCAGAATCTCTTTTTACCTCTCTCATTTACAACACTCATGCTGGCACATACTGTGCAGTAAACATGCTTTTGCAACGTCTCATGATGTCCTGAACAAAACTGTACTGTCAGCATCTATTCTTTATTGTTCTTCTTGCTGATAACCGGTTTTAGTTCCTCCAATAAAATTAAAACATACACCTTGTGCCAGTGACCCCATGGTCTTGAACTTTGGAGCAGAAGTTCTTGTAAAAACAACAGACATCTCCTTCCATTTCAGAAAAACGTAACTGTTGAAATAATGTGTAGGAGTTCTACTGATTTCCCCTCCCACCCCCTCCATCTTTTCCTGAATCGGACATGACCTCTGAAAAGGAGCATCTCTGTTGATTTGTTTTGCTTCAGTAATTTACAACAAACCTTTGAACAGTGAGAATCTTATTTATTTGTGGACACGTGTTGCTATAAAAGGCTTTTCCCGGACAGGTGCAAAGGCTATCACAATCAGACATCCTGAATCATCTGGACAAAATATGACATTCGTCGGCATAGAAGTTTCTTTCTTCATTCTCTTCACCCTCACTGCTCTTTGGAATGCAGGTGAGTGACTTTCAGAAATTTTGCTGCTTTTCACTACAAACTGTTTTGACTTCTGAACTTCAGAATGCACACGTCAGTTAGAAATTACAGATACCATTTGTACATGCTAAAGGTACACAAGCTGGCTTTTGCTAGCACGGTGTCATTTTCAACCTCTTCCTCTGTAATTTTCAGTAGGACAGTGGATCTTTTCTCTAAGTAAACAGACAATCTGGAGAATGCAGTAAATATTTTTAAAGATACAGAACAACTTTCTAGCTCCCTATATTGAACAAGCATTTCTACCTCCATCACAGGCAGGTTTTCTGCAAGAGATTGAAGGCTGACTTTTATTTCTGACTCACTAATGTTCCTGTGTTTTCCTGCCACACACCCACATATTACTCCTGGGATAAAGGAGGAAAGGCAGCAGAGAGACAAAATCAGAGAAAGATTTTACTGCCTTTTCCTTTTCTTGATCTCTCCATTCTACAAAAAAAAAAAACAAACCAAACCAAAACCAGAACAAAAACCCCAGCCCCCCCTGTCCGCCCCACCCTGTATACAAAACAACACAGCAACATTTTCTCCTAATTTTGACAGAAGCTGACATACCTGGAACTGCAAGCAATTTTTCTTCAGCCCCGTGAGGGGTGACTGTAAATTCTTTCTTCCTCTCCTGGTCTTGTTCATACATTGTTAATGACCTTTGAGGAGTAGGTGAATCCAGCAGCTTTTGCAACACAGTAGTTTCGTCCTTCCCAATCCACTAGAGTCAGATCTGCTGTACTCTCAGATTCAGGAAATTCTTCCTGCCTCAGTTCCCACAGATGCGGACACTGCTGTTCCCATTTGTAGGTCCAGCCAGTATGGGGGCTGGACCTGTATTGCAGAGAGGCAGATACATACACTACACCTACCACATGAACACAGCCAGTCACACAGGCTAAAATAGAGCGGTGCTTTTACTGGCATCCAAATAAACACAGACAGCACTCCCAGAAACCTGCACACCACCCAGCTCCTCCTCTCCAGCTGATCACAATGGAAGGTGACTAGTGAAAACACAAACACGACTTTTCTCTCCTGATTCATGGATCTACCACATTCACAGATACCTTGCATGCTAGCATAGGCTTTAAATTTGTCTATTAGCTAAGCCCAGATTCCAAGTCCCTTACATGGTCAACAGCTCAGACCTCAGGTCTTTCTAAGCGTGGGTCTCCTACTGACTGGATAGTTCATCCTGAAGGTCACTTACAATTACATGTGCGCACTCACGCACACACAAGAGTGAGGTGATACAGATAATAGCATCAGGATTTCATAAAATGGGTATGCTGATCAGGTGCAGGGCTCAGACAGAGAAATGTACTGACTAGCAGCTTGTTTATGCATGACTGGGTCCTTTTATACTCCCTGCTCTCCATTTTCCCATGCTTGTTTTTCACCATCCACTTTGACCTCTCCCTTTCTTTTCGCTTGTGTCCTCCTAAATAAGCAGCCCTCCCCTAATTATTTTTTCAACACTGGTCCCAGTTTTGCTACATCCATGTCCAAATTTAGAATTTCTGCTCTTTGCCTAGGTCATCTCACCATTGCATGGTATTATTGATCTAGTTACCCAAGCAGTGGTGCCCTTGCAAGATTCCATTCCCCAAAAGGTCCTCAGTGCTCCCAGTTGTCTGTGCAGCTTGTCTATCTCCCTTAACTCCCTCTTAACTGTTTGTGAAATCCAGCTGTTCCTCACAGTGTTAGTGTAGCATCTGTTAGCTTCTCACTGTTTTATTCATGTTGAGCAATTTTTCATGTCACGTCTAGTAATTACTCATGGTCTGTTCAGCTAGACTTCAGTCAGACCTAAGCCACTGGCCTAGTCATCTGTCTGTGTACCTAGTCATCTTAACGACTACAAAATGCACAAAAAAAAGAGAACCTGTGGCCAGCAGGGCCAGGGAGGGGATTGTCCCCCTCTGCTCCGCTCTGGGGAGACCCCCCTGCAGTGCTGGGGCCAGCTCGGGGGCCCCCAACAGCAGAAGGACCCGGAGCTGCTCGAGCGGGGCCAGAGGAGGCCACGAAGATGCTGGGGGGGCTGGAGCAGCTCCCCTGGGAGGCCGGGCTGAGAGAGTTGGGGGGGTTCAGCCTGGAGAAGAGAAGGCTCTGGGGAGCCCTTCGAGCGGCCTCCCAGGGCTTAAAGGGGGGACAGGAAAGGGGGGGAGGGACTCTGGGTCAGGGGATGGGGATGGGACATGGGGTGATGGTTTTGCACTGAAAAAGGGCAGATTTAGATGAGATCTAAGGCAGAAATCCTTCCCTGTGCGGGGGGTGAGGTGCTGGCCCAGGGTGCCCAGAGCAGCTGTGGCTGCCCCCTCCCTGGAAGGGTTCAAGGCCAGGTTGGACGGGGCTGGGAGCCCCCTGGGCTGGGGGAAGGGGGCCCTGCCCGGGGCAGGGGGGTTGGAACTGCGTGATCTTTAAGGTCCCTCCCAATCTGAACGATTCTATGATTCATTCTATGACTGAAATTTCGGTAGCTTTTCATAATCTCATGTCGGAGCACACCGTTGCTAATGTTGGCTTTCCG